AACATTCAATTTCTTAGAATAGAAATGAATACACTATACTCCCCTCCCTGTTATTTGGATTAGATTTTAGATTCCCTTCCTTTTCGACTTACATGATTAATAGACGACTCTCTACCTACATATATTTAATGTTAGTTCGTAGATATCTACGGTCAAGTATTATTTATTATTACAATGTGGTCTAATTCCTAGGCATTCTATAACTATAATATCAATCTGTATTTAGACTTAGAGCCAGTGTGAAATTAAATGTATTTACTTGCATGAAATATAGTATAAAATAAAGTCGCTATCTGTCCGTCTCTATGTATGCTTAAATCTCTAAAACTACGTAACAGATTTTCAAGCGGTTTTTTAATAGATAGAGTGTTCCAAGAGGAAGGTTTATATATATAATGTAAGTACACCCGTGCGAAGCCGGGCCGTGTAACTAGTAAATAATAAAAGAATGCCAGTATTAATATTCTACATATTTCGCCGTTGCACAATTAACTTTAATATACAATAGAATTAATGAATTTATACAGAAAAATTACTTTATATGTCAAATATAGGTAGATACAATGTGTGCATTAGTCGAATTTCAAATGTAAAATGTCAAATTCGACTTATACTTTAATTAAGTAATGTTATTTTAATATCACGGTTTCCAATTTGACTGTATTTATATCATTATTAAATATAAACTATTTATTTATATACTATTTTGACTTTATAAATGGGGTTGATTATATTTTTATTCTAAAATAATATATACAGCTAAATTAGACCCCATTTCTTAAAGATACTCATTTCAAAATCGAACTTAATTACGGAGATTTGTAGTGCAATTAAAAAAAATGTTTGTAATTCTAAAACACTTTTTGATAGTACATTAATAAAAAAACATAAGCGCACGCTTCAAATAAGACAAGGGATATGGGCGAGAAGATGATATTAATAATTGTACAACTAAGAACCTAAAATTAAAAAGCTTAAAAAATATAATATAATAACTAAAATATATTATTAAAAGTGGTCCCTTTAGGCAAAGTTCCGAAGATACTGGCAGCGTTCCCTGTTAATTAATAATCGTACATTAATTACATATTATACAATCACATAATTACATAATATACACTCACATAAAATATATGTATCCCATTTTCTCCGTTTTAGCAACTGTTAAATAGCAGTATTAAAAAATTAAATATAGTAATAAAAATATTTAAATAATAAAAGTGAACATTAACTATATTTAATTTTTTTTCTATTCTGCTATTAAAAATATAAAACAATATTCTATATATGTCACCTTATTCCCCGTGAAATTACCATTAAAATATCCTATTATAAATTGTTTTATAGTACAACATATTTAGCACACATATACATAGCCCCACTTCTATTTGACTTAATGTGATATTAAATCTTACAGTCCTTCTCGATAAATGGGCTATCCAACACAATAAGAATTTTCACATTGGACTAGTAGTACCGGAGATTGACCCGAACAAACTCACAAACTTTACCTCTTAAATGAGTATAGCTTCCACCCTATCTCTCTGACTATACCGACGTAGCTGTAAAGTGGAATTACTCGTCACAATGGATAGTTCATCTCGCAGTTTTCGCTGGTCAATTGATATTCAAGATGTGCCAACTGGCGACTACACGCTGAACTGTAGTTTGAGGAATGTAGTTTCAAATAATATATATTATTATAACATTGCTTGTTTGTCTGTTGTTTGATGTAACTAGCACATAAATTATTATTATTAGAAAAACGTTTTTAAATTTATATAAACTCTTCAATTTTATAATAAAATGTTACTGATAGCCTGTACATGAAAAATATATAAGAAAAACTGTTATTAGGAAACTTTATCTACTCATAACACAAATAATTGCTTGTTAGTTTTTGTCTGTTTGTTTGTGAGATTGGGCGCGCTTATCTCACGTAATGGCTGAACGGATTTCATTACGATTTTCACTAATACATTCTGGTAAACTTTATTATATTTTATACCAAGCAGTTTACAAAGAAATTAGTTGTACTCGGCTCGGCTACTCTATGAAGATGCTTTTATAATATACATATGTAGAAATAATGATTTCGTTATGTATTAGACATATGTCTATTACATATTTTTAATAAGTTTTCGTTATTTATTAGACGTATGTCCCATAAATAGCGAAACTTAATAAAAACGTAACTCAAAACTACTTCTCTCCTTACTTATGCAAGAATAGTTTTGAATTATTTAAACCATATAAAAATCACATTGAAAATTACATCACGTACTTACCCTTAGGGATATTATCTCATCGTAAGGTCAATAACATGGCAAGTAAAGGGACGCGAGTAGGGATGCGCCGATACAAATATACTAAGTACTAGTAAATAATACTTAACCACTGCTACTGGAGCGGTATCAATACACAATTCGGTTTCGGCGTTCCAATGGTTGCGAGTTCGATTCCTAGCACGGTGCAAACATTTGAATTCATGAGTTTGGTTGTTTGTATCATATATATGTATATAGAAAATAAAAACTAAGTATTTATATCAGTTCTCTAGTACCTATAACACAAGCTCTGTTCACCGTGGTACTAGATAACGCTGTGTTAATTGTCCACGGCTATTTATTTGTATTATTAATTATTAAAAAAAAACAGAATAATTTTTACGTGTATATATTTTCCAAGATTGCTCGCAAGACAGTCAAAAGTAACGTATAAAAGAAAGTGTATAAAAATAATATAATAATTAATAAAAAGAATGGTGGACAAGCTGTCAGGACAAGTACCAAATTAACATGGTATCGGAACAGGTATTTTTTGGTATACTCTAGTATACTGATAATGCTCTTATTAAATGCATGATATTAGATGGATTAGATGGACGCAAAATGTCAATAGATATGTTTTGATATGTAATAATCTAAAAAGAAAGTGAAATAAAATCTTTGTAGATCCCATAAAATAATTTTAAATTTATTTTATCAATGTAAGTAACGATAATTTGGGAGTAGGTATTATCTATGACATAACCTATAATTGTCAATGCCCCAAATTTTGTCTATCGATTTCAAGTGATTGTAATGATGACAGTTCCCTTAATAAATATAATTTAATTCATATTTATTTTTTGTAATATATATAACCTTCTTTGATTATTTTACTACTTTTGTATATACGTTATAAAAAGTAGTAAAATAATCAGTTATATGATAGATCCAGATATACAAATATTCATAATCAGATAGACGGATAAATATTAGATATAGATACCTGTTATATATCGGCACTATCCTAGTTTAAAAATTTCAAAAACGATATAAAAAACTAATATTACAAACAGGTACTCACACTAATGGTATCGGAAAGTAATTTGTGTAGGTACTACTTAAATAGTAAATATATACCTGTTACCATACATTTCGGAACATCCCTAGACGCGAGTGAGCGACGTGTTCGAGCATCTTATTCAAGACTTACATAATAATGTATCAAGTTCGCTACGTTACCTAATTTAGAACTTTATTACGTCTCCGTACGGAGCATATAAAATTGTTATTTAATTTATAAAACAGATCGTAGGAGCTGAAACTCTACCGTAATACAAATAAGAGACTCTTACAAATCGTACGTACATATAATTGACGGCCTAGGTGGTCTAACGGTTTAGCACACCGTCTTACTTCCGATGGTCGCGGGTTCGATTCTTCGCATTTCGGTCTGAGTGTTTTCTATGTATAATATGTATTTATTTACGAAAAAACATATCTATGTATTTGTATCAGTTGTCTAGTACTCATAACACAAGCTTTAGGTAACTTAATTTGGGTCTCGATGAAGCTGCGTGAATTGTCCTGAGGATATTATATTATATCTTATTATTAACCCGCGACTTCGTTCCTGTGGAATTAAAGTTTTTTTTATTATAAGATATATTTTTTTAAATAACGGTAACGTAAGTGACTCCTTATAACAATAGCTACTTCCGAGTGAGAGTCCCGTCAAAATCGGTCCAGCCGTTTCAGAGTATAACAAGAGCAAACGAATAGATAAAGTATAGTGAAACCTGTTTATTTTAAATTTTACTTATTTCTACAGACCTTGTCTTCATAACCACATTTTTTGACGTTTGCAGATTTATCTTCCATGCAATGGTAATAAACGATACCATAAGATTCCAGAAAATAATGCTAGGAAAAATATAAAGTGACAACAAAGTCACAAATACAGTACAAACTCCTGTACAGACTGCGTGGGTACTTCTGTCTGTGCAATAGATATGCAGCCTGCAACCAGCTTGCTTTGTAAGATTTTTTTCGGTTGACAGATTAGTTGAACGAAATTACAGCATAACATTTTATTCCTCCAGAATGGCATCTGTTAAGCGGTTTTCACTGGGGTCATATGATAATGATGATGTCCAATACCATCGGGTAGACCGTCAGTGTTTGTTATCCAGTTATATTAAAAGAACTGTCCATTTCCAGGCAGATAAATCGCATTGCAATTGATATAATATGGTATATTGTTACTAATACATTATTAGTTCCATTACTAACAATCACCTTACACACCCTTTGACGCCTAGCAGATTAGTTTCATGCTGTGTTCTAATTTGAAGAATGACAGTAATGAGACATGGCAGTGCAGTTATTTTGTTCTCATCATAATTTATATCGGTACCATCAAATAACCAAAGACAGTGATGCTTGCGACGGCGCTCATACATGGATTTTTTTACTGGATTATATTGGTAGGCCTACATCCATCCGCCTGCGCTAAGGGAATATGTATGGGGATGAAGTTAGATCAGATTGCATCCTTGGGAATTCACCAGAATTGAACCACGATGGTTTCCAGTGGAATTGCGTGGAGATCGATCTGGTACATTGCTAGTAAATAGGCTTATTATCTCTAGTTACTAATAATTTCTTCCGCCCAAATTCATAGAATGTGGTGGTTATTTATGTTACTTATTGATATTGGTAATTTCTTTTCAGATAAAGCGATGGTGATGTGATGACTCAAGCACGGGAACCCCTCAACATAATGGACGGGAATCCGCCCAACTGCGACTTCTCTACGAAAACCAAACGGGGCGTCTACCTCTCCAAGAGTCTTGCCTTCGTCATCCTCGTCATTTTCGCTCTAGCCCTCGTGGCCACGTCTTTTCTAGTCTACAACTTCGCCGCATGTCCGCAAACTGATCATTTAGCAAACGTTACCAAATATGAACTGACACATTGCGACCAATCAAAATTATTAGTGATACCTTTAAATACAGACAAAAGTGTTCTCACCGAATCAAGTACTCCAAATTATACCATAAACACAACAGAAGACGTTCCAACTGTGACTGACGTTAGACTACCAAATAATATCAAACCTGATAGATATTATATTGAGTTGACACCATACATTTTTGAGGGGAATTTTACTTTTCATGGCAAAACGAGCATTGTGCTAACAGTTAAGAATGATACGCAGCAAGTGACTTTCCATAGTGTTGAATTAAATTTTACTAGCATAGAATTGTTCGAACAGAGCGAAGGTAAGGCTTTGAAGATTACCAGACGGTCTGAAGATGTCCCGAGACAGTTCTGTATAATAACGCTAGCTGAAACGTTGAAGGCTGGGCAGCAGTATGTATTGAATATCACATACACTGGCATCTTGAATGACAATCTTCATGGATTCTATAGAAGCTCATATGAAGAGAAGAACGTAACCAAGTGAGTTTTTAAATTTTTACCATTTTATTCTAAAAGCCTGACCGTTTTTTAAATAGTAGCGTAGTCAGATTCAGATCCGGTGAACTTTTTGGCATTCCATGGATTTACTATGCGGTGCCGGGTCCATGGTGTGGCAAACTTTGAGCAGTTTCCGGGACTTATGACCCAGGTATAGGTTTAAAGGTACATACATCGGCAAATGCCTTTGCCGAAATACGTCAACATTCACCCTCACCGCTCGGTTTTCTCTTCCTTCTAACCAAATTTGATAGGACACTGTTAGTACAGTTTTAGTTATGCTTATGTTCTAGTATAGGACTTACTGGTCTATTACACAGACCAAGATCTTTTAGAAGATTGTAGAAAGATTTCGCTGGTATACTTCTCGCTCCTACTTCGACCGTTAATATTAATTTAAATAGTAGTAGTAACTATCGTCTGTATTCATTCATGAACAGTATCATGGATGTGACAATGTTTTAACTACAACTACGACTACATTTAATTGTTTTTGTGAGGTTGACTTTAATTTAACATTACAAATAAAAATTAGATTTCCAAAATTTAGAAATACTTTAGCGATTTAACGAATATTTCAACTATAGAAAATTTAGGGCCTTTTATGTTGCAAAGACTACTAGAAAAATATTAGAAGGGATGAAAGTAAAGTATTTTATATGGACACAATATTTATAGTATTTTTTTTATAATCACAGTTGATTTGATTTGGTCCTTAGTAAGTACTGATTAACTAATGCATCAATCGTATTACGTTATCAAGGCTGATGAAAATACAATAGAACCTCATTAATACAATAGGTTTCATCAATTATATCTACGTGACTATTTTTTTAGAGAATATAAAGTCTATTTATACTAAATACTTCCAAATTTATTGAAAGCCTGATATACTGCCAATATGTTTGACACCAAAGAAACTTTGTTATTTTAGGCCGTCTGAAAGAGATTGCTTTTAGTAAGATTAAAAAAAACTTATTCGACATTTCTAAAGTTATGGCAACACTAACATTTTTATTAATATAATTGTAACAAATAAGTTTCGGTACTCTTTGTTTATCTACTATATGTATATACATATATTTACATATAATTATATTATATAACAGTATTGACTGTTTGTGCCAAAACAAAGTAAAAAAAAATATTACTAAAAAAATGTTTATATTTGTCGTCGTTAAAAAAATTATCTGTATGACAAACATTAAGATCAATTCTGCCGTTTAGTCATGAAAAGGTAATCTGTTACCTTTTTACCTATCAAAGCGACAGATATACAAACATACTTTCGGAATAATAATAGTACCTATGCATAATATTTATTTCATAATTGCATGTATTACAGAATTAGTAAAAGAAGGTTATATTACTTCAAAATACTATTTAATATACAATATAGTAAATTTAGAAGAAATAGAGTTTCCTATACTTAGGGAACAATAGGTTGTTTTATATGCCGCGGCGTGAGGTCACTCGGCACTCCTCACGGAAACCTTACTTTATTTACGACGTATGGACTGGAGTATGTTGAATACAAATGATTGGATTACTATTATAACAATTATGTTTGCTAAAAATGTACCACACCAGCCTCAGTGTACTAAACACGGCCTTGTGCCCGTAATATCTCAATATTATTGTAATTACGAATGTTTGTATAGATGTATACATATTAAATAAATAAATATTTTATAATTTATATAGGTATTAATATTAAAAGCAAAACTTTGTGTCCCCTTTTTACGAAAATAGCGCACGGAGGAGTATGAAATTTCGCAAACTTATAGTTTATATAGAGGAGAGCTGCATTACTGGCTATGCTAATATTTTCTTATAAATTATGCGTCAGAATACATTATATAAATAAAAAAAAAATTACACACAATACCATTTATTTGACATACGCATATATACTAAATTTGCAATTAAAAAAAATCAAATGAGATATAAAATATTTTCTTTGTAAAAAAGCTTATTATAAAATTAAAGAATTTATAAACGATAATAATGTTTTTGTAGAAAATATCTAACTTAAAATAACTTAAAATTCATAGCGCTGACAATGTTATGTGATTGAACAGAGATTAAGTGCATAGCGGTTTCTATGTTGATTGTTGCATGCCTAATCCTTGTTAATTAAATATAATTAAATCAATATTTATTTAAAAGAGCAACACTCATTACAAGCACTTTTAATAGTCATATATTGATTCTACCACTCATTTGGAATGCAGATTCATCATAAGAAGAATGAGTAAGAAACTCGTGTATTGCTCTTTTGAACAGATTTTTTATATAAATATGTATGGCATGCGATAATCAACATAGAAATCGTTACGCACTCATTATTAGTGCAATCAGATAATATTGTCAGCGCTGTGAATTTTAAGTTTTTCTATTAAAACACTACATCGTTAACGAATTCTTCAATTTTATAGTAAGCTTTTTTACAAATGAAGTGTTTTGTATGACATTTAAATCTTTTTTCAGGCAGATTTATAACAGACTCTGGTATTTTGTTGTAAAACCTTACGCAATTACCATAAAACGAATTACTAACGTTAGTTAAATAACGTTTAGGTAAAATCAGTTTGTTATTGTTACGTAAGCTTTTATTAGTGTAATCACTAACTCTTTTGAAATTGTCTAAATTCTTCCTGGCATACATGATATTTTCATAGATGTATTGAGAAGTTTATTTTTGGAATACTCACAGAACTGAACTATAAATAAATCTTTTTTATCTTAAGGCTGCATATTTCCGACCAATCTCCATACAATACATGTTACTATGAAAATTTTCTGCGATAACTTATTAAACTTGATGAATTTTTGTCCCAGGGATAAAGCAACTAATATCAAGGTTGATAGACACACTAGTCAGATTTTCTTTAACCAGCTTCGTTTTAGAATTACACGTAACTGAAAAACTCGATTGTCACTTAAAAATGAGCTATTTTTAGCTATTTCATATGAACAATCCAAGACTGTATAAGAATTTGTAAAAAGTGGATAACATAGTAATTATAAAAAAATACGAAGACGATACGACATTCATTTATTTATAATTTAAGCCACGCCCTTGTCGGTAGAGCTCTTTCCACTTTACACGATCTTCATCATCCTCTTTAAATGTTGATACGACACGATTCTGATTTTGTCTTTATTTTGCTTGATGTAGCTGTGCATTGGTCTTCCCCTATTTTTATTTATTCGTCAATAATTATTTTCATAAATTCATCATGCCTATCAAGTGTCCTAACATATTTTCTCTAGTATTCAATATCTGTCTTTTTTCTTTTACCCTTCATCATTTCTTATTGTATCTAATCAACGAATTCATTCCATCCTTCTCCAAAACCACGTTTCAAAAGCTTCCAGTTTGGACCTTTCGTTTTGACAGTGGAGAAAAAGTATTAATAACAAAAAACATGACGTTCATAAGTGTCCAAAATGTCCTACATGAATAAATTATTTTCGATTTAATTTTTTATTACCTTTATATTTACTGTGATAATAGTCGAGTACGGCAAAGATTCGATTGAAAGTATTGCTATTGTATTATTGTTTTATTTAATATAATGATTTATTGTTTTATTTTTTCAATTATATAATGATTTATTACCACAAATGGATAGCAGTTACTCAATTTCAAGTTGGTTTTAATTACCTTTATATTTATTGTTATAATAGAGTAAGTGGAGTACGGTAAAGATTCGATTAAAAGCATTGCTATTGTATTATTGTTTTATTTAATATAACAATTTATTGTTTTATTGTTTCATTAATATAATGTTTTATTACCACAGATGGATAGCAGTTACGCAGTTTCAGGCGACCGATGCCCGCCGCGCTTTCCCATGTTGGGACGAGCCTGCTTTGAAGGCTCGCTTCACAATAAGCATTGCGCGGCCGGTTTACATGACTTCCGTTTCAAATATGAATATTATCAAGAGGGATAATCAGTAAGTATACTCAAAACATGAGAATTCATAGCAGAGAATTTCCGAATCGATATGATGTTGTGTGGTCTAGCGATTTAGCACACCAATGATCGTGCCATCGCGTGCATCGGTGTGCTAAACCCACATATTGGGTTCGATTCCTCGCACAGTAAAAGTATTTGTGTTTGTGAGTATGATTGTTGATATTATTCGTATTGTTAATGAATAATTTATTAAAATTCAGTTAATAATAAAAATAATGTACTAATAACTCAATTTTGTTTAAATGTACTATTTATATATAAACAAATAGCCTTCATTTAAACAAAATAACCTAAGTTATTTATGTTTATAAAATAAATATTTGTGTTGTGTTAAAAAAAAAAAAAAATCCACAGTTCTACCTTGTCCGATTATGTATGGGACCACTATGCAGAATCGTTGCCAATGTCAACATATCTCGTCGCATTCGCGGTCACAGACTTCGGCAGCAAAAGTGACCAGAACTTCACCGTTTGGGCAAGAAAAGAGGCATTAACGTCTGCAGAATACGCCTTGGATATAGGCCCGAAGATATTGAGGTTCCTCGAGGACTACTACAAAATTACTTTCCCATTGCCGAAGATCGATATGGTAGCGCTACCGGACTTCAAAGCTGGTGCGATGGAAAACTGGGGTCTACTCACTTTCAGGTAAGTTATTTTCAACCCGAAATATAATTTGCTTATTTATGTGAATATATATTTTGTACTTGCTGTACCTGTGCCTTCGTTGGCGTGACGTTGACCAAATAATGAAAAAATATTTAATAATGTAACCAAATGAAAGACAAATAAAAAAGTTTCGTCGTTCTAATTCCATACAACTCAATCAAGAGCCTAAAAAATAAGTTTCAGTCTTCTAGCTTCAAAAATGACGCTACTTCCATACAACCTTCCAGCTCCTCTTTCAACCCCTTACAACCCTTCTTTCGCATTAAAAACTAGCCTATATACTTTCTCAGGGCCTAAACTAAACTAATTACCAAATTTCATTTAAATCGGTTCAGTTGTTTTAGCGTGTAACGAGACAGACAGGCAGACAGAGGTTTTTTTATGAATGATACTGGAATGGTGCATCCGCCTGCGCTAATGGTATACGCTGGCTGGACACCAGTGGAGGATGATAATATGAACATGAGGTCAGATCAGTTAGCCCAAGGTGACAAATTCACTAGGAATTTTTCCGGGGGAACCGCGTGGAGGTCAACCTGACATGGTACATTGCTAGTAATGGTGTCATTAGTCCACATTACTAACAATGTTCCCCTCCAGACAGACAGACTTTCGCATTTATAATATTAGTATGTAATATTACGTTATCTGTGATATTAGTAAGGATTAGTAAAGATGATGTATCAGCAGACAATAACCAAGAAGATGTCAGGGGATTAGCTTGGAGGTCAATCTGACATGGTATATTACCATTAATGGAGTCCACATTACTATCAACCCCTAAATTGCACATTTGGTACATTTCGCTTGCTCGTAACTTAAACGAAAACCGATATCAGTTCAGTTATCAGGTTACGTTGAAATCGATTCGGTGATGGCCTCTCAGTCGTAAACACTATGCTGGTATGATTTTCTTTCATTAATGCATACCTACCATGTCGTGAAATGGAGTAAATATCCTCAAGAAGTGAAGTGAAAAATCTTTACAACCTACAAACATAACTGCACGGGTAATTTTTTTTTTTGGTAGTAATTGAGACGACAATTAACTATCTATAACTATGGCAACTCATGTTGCCATTTTGGAGGACTGTCTATCATGTATCAATTCTACGTTGTATTTTTTATTATAATGTACAGTGGAACATGTGCTTACAAATATTTTTCATTTTCTCTTGATTTATATATATATATAAATATAGATATATATATTATTTAACTATAATATTGATAAGGTATCAAATTCCTACAATCATTAGTTCATAAGAAACTGGGACAACCCATTTCTAAATCTTACAAAACTAGAAATAATACCGAATATAAAAAGTTATCACTTAGAAACGACACAGATGGAAAACTACTAAGTTATTCGCATTCGACAAACAGGAATCTTCCTCTGTAATTGAATATACTGTGGTATAAGTGAATGGCGCAGATAAATTAACATACTGTTTATACAGCTTTCCCATTCATACTCTGTCAATTATAGAATTGAACGGAATCCCTGAACTCGTCCAGGGCCATGGTCGAGTACAAAAGAAAACAACGTACATATTCCTGAGAGGAACATTTAACTTATTCATGACATACATTGTAATGAATAAGAATATTTTATTTTTATTATATTGTAATTACGTAAAATAAAGACTAGGTGCTTAAATAAAGACAGCAAAAGGACCTGGTACAGCGTATGCCGACAGGATAGTCCTTTCAATCGAGCCCCTTTCTCCCAAGTTAGTTAGTAGTAGTAGTAGTTTACACTAGTTTTTTTTTATAATTTGCATTAATATAAAAAAAAAACTAGTGTAGTACAACATAACAGGCAGTCTACAGCACAAACAAAATTCTCATCTTAATCCTAATAACACTCATCAGATTTGACCTTGTTTTATAATAATATGCAGGATGTTAAAATTTTCTGTTAGTAATAATCCTGTACTTAAGTTAAAACAGTAACGTAAAGTTTAATAAGTAATTACTAATAGTCTTATAATAATTCATGGATTGTAAGAAAGCTCAGGACATTCATCTAAGAAATTCCAGAATTGCAGACTAGTGCTTGCTAAAACTCATTCAATGACACAGAACACAAAAAACTGTGAAAATATGTGTATAAGAATTTATTATTGTATTCCTGAGAGATTTAAGATGACTAATATCATATTATTAAAAAAAAAGAGAATATAGATAATATAAAGGTAGGTAATAAGAATAATGAATGTTATTGTTGTATAATGAATTTTTATAGATAGCTCAAAAAAACAATGAATTTTACAATCTGAAGGATTGTTTTATGATAAATAATAATACCGGACTCGTATTAGTATTCAACTGGAGATATCCTAATTTGTCATTATTATTTTCGGTCTTGGTAGCTTGCATGCCGTTGCTATGACAAAACACATGATCGTAGCTTTCATTGTCATCTATTGTAATGTGTTTTTGAGCAAATTATAATTTATTTATTTATTTATTTAAACTCTTTATTGCACCAGACAAGGAAAAACACACAAAATGATATATTACATAAACTGATACAAAAGGCGGTCTTATCGCTAAGCAATCTCTTCCAGACTACCAGTAGAGAAAGTAACATTAAGATAAGAAAGGGGTAGGTGGTGCACGTAATGAACATAAATAGATACATATACATTTGTACATAAATATATCTATTAATATATATAATAAAATATAAACATACGTAAACCTAATAATACGTACGTACGTACGTATTATTATTATTCTATTGAAACAATTCTCAATTAGGCACTTTCGCTGTTTTTATTTATTTAAACCTTATCCAGTGTACAGTTTAGTGCAGTCCTGACTTCCAAATTAGCAGGAGCTTTAAAACAATACTTATATATATATATATATATATATATATATATATATATATATATACTATTGTCACTTTACTCTGTTTATTAATGTTTCAGTCTCACTGTAATTTAACTTATCTAGCCATATTTTATTTTTTTGTCGAATTTGATAGTTGTTAAGCTTACCACAACTAAAATCAGCGTTAAATATAAGAATATAACTACAACTTGGGAGCATAACTTTAATATTGTTGTTGAATTGGTATGTGAAAGAATTTCATAGTTAATTCTGTAGTGACAGGGGATTGAATGTGTAACATTGGTTTTTTTTTATATATAACTCTGAGGCCCGGATGTCAATTTCCAGGTTTTCTACTTTTTATTTACACAAACATTTCATTACATTACAAGATACATCTAAATTAACAGCAATACATAGTCTTACTCTAGGGACTATACTAATTACACAGGGTTTATATTTATTTGTTTACATTTTCGTTCTTAATGAAAAGAATGTATTATAATAATACATTCTTTTATCTTCTAACTTATTGCTATTTGATTTTATTTTAGATTTTTGCCTTTTTACTCTTTACATTTACTTCTCCTCTATTCTTACTTTACACTTGTTTTATAGTCACTATACATCGTAAAATATGCTTGCAAGTAGCAAGTAAAAGATTAATAGATCTTTGCCAATGTTACAAAAAGTAATAGAAAAAGTATTCTATTATTTTTTGTAACATTGGCTTATGGATATTGGATTTAGAAATGGTAGGTATACATCGATCGTAATATTGTCGCGACACTTCATTGACGTTTCCAGGGCCATCCATCACGATGCTTGGGGTAATTCCATAGCGCGCCATACATCACTAACCTGACCATTTATTCTTTTACTCAAAACGGGACACTGGTCTATTTATGTCAATTAATAGACAGGTGATGTAAGACACAATTTCTTAAAGCTTAAGCAAGACAGTAATTTAACTTAATATTTATATAAAGTATTATTGAATGAACAAATTTGCTTTAATATAGCTAGCGAAGCTTTTAAGTGAGACTGAAATTCTTGGCACGCTTTTTTTTTTCAATTTAATTATCAACAATACAATTTTACGTACCAGAGTTTATTTTGGGGACTCCGGGACTCGTAATTACAAAAAGGGACAGTTCCGTTTAAAACGGGATGTCTGGTTACGATATACATCACCCTATTGCGATTGGGGTAATTCTGTGACACAAGACGGCTATGAGTTTTGATGTAATAAAGAGCACAGTAACTGTAATTAATTCGTTACGGCAAGGTATGATAATAACGTAATGATTTAAATTAATAATGATATTTCATTAAATACAATTAATGATATTTTTATATGGTTACAGAGTATTTTTTGTACGTTTTTGTACGCAGATGTTATTTGCAATGTTTGTTCACATTAAGACGAATTTGTTCATGTATAAACATGTTATATCATAATGTTATTGTATTAAGTCGGTTGGTTAATTCAAATTGAAATTCAAAATATCTTTATTCATGTAGGTCTATTAAAGACCCTTACGATATGTCAAATCTATCGTCTGTTCAGAATTAATTTGAGATGAATAGAACTGACAAGAAACTCAGCTTGTATTCGATTCAATTAAATGTTGTACACGTTTACAATAATACAAATTTTAACCAGCATATGCTATTGTAAAAGCAAATAGTCTCATCATCAGTGTTCTTAACCCGAAAATGTATATAAAAGTCGCCATATTATTATAGTAGATACATTTACTTAATTCTTTTACTTCAGGAAGTGTATATATTTCTATAACTAGTATAATACCTGATGGATTCACTTCCTTGTTTTTATATCTTCACTTCCTCAAGGGATCATGTATATATTATAAGTGAGTAAGATATATCGTTTCTGCTTCTTGGACTACGGACTTATATGAGGACGCCATATAAAACGGTTCAACACACTTTCTTAGTTCCAATGGTCGCGGCTTCGATTCCTCGTACAGTACAAACATTTGTTGTTATTATGTACAATATATGTATTGTATATAAATTGCGGGAATATTATTTAAATTTGTAACTTTTTTTACTATCTTTCTATCTTTTTCACATCTTTCTGTTGTTTCCCTATAGTTCTCCCTATATATATTTTTTCTTACTTTCAATGTGAGGCTGTACTTATAATTTGATTATCAGATCATTATGTATTTATTTATATATAATATTTATATATTTATGTTTATATTTAAAATATTTTGCTTTATATAAATATATCTTTTTTTGCACCGCCAACAATATTATCCTGCATCACTCATGGTTCATTGGTAGATAACGCCGCTTGGTATTATGTCCGCCATATGCACAGCTTGTTTTTGTGCATTAAAGTTAAATAAATAAAAAAAAATTGTTACGGTACAATATATTATTACGGTAGCGGCGACAGAACAAAAATGTTCTGTGGTAGCGCCGATACACCGTTCGGCCAGTAGTCCAACTTTATCAAAGAGGGCAGCATGTTGGTAGGGAAACGGGCCACAAACCCTCAGTGTCAGGTTACTTCCGGCACGTATGTAGGTGACAATGGTCGTATATAGTAGATGATATAAATGTAAAAAAAGAACACATTTTTATATTTTATTTTTATTATACTTCCGCAGAGAAATAGCAATGTTGTACGAAAGTGGTTCTTCGCCGACCACAGCGAAGGCGCGGGTGGCAGCGGTGGTGGCTCACGAGATCGCCCACCAGTGGTTCGGCAACCTGGTGACGCCGGCGTGGTGGTCCGACATCTGGTTGAACGAGGGTTTCGCCAGCTACGTCGAGTACGTTGCAGTAGATGCTGTAAGTACCATACTAATAGAGGTATCCATGAAGACAATGTTGTATAGTTTTCTTCATGATGATGAAATGATGCACCCTGCGCTAACGGTTTACGCTGGCGGGCACTAGTGGAGGATGATAAAACGAACATGAAGTCAGGTCAATTAGTCTATTGTAACAAATTCACCATATTTATGTGATTCTATGATTCTTCCCTTATGTGTAGATCCCATCCAATTCAGTTATTTAATCCTTCCATGACACAGATGGTCATATTTTAAACGTCAAAATTTCGTGTTTGCAACATAATTTAAATGTAATATCACCCTCATGTAAATTATGATAAAACTGATGTAAAACTTTCACCTCCTAGGAGAGCTCTTAGAATTTCAACATTCATCAATTCGGCTCGCATCTATCCACTGTAAGATTTAGGTTTTTTTCAATGTCTTCCATTATGTGCGATCTTCTGCCTTCCGCATGCATCCACTCCCGGCCACCTTCATGTTGTCGTCGGTTCATCTTGCAGAAGGCCCGACACTCCGTCGACCCGTACGCGGCCTCCACTCCATGACTTTTTTGCCCCATATACCATTACTGACTCGGCTGATATACCTGGCCCATTGCCACTTCAGTTGAGATACTTTGAGAGCTATATCGTCAACATTGGTCTTCCGTCGAAAAACTCCGAGCTCTGTCCATCGCTCGTTGTTCGACATTCAATTTGTAAACTAGGCCTACGGTTAAAATTATCAAACTTGTGGGTCTAATACCTTATTGTACAATGGTACACTTTGTCGACTCCTTAAACGGTGAAGTAGTTTGTGGATGACCTGTATACAATAGTTATTGACTTCCATCTGGTGCGCCATTCCAGTTACATAAAAAAGTATATTCTTTAGGTGGAGAAAACGTGGAAGTTAATGGAGGTATTCGTCTTGAATGAAGTGCAGAGTGTATTCAAACTGGACGCCTTGACGTCATCGCATCAAATATCGGTGGAAGTCGGCAACCCAGAGGAGATTGGGGCGATCTTTGATAAAATTTCATATGGAAAAGGTAAATGGCTAGGTTTTTTAATAAAAATAAAAAAAATATGTAACGTTGACAGATCACATTCAGTCGAATTGTGAACCTTTTCTCTTCTTTCATTATTAGAAATATAATTTCAGTCTCAGAACAATTCACACCGCGCTATCTAGACCCAAGTTAAGGTAGCCAAAGCTTGTGTTACGGGTACTAGATACAAATATATAGATATTTTTATTCGTATCTACATACATAGAAGACACCCAGACCGATAAAAACTGTCATACTCAGGAATACAAATGTTTGAGCCGGGCGGGGAATCGAATCCGCGATCATCGCAAGTAAAGCGGTGTGCTAAACCGTTGGACCACCGACGCCGTCAAATACTTTTGTTGAAGGTACAAATAGCACAGTGCAAAAATGACAATAAAAAATATGACAATTCTAGTATAATAATAAATTATAAAATATAGCCCATGTGTTATTCTGATGCATAAGCTATATCGCTAAAGTTTCATAAAAATCCGTACAGTAGTTTTTGCGTGAATGAGTAACAAACATCCATACTTACAAACTCTCGCGTTTGTAATATTATTAAGACTAACAGCCAGTTCAAATCGAGAAAATCCGTTCTTAACAATAAAACTTTTCTAGGCTCAGCAATACTTCGAATGATGAACCACTTCCTCACTGATGACGTATTTAACGCTGGAATTACTGATTATCTCAATGCCAAAAAGTTTGGGGACGCGGAACAAAGGGATCTGTGGAGTGCTCTTACAAACGCCGCTCGGAGGAAGGGTGCTTTTGATGCTGACGTCGCCGTTGTGATGGACTCTTGGACTCTTCAAACCGGCTTTCCAGTGTTAACCATCTCGAGAAATTATAGCACAAATGTGACACAGTTCAGACAGGTACTCATCTATACTCATTTAAATTATCATAATATACATTTGACGCGTTACTTAGAACTATTTGATGTTTGTAGGATCGATATAAATATTTTTATTGATTAGAGGAATATATTATGTTTCATTGAATTTATTCCATTAAATATATCAAAAGTATAATAGTAAGAATAACATATATATTCATTTATCAAGAAAACTTTCATTTCATTATTATTTATGTTATGATACCTGTGCCCGCGGCTACACCACCGTGAAATTTATTGCCTATGTGTTATTCTGATGTATTAGCTATATTACTCTAAAGTTTCATCAAAATCCATTCAGTAGATTCTGTGTGAAGGAGTAACATACAACCATCCATTCATCTAGTAAGATTATATTCGTTCATTTGTATGATCAGTTCATTATAGTATGTTCATTTTGTACACTGTTAAAAAAACATATAATTATTACCAAAACCACATAGAATTGTAAAATATAAAAGATTAATGATACAAAAAATATCGCAGAGTATTAAATTAAAGCGCCATCTATTGAGGAATATTGTAATCTAAAAGATAGTTACGGCACACACAAATAGATGGCGTTAGGATTCAGTTTTAAATAGATGTTGTAAAGAGTTTAACGATTTTACTTTTAATAGTTTCATGATCTCGTAATTGTTATCGGTTTTATCTGGTTTGATATGCAGTGGATTACTGTAATCCAAGATGTTGTCAATTTTATCAATATGCATTGATATAATTATGATTAATACGATTCTGAAACCGATTATATAATTTAATGACTTATTGTTTTATTACGATAAAAAGTAAAAAAATGTCTTAGTATTTTTTTCGAATTACAGTTAACTAGTTGACCTGCACAACTTCGGTTACGTCATATTTTCCTCGTTTTTGCATGGCTCCTTTCCTGATATAGAGATCATCATCTGTTTCTTCCTTATCCCATTTATTTGTGGTCGGTGTAATATGTTTTTCTCTTCCATTCATCCCTGTTCGCAGTCATCTCGTTATTTACTCCCTTTCTTACCATATCATCTTTCACACAGTCCATCCATCTCTTTTACGGCCTTCCTCTGCTATAATAACCATCCACATTCATATGTAACACCTTCCTTAAAATATTATCCTCAGTCCTGATATAAAGATCGTGGTATATATATATACCACCTTTGTAGCCGTAATCGGTAAATATCGACATTATGCAACAATAAAAACATGTTTAAAAACGGATCATCACTACCATAGATTACCTCAAACATCAAAATCAACAAACTTTATCACTTTATAATATTAATATATAGTTAAGCGTATTTTGACTGTAACCTTTAAAAATCACACTGAAGTTATACGGAATTAAAATTTCACATTATATGCACAAAACAGCCGAATTTTTGTAATCATTTGATAGAAGCCCTTTTTGTCTCGTTTTACTTAAAATTTATTTAAATTTCTGCAATTCTCCAGGAAAGGTTCGTCCTCATCAACAATACGTCGGAAGAACAAAAGCTTCCCGTCTGGTGGATACCAGTTTCCTACACAACTGCTTCTGAAAAAGACTTCACATCGACCAGACCGAAGCTGTGGTTAAGAGGCGAAAGATCCATCGAAGTTAACAATATTACTGTCAGTCAAGATGATTGGTTTATAGCTAATATACAGCAAACTGGTATGTAAATGTTATAAATATAATAAACCCAGCGAAGATCACAAGTACTTCCAAACGGTTTATATAAGTAGAGATATTCATCTTGAATGAAGTGGCAGAGTGTATTCAAAATGTACGATTTGACATCATCGCATCAAATCTCTATGGAATTCGGCAACTCAGAGGAGGTATTTTAATACTTTTATAACTGTGTACAGGAATTTTATAAACTTACAATTTCTTTCGTGAGAATAATCTCGCCTCCTATAGCTGAGATTCCGTTACAGACACGCCGTTATTACTCTTCTGACTTCAGGATGAAGTCGAAATTGTCGCGAAAGATATAAAAGAAAATTCATTAAATTATTGTACATAGCTATAAAAATAGTTAAGCAAAATAAAAGAAGTTTAAAAAATAAGTACGCTGTTGACGTCAAAAAATATATATAATCTTCGTCGTTAACTTATATATATGCACTTGAATAGTCAGTTTTGGTTCAATTGCAACATTTCGAATACAAATTCAGTCAATAAGAAAATGAAAGAGACTTTATTTACAACATAAGTTATAAAATTTTACATGTTTATGATTTTGTGTGAGCTACGAAATACAGCAATACCATATTTTTTTCTATTGTTTATATTTTAATGGGATAGAGTGGATTAATTCTGCTGTCCTAAGTGAAGGAGGGGTATCACTGGCGTCTCAGATCTCTCTTTCTCTCTTTCAAATCCTCAGTAGATTCTGTGATATTTATATCTAAGGAATATGTCGTTAAGGTTGCATTTAGCTTGTTTGTTAAAAATATAAATGTTTTCAGGTTTCTATAGAATAAACTATGATCGTTACAATTGGCAGTTGCTTGTTAAAGTGTTGAATGATCAGTCAAGATTTGAAGACATACATCCGATAAATAGAGCTCAAATTGTCGATGATGCTATGAATCTAGCTTTATCTGGTCGACTGGACTACAGAACTGCCCTGGACATCTCGAGCTACTTAATCCATGAGAGAAGTTATGTACCATGGAAGGCTGGTTTGGTAGCTCTGGGCTATATAGATACAATGTTATCTAAAGGCGCATATTACTTGGAGTATAAGGTATGGACTTTGTATGATGATAATGTAACGATTATATTATTATTAACGATTATAACGGATTTTATTTATTGTTTAATGCAAGTTAACGATGATCTAAACAATTTCGCAGTACTTTATTCTAGTCTAATAAACGTCTGTCATAAATTTACATTTAGATTACACTTAGATTGTGGAATAAACTACCTGCCGAGGTTTTTTCGAGAGACTACAACATGGAGTTTTCAAGAAGAGTTGCCAACGGGCACGTGACACCTCTCTGACTACACTTTTATACACACACACGACACCGTCCTCGCCGGCGAAGACGACGACCTCAAACACACAATACTCCGTCCAATTCAAACGGGGATGAAATTACGACGGCATGAGCCGAGGTTCGAACCCCCTAGTGGTGCCCTCAGACTAAAGTCGTATCCGTCAGGGAGGAGTTGGCTTTCAGCCGCTCCATAAGTCCTTCCGCGGGTTTGGAGTGCCATCTGCACTCGCCCCTAACGTCCGGTGAAGCTGTAAAGGCCAGCTGCGGCCAACAGCAGTACAGTAGTCCAAAAAAAAAGTGACACCCCTGGTGTTTCAGGCGTCCATAGGCTACGGTAACCGTTTACTATCAGATGGGCTGTATGCTTGTTTTTCCTTCGTGGTATAAAAAAGAAATTAATTGAACATGGTGTTCAATAGATGGCGTTAGTGATATCGTTTTTATATTTTCTTATGAAGTACACAAAGCTTTTATTAGACTATACAAAGTCTGGGTATCTCTGTATTACATATTTCAGCCATTAAGCAGGTTGCTTTTGGAACTGTGTTAAGGTTTGAATACTGATATATTATGGAGTTTTCCAATGTATAACCTTTACAGCGTATACCCTTTAGCTAGGTATATTGCTTTGCAGTAATTTTAGAGTTCTCAATATATGCGTGAAATCTTTGTAATGCAGTAAAACCCTGAAGTCGTTTCCGTCAGGCGGGAGTTTGCTTCAGCTGCATATATCGTCCGGTGAAGCTGTAAAGGCCAACTGCGACCAACAGCATTAGTCCTAAAAATACAGTTAACCAGAATGTGGGATTTCGAACCCTATTAATCCATGATCTTTATATAAAAAGAATATAGTCATCCATTACTTAAAATGAGATTGTATGATATTTCTGTTTCTACGAATAGTATTTATTTGTTATTGCATACCGTTCAGACCAAAACAAACATGTTTTGTCCTTACAAATATTATCATGCGCACTCATAATGAATCAATTTCATTATTTATGAGTTCCGTTTCGTTATCTTCATATGATAGTATTAAGGAATGCGTCACATCCCTTTAACCTGTTATAATTGTATATAGTATAATGATCTGCGTTTAAACAAGACTAAAAACAATTTAATAATAACAAAATATATTATGGGTATCAAATAATTAACGAATAATAAGGATATTTAAGCTTCATTTTGATGATGTCTTGGAGTATATTAGTAATTTCATTTGAGTGCTAATATGGATTAGTTTAAATAACACTGGTTTCCCTCGTATCCTCTTAAAAAAACCCCAGAATAAGATAAGAAACTTAGCATAATGAAATACAGAAAACAAATTAATAAAAGCACCAACCATATTTTATTTATTTTATTCAATATCCATCCATATTATGTTAGTAAACTGTTGTTTGACCATTAATTACACATTAATTTATTAACATAGTTTATAAGTTTATAAACTATGTTAGTACATTACAATATACATATATCCTTATTATTCTATATCATTCATATGTCGATGTCTATGTTCACGTCCAGAAGCTCTGGGTCCGCAGCAGTGCAATGATGTCCAGTGCCTCTGGACCGGACAATCCGAAATAATTGCTATAAAAATTCAAAAATTCAAAATTCAAAGTATCTTTATTCATGTAAGTCTATTACAGACGCTTATTATATGTCAAAGCTACCGTCAGTTCAAAATGATTTCGAGATGAGAAGAACTGTTAAGAAACTCAGCGTATTCTTTTCAAATAAATGTTGTACATGTTTACAATAATACAGGTTCATTTTTAAATTCCAATTTGAAAGACTACAATGACCACCAGCTTATGCTATTTCAAAAGCAAATAGTCTAATCAGTATTCATAGCCTGAACAGACCAGTCCCCAGAAGCAGCACCCGTTCATAAGTATGACGGGTGACATATATATAATATGTTTAGGAGGCTCATTGCGCTTCCTCGATTCCTACACGTCAGTGATGCAGTTCTATTTCGCATTATAGCATATGTCTGTGGAGAAAAATGCATTTTTTTACGTAATTGTAATATCAAACAAGCAAAGAGCCCATCAGATGGTAAGTGGTCACCGTCGCCTATGTACATGAACGGTATTATTTGCCAAGATCCGCCCCTGCATATGACAGCATGTCTCACATGCAGGGGCGGATCAACATAAGGGCTTTTTGGGCTGCAGCCCAGAGCCCCGAGACTGAAACGATATTTAGAATTTATAAAAGTATCTAGAATGTTTAAAAACCTATCATAAGGTTGGCAACCATGAGATTAATCAACCCCTGCAAGTGCGCGTCTATCGAAAGGAATGGAGAATTTGTTTGAATGGTCACTTATTTTTGGTCGGTGTATTTTTTTACTTGAGTAGGTAAGATTAAGTAGATTTAGCCCAGGGCCCCACAAATTCGATCCGCCCCTGCTCACATGCTGTCATTTCGGAGGGCTAAGATGTCATACCATGTTAGTAGTTTTACTATCATGTGATCTTTAACAAATGAAACCTTACAATGCAACTACTTGCCGGCTAAAATAAGTGATATAGAAGTACTATGTTGTCGACTTTGTCAAGTCTAGCTCTAGGAAAGATAAATTCTTTGTTAAAAATTTAAATGTTATAACTCTATCTGTCTCGCTTTTATGCCAAAACTACGGAACCGATTTTAAGAAAAAAACTTCACAGATTTTAAATGAAATTTGGTACATGTACATAGTCTAGACACTGAGAATGAACATAGTCATACTTTTTAATGCGAAACAATCCCCTTTCAACCCCTTACCACCCGTAAGGGGTTGAAAGGGGAGATGAAAGTTTGTACATCGTCATTTTAAAGCTAGAAGCTTGAAACTTATTTTTTAGGCTATTGATTAAGTAAATATGACATTCAAAGTTTGTAAAAATGTTTCCTTTAAGGGTGTTCAATTAAATTAGGGGATGAAAGTTTGTATGTGAATTTGTAATTTTAAGCTAGACGATGAAACTTTATTCTTGGATTTTTGGGTTAGATTATTATTAATTTTTTCTTTACCCAAATCATGGTCAAGGTCTCTAATCTCTAACGCGGACGAAGTCGCGGGCACAGCTAGTTATAATATAAGTGCAGAGTAATATTGATATGTTAACTTATAATTTTGGTATTTTATCTATGATTTAAATGACCCATTGTGAAGATTAAATTATTCGCTTTATCATATTCACATGATTATTGATAATTCTTTATACTTACAACTAATTGAGTGAGTAATTAGCGATTAGTCTAAATGAACAAAACATATTTGATGACCAATGTTAGATATGAATATTATAAACGCGAAAGTTAAGTATGAATGGATGTTTGTTACTCTTTCACGCAAAAACGACTAAACTGATTTTGATAAAACTTTAAGGTAATATAACTTATACGTCAGAATAACATACAGGCTATAAATTTCACGCGGGGAAACCCCGGGTACAGCTAATAGTGAATTTGTATTCATGAGTATGATTGTTTGTATCGGTCTGGGTGTTTTCTGTGTATACTATGTATGTATTTACGAAAAAAAATATATCTATGTCTTAATATCAATTAACTAGTACCCATAACACAAACTCTAGCTAGCTTAACTTGGGTCTAGATGGCGATGCGTGAATATATTCTTCTTTTTTCATGTAATCTGTTTTTCTGTAAATTATATAATATAAGTATAAGTATTTATATAATATAAATATATGTGTTATAAAATAAGTATATGTGTGTATCTGTTGATGTAAATAAAGTGAATATATATCTATATTAAAGTCCACATTTTGCTGTGTAACATAACAGTATTTTTCAAATTCACATCATCTGCTTCTTCCTTATCCCATTTATTTAGGGTCGGCTTATTATGTTTTTCTCTCCCATTCCGGCCAGTTTTTTGTTTATTTTCAAAATCATATTCAAAAATATTTATTTCATTTTTTTAGCGTTATGTCCTCAATCTCCTAACGGAAGCTGTGAAGGACCTAGGCTGGGAGGTTACAGCCAATGAGAGCGTTGTGAGAGCTCAGCACAGAGTAGACCTGCTGTCGACCGCTTGTCACCTGGAACATATGGACTGTATGGAACACGCAGTCAGAATGTACAACAGTTGGATGATGTCTGCTAATCCTGATGCTTATAATGAGTATGAATTGATATTGTTACTTTGATAAAGTTTTAAGTTGACGGCCTCTGAGGTTTAGCGGTTTATTTCGCCGCTTTACTTCCGATGGTCGCGAGTTCAATTCCCCGCACGGCACAAATATTTGCTTGCTAGGCTAGCTTGGGACTAGGCATTGTGTGAATTGTCATAATCATGAATACAAATGTTTGTACTGTGCTAGGAATCGAACCTGCGACCATTGATAGTAAAGCGGCGTGCTAAACCGCTAGAGTACTGAGGCCTTCATATATATAGGTATGAATATACTATACTTAACCGATTTTGTATTCTTTTACATTTAGGAGGCTATGTTTTTACCAGCCAGTAACACTATGGGATGTACTCTATATGAAAATTAATTGTTTTCCTATAAATTACTATCCTATATGAAAATAATTAATTTTCATATAGAGTAGTAAATTATAGGATTATTATAACAACTGCCTCTGTGCGAACCTGAGGCGGGCTACTACGTCTTAATTATCCTTATTAAAATTGTGTATCGATAACTAGGAATCGTTATCAATTATTATGGAAAAAATATATCGAGAATATGATAATAAACTTTGATAAGCACGGATAATCTGATTAAAATATAGATTCTTATTTAATGACTAATATTTATACATACATACATATACATACATACATATTGAAATAACTGTTTTTTACTACATGCATATGAATATAAATACGATACTTACGCCAAAATATATTTTTTTACAATTTTTATCTGTTTGTCTGTTTGTTCCGGTTAATCTCTAAAATGGCTGGACCGATTTTGACGGGACTTTTTTTGCCAGGCTGCTAATGTAATAAGGAGTAACGTAGGTTACTTTTATTTTAGAAATTCTTTTATTTTAGAATAATAAGGTTAAATTCCACGCGGACGAAGTCGCGGGTACAGCTAGTTAATAATATACCTATGCTATACTCACACTAAGTATTAGAATGCGTCTAAATCCAGTTTTAATTTATTTACTTAATTTTGTTTTAAATAAAGACATAACCAATTAACACAGCTCCATCTAGTCCGACGGAGCATTGTGTTATGGGTACTAGACAACTGATATAACTACTTAAATATATTTTTTGTAAATACATACATAATATATATAGAATACGCCCAGACCGAAATATATAATCATACTCATAGGCAATCTTAAGTATGCTATCTTCTTTGCTGTATCCCAAAATATGTGGGGGCGGATTTCCTAATTAGACGCCAGGACATCGCCAGGATAATCTGTTCTGGATTCTCGGGTCAGACAATTATTCCATCCCGATAAGATTACTCCAGCTGGGTCACCAGGCAGTTGGAGGATGACATCTACCTCTATTACGTTCGGGCAGACTTTTAGCTTTTTGACCTATTACCTCGTCACTTCGCATTACATGGCAGTAGGTAATAGTATGTTATCTGTGGTAATAGTGACAGAATATCTATACAATGATTGTATAGATATTTTGTGTAAAATTATTATTTCTTACTTAACATCAAGGTTCTCTGAATTTTTATTACTTTCCGATTTATCAATTTTTATAGGTAGTAGAAATCAATTTATTGCTGATTATAATGGGAAATAAGAGCTTCAACTAATTTTTATCGTACATACTATTGTTACGATATGATATTAAATGAATTATGGATAGAGTACTTTTTTTACATTTTCCAGTAGATGGCGTCCCTTGTATCAATTTTACTATTATATTTAACCTAAATACAACCTTTACAATTCCATATATATTATAAACTAGCTGTGCCTGCGGTTTCATACGCATTACGCATACGCAAATTTATATCCTATGTGATATTCTGATGTACCTATATTATTCTAAAGTTTCGTCAAAATCCGTTACGTAGTTTTTGCATGAAAGAGTAACAAACATCCATCCATCCATACTCACGACCATTCGAATTATAATATACATAAGATAATTAACCGTACACAATTATCACAACATCTATTATTATGAATATCAGAACATTGATAGATATTTTTTTTTATACACATCTTATACATAGATAAACCAGATCTATGATAGATTTTGAATTTATCTGTGATATAATATCCTGAGGTTTATTTCTTTCTTAGGAACCAAGCAGCTTAGTTTGTAATATGTGTTCCTAAGAATATCCTTCAATTCTTGTCCCTCACGGGTCTAGGTAGCGAACCTTGAAAAAGGGCGAGTACAATAGATCTATCGATAGGTCGAGTGCTACAGGTCTAAGCACCTGATAATACCCCACAACTCTCAACAAAAAAAAAAATATGTTTTACTTTTAATAGAGCTCAGATGTTAGTGGAGGCGAATCGTAGTTTGTATATATAATAAATTTGTTTATTAATTTCGATATTTTAGTTTAATGACAGAATAATCAACGAAATACAAAATTTATTTTAGGATCCATGCAGATGTCCGCAGCACAGTTTATTGCGTGGGAGTTCAGGTGGGAGGCGCCCGGGAATGGAACTTCGCTTGGGAGAGATTCAGGGTTGCCAGTGCGCCGTCAGAGAGGGAATTACTGCTATCTGTACTTGGGTGTACCAGGGCACCATACTTGTTGTATAGGTTTGTATAGAAATATCTTAATAATTATTTTTTTCTATGGATGAATAATTTTGAACAAAATTGTTCTTACACCACTTGATTTCAACGAGCCAGTGCGAAGCCGGATGTGTTGCTTGTAAATGGGTCTTCATTTTTTATAGCACAACTTTCTTCCATTTGATTACCTGGCTAATTAATTTCAGCTCTTACGTACTGCTCCTTTTTAATGTTGTAATCTTGTGGTTGTACAAATAAAGTAACTACATAAAGTAACTAACTGCATATTACAATTAATATATTTATTAAAAGAATAGTTTACATCAGAAGGGGAATTGTTTTTATTGAATGACAGCAATATTTTTTCAAGTACTCTATTTATTGCAGATACCTGGAACTGTCCCTACGCAATGATAGTGGCATTCGTAAGCAGGATACTGTGAGGGTCTTCTCTGCAGTGGCTGGATCCGCTATAGGACAGCCCATAGCCTTCAACTTTGTTAGAGCTAACTGGCTGAGACTTAAAGAATAGTAAGTATTTTATACTAGAACTCCATGGAAGTTAATTGGTGAAAAAATGTGAAGAAATTGCACGGAATATAGCAAAAACAACAACTTTATTTGCCCATACAAACTGTCAAACGCACCCTGCGTTCAGAAATTTATAGCGTAACTAAACCTTTGACATATTATTTAATTTTGTAGCGAAAGGGAGTTCGCGGTGTCAACCATTAAATAAAAATATATTTTTAATATCGTCTCGGTCCGTCGTTTATGTCATATCAGTCTGTAGTCAATTGTTCTATCTATCCTAAATATTGTCTTATACACGTATTTAGAATATTGTCAACACGTAGGTCTACCAAAGAGACCGCAACAACCATTTTCATAATGTACAACAAGATTTATATTAGACATTTAATATATGGCCGAACACTCAGTAGTTCATGAATGTGCAATGTCTGGCTGATAAGACGAAAATTTTTACTGATAACATAAAATTATTCAATTTCCTGATATTATCTGCATAATCTGCAATCGATCATGTTTGAATTAAATCTCTTATGTACCGGATAAGATTCGCATACAAACATTATTACGGAAACAGGAAATTAGATGGAATGCATTGAAATGCGATTTCCCAGTTTTTTTTTATCTATTTATGACGGCCTTGGGTAGTGGCAGTTTTGCATACAGGTTTATCTTTCTATTATCGAATGGTAAAAAACTCCATTTTGTGGATACGCTATAGGTATAATGGCGCTCGTAGGTACATCGTGTGGTTTTTTAGTGGGTAAGAATTCCACACACCTCAACCACATTTCTCCGGCAATGGGACGCTCTTTGGAAGGTTATTCCACACAATAAAAAAGGGTTGTAATAGGCTAGATGTAGAACAACAGAGAAGTGAATAGCACTTACGTTTTGCTCTTTAAATTAACATTTCATAATACCAACTTTTAGCCATAAAATTCAACATACTCTAGTATTTATTATTTAATTATATATTGTGTTTTTACAGTGTTGGATCCGTGTCCACTCTCAACTCCATTTTAAAAGTGGTGACCAGAAGATTAAACCAGCCGCATGAATATGAAGAGGTAACAGAGATTCTAAAACATATTTCAAACTTACTATAAAATTAGGGCTCTTAGCTTTGTTAGTCACATTTTTTTAATCTAAAATATGCATTTCTTTAGCAAAGACTTTTATTTTGGTACCTTAAGGAATTAAATAATTATTATATGTGGAAACCGTTTCCTATATAATTTAGTAACATTGTGCCCCTTTATACTGTAGATGGGCTAACTGACCTGACCTCATGTTCATCTTGTTATCCGCTACTGGTGCCGCGCCAGCGTAAACGGTCAAACTGTTGAAGCATTCCATTATTATTAAAAAAAAATCATAATCACGAGGACTAAATATACCTATTAATTGAGAGTTAAACACATGAATCAATCAGTTAATTTTCAATTTAGAATACAATAAGTTAAGGTTTAATTTAACATATTACAGCTGAAGAGGTTCGTAGCTGAATCGTGCGGCGAATTAGGACGTCCGGTACAGCAAGTGTTGGAGAGGACTGCTGCAAATGTTCAGTGGATGGAGAGGAATTACCAAACAATAGTAGACTGGTTATTAGCAGCTGAGAAAGGGGCCAAGAACTGGTGACCGAGCTGATTCGGAACACCCGTCTAATTGTATGCTTCATAGTGTACTCATAAACTAGAGTTGGGCAAAGCAATGATGTTTTTGACGATTGTCAATTAAATTTCGACTTTTTGTATTAACATATAGTCAACAATTTTGTGTACAGGAACAGGTGGTTAGTATAGTCTTTCCAGAATTTAACAAAATAAAACCGGATGAAATAGAATCGAAGTTATCACCAGTCTCTAAACTAGGCCGAACCTATAAAATATAAAGGAATAAGTAATTAGTATAATAACTAGTTTTAGCGAAAGTATAAAAGATCCTAGTTTCTTTTAGCGATGAATAGGTAATTATAATATTACAACTGTGTGGGTACATTTACATTTTAACTTATTGCTAAATAAATCATTAGTTGCTCTGACACTATCATCAAGTAAAATGTTATTTAATATTAACAATTTTATGTACGAAAGACACAATAAAAATTGAAACGTAACATTCTCATTTTGTTTTGTCTAATTATATACTAGCTGATCCTGCAAACGTTGTTTTGCCTTATGAATTAAAATCGCTATTAAAAATAGGGGTTTGAGATAGAAGGGTGACAATTTAGATTTGTACGTATTTTTAATGACTCTCAGACCTAGTGAATATGCATATAAAATTTTACAAAAATCAGCCCAGCCGTTTCAGAGGAGTATGATAACTAATATTATGATACGAGAATTACATATATATGTATAAATGTTTAATGCGAACTAGTTGTTGTACATAACATCTAAAAGGAAATTAGTTCAAATCATTGGTTGTTGATTTAAATTTATTCGACATGTGGCCTGTCAAGTTGTGTTCAGCATGACGTCGATAATGACAATGCTTATGACTACTCCATCCGAGATAACAATCGTGATGATATTTATATATTTAATAATTCATGCCTTATGAGCAACTATATAAAAATGAATCATTTAAATTCATGTGCATCCTACACATGAATTTGTCATGTTACATTTAACTAATTAATTAAATATTAAGTAATAAATTATTAATATTTAATTTTAATTATTTTCTTAATTCATTAAGTTATTTTTATGTTATAAAACATTCATGTGTAAAAAATGTCATGATATTTAATTAAAACGAAACAACATGACACATAAGAAACATGACTCGACGATTAAATTTCTTTTTATTTCCTTGTAATATCTTTCGACGTCCTCCGATTATTGCGCGCTATTTGAGATCTTATTATCATTGTCGGTATTGTTAGTAGCATATTATTGGCAGAAGTCAGATCAATGAATACTTTGCAATTTGTCAAAACTCAAAAACATCATTGTAGCGTGTTGCTAATTTAGTCTGTAGATTTAAAGATTCGGTGCGGTGTTCAAATTATGCTTCGATTTTTAAAATTAAGTATACTTTTTTATAATTTTGCTGTCATAGATAATTTTGGTTGCCAGTATTTTGATATATAAGAATTCAAGTATGTGTGATATGTCAGCACTCATTTACAAAGTAAAGTTGAAAATAGCTACAAATATTTTTATTTCTCTCTCATATAAACATCGTATGTGTAATTTCGTATTGTATTCGTTTTACCAAAGTCTTATTCCATGAGATTTATTTATTAAAACGTCGCCGTGTAGTTCATTTCAAACCAGACTACATATAATGCTTTAATATTTAATGACTAAAGAAAACTTATATTGAATACCGATTTATTATGTAACAACTTTTATACACAATGTATAAAATTAATAAGGCGCCATGGGATATATATTTATCATGAAACTAATTTGACTTCTTGTTTGTATTAATTTCCCAAATAACAGGTTTATATTTTTGTACCATACTACATGAAATTAGATTTTATAGAACATTACATTATATAACAATATAAAAAATACTGCAATTTAAAAAACGTCGCACGGGTAACATTTTTTTTTTAATCATTGTAAGAAACTTATAAAAAATCTAAGCGTAATTAAACAATCATCGAGCGAAGATAAATCAGTCTTTTTATTACAGAGTTATTAAATTATATAGAAACTGTGCTACAAAAATGGTCAAGAGTCAGGAAATTATATAATAAAATACTTGTAGTATTTATCGATTGGGAATAATGTTATTTCTTACTTTATTCTAATTTTATTTAATTATCCATACTCAGACCAACAGTAAGTTATAGAAAACTCTGTATTATAAGCTCTGAAATTGCAAAACTAAGGTTATAACTAACTTAAATAATTTAATGCACTTGCGATTCCTACTGCCGTACATTTTCACTACGGATTTTTCAAAATTGCACTAAAAAATTATCTCCATTTAGTAAATGGAGATAATTTTTTAGTGCAATTTTAAAAGAGAAAAGAGAAAGCTTAAATAAATGAATGTGCATTTATATCAGTTGTCTAGTACCCATAACACAAGCTCTGCTTACCTTGGGGCTAGATTATTTTTTAGATTACAATACAAATTATGACTACTGTATAACGTCCATTTTCTCAAATTATCACAATATAGAAAAAGTAGCCTGAACTGAACTTTGAAAGAAAAAATAATACAATATACACATATATTTGATCTTTAAATTACTAATTTGTTAATTAAACCCAGACTATACAAATACATAATAATAAAAGGTGACCGGATTTAGTTAATTAGCTAAACGCTGTATTAATTATTACTGTACTATTACTATATTGGGAATTGTTCCTATTAAAAATTCATATGAATGTTATAATAGTAACAGTTTCAAACAATTACATCCTCGTTCAAAGCTTATTTTGTAATTAAGTATAGTGTTTTGTCTATGATTTTTTGTTGGTCTGGACAAATTAATTTATCAATAGATTAGTGAAGTAAAAGGTTTATTTATAGAAACTAAGTTTATTGATATAAACTAATTAATAGTAAATTTATAATAGTTAATTTGTAAATTGTAAAAAAATAAATACACGTACAGTGTCCTTATATTTATGGTCAATACAATTTTCAGTAAATTATTTACATTTTTGAACATTTAATAAATGAAAAGAATTGTATTTTCAGCCAATATAAAATTATTATTAAATAAAAATAGTAAACCTTATTGCAACGTCATAAAATTAAATTTCGGTTGTTTTATTACAATGGCTTTTACTGACAATTTGAATCGGCAGACTAATCAGCTAGACGTAATTAATTAGATAATCAGTTATCTTGACCTTATTTATATTCATATAATTACGTTCCAATAGATATTCATATTGACCTAGATAATGGATTATTATAATACTGTATATAGGTTTATGATTCAAAATGGCTTTTATAGATATCAGTGTTCAATAAGGTGTGCTTTCACAAAAAAAAGCAACAATGATATTTTCTAGTAAATTTTATTAGTTTATTAAGTAGTTAATTTGTATCTATTTACTGACGCTTTGTCTATATACTTAATTGTTTCAACAATTATTTTATATAGTAAATACTACATAATATAATTTATTACTATATTCTATAAATTTGCAATATATATATACATTAATTGCTATTATTTTCATTAACTTCAATAATGCTTTTTAATGATTATACTACTCATGCACTTGATTGAAAAGAAAATCTATTTAAATAACGTTATTTATAAAAGCAATAGACTACCTTTGTGGCACTAACTACATAATTCTGTCGTATACTCAATTTATATAAGTGATATAATATTTAAATCGAATCTATGTTTTTTGCTGCGTATTGCATCTCTATGCTACTTGTAAGTAATAGGTACAGTTCGTCTTTTTATAAGCTTCAGCACAAATTATATTGTAAATAAATATAATCTATGTATATGTACTTGTAATTAACGACTTATTTAATGTTTGTAATTCAAAATACATAAGGTTTATAAAAGTTGTGTTTTATTTCTGTATTTATATTCTTTTTAAAAAACTATAACCTTAAACTAAATTAAATCAATAACAGAGGGCATTGACCTTTTTTTAGATATGTACCTTACCTATAACATTTGGAAAAATAGTTATCAACGCATTTACTCAATGTACACGTATATTAAGTACTACATAAGACCAATAGATGGCGCTAATAGTCCCTAAATATATATATAAAAGTTTTTGTTAAGTCATATTACACATGTATACATATGCATGCATAAACTTATGTATATTTGTACTATGTAAAGAAGATACTAATTTTGACAGGGCCTATATACCTAAAGGGGCTATGGCCGTACAAAAAAAGTGACGGTCACAGGTTCGATTTTTCGCGCGCTGCAAACATTTATATATTCATACATATATAATTGGTTGAACTGCTGTAGATATTTTCTATGTCATATATATCAAATGGACCGTATGCTTGTTTGCCAGCATCGTAATATAAAAAATAAATGTACTTACAAAATTCTCATTTCAATATCCACAACACTAGCTCTGCTTAAAATGGGACTAGATGGCGTTGTATGAAACGTCCAGAGTTATTATTATTCTATTCACACGCTTCGACTTATAAAGTTACAACGATTATTTAAAAGCAACAAGCAAGTTTCTTCCATTTTCTTCGTGTGAAGAGACAGCTTTCCGAATGAGCAGTAGATTAAAAGAAAGATAACTATGACTATTCAAAACTGCTTAAATTAAATTTATTTGAATAAAGAATTTTCAATTTAAGAATAGAATAAGAAGAATAAGCGATGCTTCTCCTTTGTTTAGTATCCCAGTTAGTTAAAGGACGTCGGTGATTTTTTTGCCTGAGCGGCACCAGTGGAGGATGATAAGATGCGGTCAGGTTAGTTAGTCATTATGAACATATCACAATTTTTTTATACTACGTAGGTGGCAGACAAGCATACGGCCCATCTGATGGTAAACGATTACCGTAGCCTATGGTCTGCCTGAAACACCAGGGTTGTCAATGCGCGTTGCTGACGCTTAAGAAGTTATTTATTTATTTATTCATATTAGGGATAAACCTGCATGTTTGTGTGTACAGTAATACTAAATGGCTCATAGCGCAGTGTGGCGAATTACTCAAGGAGAAAACACTGGTTTTTCCCTCGAGGAAATTTATCTACTATTTAAATATATATATATGTATAAATGTATAATATAACACGTTATATTTGGCAATGAAAATACTCAATTTGACGTAGGCACATTAATTAAGTTACATTCGCCGTACGGAATATCATTGATTGCCTAAAATGATACTTTATCAAAGTATGATAAAACAATTCGTCCGTTTCATGATTATAATTATGATACGAAGCTGATATTTTATCATAATGCGATTGTGTTGGTATTTAATATTTCATGATTTTTGATTATTATAATCCAGTCGTGCGAGTTGTTGCCTGTTCGGTTCTGTGTCGGCTCATCTTTTAATAAAGGTAAGTTTTTGATTTAATAAAATACTGTACAATCTCAAACGTTATTATAAACGGAGTAGTTATAGGAGTTAACATAAATTCTAATTCCAAAAGAATATTCGTTCTACCTATTGATTTGTTTTAATTCGGTGCTCATTGTATTTATAACTGTTAAGGATTGCATTACCTCGATAGGTCAACGACTTGTGATGTCTCCCAGATACAAATACCTGAACAATCTAAAAAGCTAAAACGTACAATACCTGTCTATCACTGTGGACTTTTTATTTTTATAGCCTGTATCACATTGTCAGGTCGGATTTGGGGACAGTGTTTGTCAGAATAAATGGTCACGTTAAGATACTCAGGGGCGGATCGTGAATTTGTGGGGCCCTGGGCTAAATCTACTACCTACCTAACTAATTATATTACTCAACTAAAAAAATACACCGACCAAAAACAAGTGACCAGAAATTCGTTAGACGCGCACTTGCATGGGTTGATTGATCTTAGGGTTGCCAATCTTATGATAGGTTTTTTAACATTCTAGATATTTTTTATATTCTAAATATCGTTTAAGTGGGGACTGGGGGGCCTTTGTATCCTCGGGGCCCTGGGCTGCAGCCCAAAAAGCCGTTAGGTCGATCCGCCTCTGGATATACTCCTGAGGGAGGAGTAGGTATACGGTATACCTACTCCTCCCTTACGGGACTATTTATTCTTTGACTCAAAACGGGACATTGGTTTATTTATGCCAATTAATAGACAGTCAAAGAAAAATAAATTCTTAAAGCTATTTATTTATTCAACAAAAGTTAGCTTAAAAGTTAAGCATATAAGTATTGAATGAACAAATTTGCTTTAAAATAGCTAGTAAAGCTTTTAAGTAAGCTGAAACTGTTGGCACATTTTTTATATTCATCTCGACTCATACCCGCTATTACTACGAATACACAAATTTTCGCGGATTTTCCCAAAACGTGACAATTTTGCGTCTCAGAGATCATTTTGGGGACACCGGGGCTTGTAATTATATAAAGGGACAGTCCCGTTTAAAACGGGACGTCTGGTCACGTATATGAACATACATAAACGCCCTTGCGTCAAGGTCTGGCTCGTTTATGGTGCATTAGAAGAGCGTAACTATCGGATCCCGTTTCCTTTTCGCCGCTTCCGCAAGAGGAGTCGCAGAAGGAGCTTACCTACAACCACGACCTATTCACCATACTCCGAATTTAATTCCGCAGTGAGAGGACCATAAACTGCCTAGGCTAATATTTACCCATATTAAATGCTTCTTAGAGACTAGATGGCGCTGAGTTATACTGGGATACTCACATGATTACGCACTCATGTATAGTATATATGTTTATAGATCTTAGTCTTACTAATACAATAAACGCAAAAGTTTCTAAGTATGGATGGATAGATGGACAGACGTTTGGTACTCTTTCACAGAAAAACTACTAAATCGGTTTTATTGAAACTTTACAATAATACAGCTTATACATCATACAGGCAATAAACACGCGGGTATGGCTGATCCATCTATCCATACTCACAAACTTACGCGTTTATAATATTAGTAAGAAGTACCTAAGAGAACTAGTTGCATTTGAAAGGTAGTATATAAATATTAATAATGTAAAGTTAATAGTATTAATTATTTTATTTAGGTATATTACATTATTACATACACCCGGGTCATAAATACCGGGAACTGTTCGGAGTTTCCTTCGTCACTCGATGGATCCGGCTCCCGCATGGCGAACCCATGGAATGTTCCCCACATTCCATGTTTTGTTGTTTGTTTGAAGGTGATTGTTAGTAATTTGGATTAATAACCCCATTACTAGCAATGTTTCATGTCAGGTTGACCTCCACGCAGTTCCCCCTGGAAACTATAATGTCAAATTCCTGGAGAATTTGCCATGATAAGCAAACTGAACTAAATTGAACTGACAAGATGGAATATGAAGTCAGATCGACTTCATACTCCACTGGTGGGCCACCAGTGGAGTATGAATTCGATCGGACTGTTTATACTGCTTGCACAGGAGAGTGCAATATTCCATTATCATCCCTTAAGCAAAAAAAAATCCATGGACTGCTAAGAATTACGTCTCAAAGTATATTAGTTTCATCATCATAGGTTCATCTAATAATCTAATAGGATGACGCAATTAAATAATACCTATAGTGGCAAAAAGTGACAGATGTAGATTCTATATATAGATATGTGAACACATAATTCGATTATTCATAGATAACCTATCTTAATCTTGTTAATATAATTGTGTTACGATATCCGCCAAATGTAACCAAACCTGTATTAATATAATAAAATTACTGTCATTATATTACAGATCTAAATGTAAACTTACAAGGATAATTTAAAAGAGCAACACACAAGTTTTTTGCTCGTTCTTCTTGTGATGAGAAAGCTTTCCGAACGATTGGTAGATAAAAAAAAATTGTTATGACTATTAAAAAATGCTTAAATTAAGTTTATTTGAATAAATGATTTTCTATTCTATTCTATTCTATAAAAACTAATTTTTTAATTGACCTCGGTGATCTAGCTGTTCAGCACACCGCTTTACTTCCGATAGTCGCGGGTTCGATTCCTCGCACGGCCCAAACATTTGTATTCATGAGTATGACTGTTTGTATCGGTCTGGGTGTTTTCTATGTATAATATGTATGTATTTACGAAAAAATATATCTGTATATTTGAATCAGTTTTTTAATACCGATAACACAAACTTTAGCTAGGTTAACTTGTCTAGATGGCGCTGTGTGAATTGTCCTGAGATTATTATTATTAATGTAGATGGCCATACATTATTATTATCTGTGGCCATACCGAAGCGGTAATGGTTTTTTTTTTTGTGAATGATAATGGAATGGTTCACTCGTCTGCACTAACGGTTTACGCTGGCAGGGCACTAGTGGAGGATGATAAGAGGAGCAATAATGACAAATTCATCAGGAATTTAACACGATGGTTTCCAGGGGGAACCGCGTGGAGGTCAACCTGACATGATACATTGCTAGCAATGGGGTTATCAATCCACATTACTAACAATCCCCTTCGCCCCAGCGGTAATGGTTGCATATCGACACGAACAACAGTACGGTCATCACGTTATCAAGAGACAATCGTGATACCACTCACATTATTTTCTAGATATAAAAGATACGTCCCGTAGTGAGCGCTTGATGTTACACACTGATAATATAGTAATCTATACGTATAAATAAAATTGGAGTGTCTGTTTGTAATATTGAAATAACCGTTTTTTACAATTTTTGTCTGTCTGTTTGTTTGTTCCAACTAATCTCTTAAATGGCTGGACCGATTTTGACGGGACATTTATTGGCAGGTAGCTGATGTAACAAGGAAGTAACTTAGGCTACTTTTATTTAAAAAAAATTAAGTTAAATTTCACGCGGACGAAGTCGCGGGTGCAACAATACATAATGATATGATATATGCTGCGTATGTGATAATTTATATATGATTGTTATAGTACGGTGTTCCGTACATGCCTGTTATCCGGTAATTTCACTGACTAATCGCAACCTACAGCCGAAAAGCTGATTAAGAAGAACCACGACTTCGTCGTCATGAAATCGTGACCAAAAAAGGGAAAATTATTTAATAATCTAAGCCAATAAAGTCAAATAAAAATATCTCATAGCTTAAAAATGACGAATTTCCATACAAACATTCACCCCCTATTCGATTTTATCCCCTTAGAACAAAATTTTTACGGAATCTCATATTATATTTATTCAACATCCTAAAAAATAAGTTTTATATCTCCTTTCAACGCCTTTTTCGCATTAAAAAATTGCCTATGTCTTTTTTCAGGATCTAGACTATCTGTGTACCAAATTTCATTCAAATCAGTTCAGTAGTTTTGGCATGAATGCGAGACAGACAGACAGACAGAGTTACTTTCGCAATTATTAATAAGGATTATTTGTCAAATAGTTGAGTGATGGGGTTATTTTTTTTAGATGGCGATGCTGAAGCTGTCCATTTTAGCTGCAGCGTTTGTGTGCGCTTGCGCAGTACCACATCCACCTCTACGGAACACTATATTCGGAGATGAGAAACTAGAAGGTCAAATCTTTGAAAATTTGCAGTATCAAGTCGAAGATAGTTCATCCCGAAATATCGCAGCTAATGAATACCGACTACCGACTACAACAATACCTGTCCATTATAATGTTTTATGGAATATTGTTCTTACTACTTATTTCATTTTTAATGGAGAAGTAACAATCAATCTAACCCCTACACAAGCTGGAGTGAATGAAATAGTTATACATTCAGAAGATCTAAATATAACTAGTTTGAGTTTAAAAAAACAAGGTTCAGAGGCAAACCTAGAATACTCCTATTTTCTTCAACCGGACTTAGATTTTTTACGGGTGCAGTTGTTTAATAGTACTCTAGATTATGATGCCAATGTTGAAAATATATACGAATTGACGATAGGATTTTCAGCTTCCTTGCGTACTGATATGTACGGAATATACCGAAGTTGGTATTTCGAAAATCCTAATAATACTGCCCTACCCATGTAAGTAATTGTATCAACATAGCGTAGATGATAAATTAGATAATTAGCGTGATCGATTCAATTTGTGTGAAAACTAGTGATTCGCCTCAGGAAGAATTCCTGATAAGGGTCTGCGTTTCCCTGTCCCAGGAAGGCCGAAAAAGATATGGATGGACTGTGTGAAAGATGACATGATGAGAAATGGAGTAAATAATGAGATGACTGCGAGCAGTGATGAATGGAAAAGGAAAACATATTAAGCCAACCCCAAATTAATGGGATAAGGAAGAAGTAGATGGTGATGATAGTGACCCGTCTCAGTTTCGTCGGTGATCATAAAAATAGGCTGTTGTAAAAAATTATAATTTTAGACTAAAGATACTATAGCTATAAATCATAATGCCATAATAGTCAAAAACACTTTATTCATATATTTATATTTGACTAATATTATAAAAGGGAAAGTTTGTTAGTATAGATGGATGAACGGTTGGATGTTTGTTATTCTTTCACGCATAACTACTGAACGGATTTTGATGATACTTTACAGTAATATAGCTTATACATCAGAATAACATATAGAGAATAATACTCACGTGGGTGAAACCGCGGGCACAGCTAATGACAAAAGCTCGGGAAGAGAAGGATCTTTTACTGGATCATTCGAACATAATTATATATTATAATAACATATTGTTCATATTACTGTACATAGTCATATGTAATGACTATAGTATTAACCCTAAATTACTCTGGACTTATATAAAAATACTATAACATTTAGTTCATTTGTTTCAGTTATATGGCATCTACTCAGTTCCAAGGGACATCAGCTCGTAAAGCGTTCCCTTGTTATGACGAGCCAAGCTTCAAAGCTACGTTTGATATAAGAATACGTCACAGTACACAATTCAAGAGTTGGTCGTGTACAAGAATTAATAACACTATTCCTGAGTGAGTAATGTATATTAAATCATCTTCACACTCTAGAAACTCAGTTTTAGTACTGTATTATGGTTTGTTGCATATATAGTAAATATATTTATTAAAATAAAGGTAAAGTACAGGTAAATGTATGTATAATCAATAATATAAAACCATTAAGAATTAGCAGTAGCTACAAGAAAATTAATCAGTCTGCAGAAAAAAATATATTTTAGTCTTTTATTTTCCCGCGCAAACGTAATGCGCCACAGATGCACAATATTATACGGCGCGCAGCCGCAGTAGGCTGCGCATCATAGCTGTATAACGATGTTAATACTAGCATGAGTATTAACAGTACATCTATAATGTATACATATAAATAAAATTGGAGTGTCTGTTTGTAATATTGAAATAACCGTTTTTTACTACATGCGTATGTTTCAGTTAATCTCTGAAATGGCTGGATCGATTTTGACGAAACATTTATTGGCAGGTAGCTGATGTAATAAGGAGTAATATTGGCTACTTTTATTTTAAAAACATTCTTTTAATTTACAAAAATGAAGTTAAATTCCACGCGAACGAAGTCGCGGGTACAGTTAGTTAACACAATATATTAATACAGAAAGTCAACACGGCTATTTCAGAATTGTTCGTAACAACTGTGGTTGTCGAACTGTAATCACGCAGACGACTGTTTACATTGTTTATCTCGCGTAAATCATCATCATCGTCATCATCTCAGCCCGGAAGATGTCCACTGCTGTACATAGGCCTCCCCCTCCCCCCTCCCCCCTCTGGTAAATGTTTTACTTTAAATACCCTAATTATGCTATTTTCTTTAAGGGGAACAACATATGTCACCGACGTGTATCATACTACACCAAAAATGTCTACATATTTATTGGCGCTTATTGTAGCCGATTATGACTCCAGGCCCGTAAATAATACTCAAGGCCTTATTACTTACGAAGTTATTGGTCGTCATGCAGCATTCGAAGACAGCCAATACGAATACGCTTTTGACGTTGGCCAAGCCCTTCTTGCTGAAATGAATAACATTACAGATATAGATTTCTATGAAATTCCTCATATGAAGATGACTCAAGCATCTATTCCGGATTTCTCAGCGGGAGCTATGGAAAACTGGGGTCTGTTGACTTACAGGTAACAATTATTATATTCAATACTAGGTAGTACCTAGTACAGGGTAGGCTAACCAATGGCACGCGTGTCATTGACGGCACGCGACACAATATTTTGGGCACGTCGTCAATCATAAAACTGTTTGAAACTGGCTCATGCTATGTTAACAATATTTTCTCCTACCTATGTCCTACCTATAGTCATTATTTTGAGAGATGAATAACATTAAAAACACGGTTAGAAACCATTTGACAGATGAATCCAGTTCAGCATGCATTTTGCTTAAAGTAACATCATACAACACTGACATAAATTATTTGTCATCTTACCTGCAGCAACAGAAGTCACACTAATTTTACAGTAATTAAATGAAAACAATCCAAAATGTACTTCTTTTGTTTACTTTATTTCATAGAGAGTTTTGATAGTATTTATTATTATTATTTTCCAAATAATCAGAGAGTCAAAATTATTTGATGGCACGTCAATGACCCCACACAAATATATTAATATACTATATATAGTGTGTATAATAAACATTTTTTGGAAAAAATGGCACGTTGATGCATAAAGGTTCGCCTACCCTGACCTAGTACTATCCCGTAGCGTTGTTTATGAGCAATGTCGATGTTACTCGCTAATAGTGTTGAATTATTACATTTATGTAATGAAATTTAACATATTTCTATGGTCACCTTATTAATTCTGAACCTTAGTTTAATGACGTACACTGGTATCTGAACAACAAGAGACACTGCCATCTCTATGGCAGTGTCTCTTGTTACTTCTTGGCTTTAACTAATTTTCACTTGATATATTGTATGTATCTGTAATAGATGTAATGTAATAAATGAAACATTTATATATTACGAAAGAATATTTAAAATCCGTGAAATAATCTTTGTGTTTATACATTCGAAACTTTTTTTTTATTCTTTCCTTTATTTAGGGACTTTTATCATAATATGATAATGCCAGTCCCATCGTGTCTTATTACTAATCTTATCTTCACACACAATACAATGAAAATAAAAAAAAATCTGGCGATGATACAGGATCAGATAGTATACCGTGGTACATACCAACATCAAGCCGATTCAGTTCAATTTTTTTTTAAAAACAATTCCCTTTTAACAGCGTCCGCGACAGACTCCATTAATTAGAAATTATTATTATTCGAAATTGCAAAATAAAATCTTTACCCCGTCAAATGTTTTATCTTAATAACTTTAGTAATAGTGAGTCATTTAAAACTAGGTATTAATAATTATAAAATAGTATTTGGTTAGATTTTCAGGATCCTCACTGAGGTTAGTCGATATTTTACAATTAAGTTACTTAGTGTTAATTATATAAGAATATAAAATTAATTTAAAATATTGCAATTCATAGGGCACGTGCAAATAAAGCAATATCAATAGAAATAATCTTTATTCAAATAAACTTAGGTAATACTTACTTTTCAATAGTCATATTTTTCATTCTACCACTCATTTCTAACGCAGACCTATCACAAAAAGAATTAGCAAGAAATTTGGGTGTAGCAAATATATATAGTTATACAAAAAATGTTATTATTGTAAACATGTACAATCATATTTGAAAAGAATACCAGCTGAGTTTCTTGTCAGTTCTTCTCATCTCGAAAGCAATCAGAACTGACGGTAGATTATACTGTAGATTAGACGGTAGATATTTTGATTTGATTTGCGTCCAATTATTTTAAAGTGTGTTGATTTTACATATATGTGCAACAGAGTTATTTATATACATCTATATATTATTACTAGCTGTCCCGGCAAACGTTGTTTTGCCTTAACTACTGACTACCCCTAACATTTAGGGGGATGAGAAATAGATATTGGCCGATTCTCAGACCTACTCAATACGCTCATAAAATTTCATGAGATTCGGTCAAGCCGTTTCGGAGGAGTATGGGAACGAAAACTGTGACACGAGAATTTTATATATAAGATTTTGTATACATTTTTACATATGTTTTTTTTATAGGGAGGCCTATCTTATGTACAATAGTGAACATACAAACAGCAATTCCAAACAGTTAATTGCGTACATTCTCTCTCATGAGATAGCTCACATGTGGTTTGGAAATCTCGTTACCAACGAATGGTGGGACGTTTTGTGGTTGAACGAGGGTTTCGCCAGATATTATCAGTACTTTTTAACACATGAGGTAAGTATTTTCTGTTTAAAATAAGCCATAGCATAACAGGCATAGCCTGTTGAAATAAGCACAGATTACAATATTTTAGGCTATTTTTTTTTATCCCGTCATTAAAAAAAAACGGACCGTCTATAAGACAAATGAAAATTAATTGTAAAGTGAGTGTATAATTGAGTGAAAGTTAGAATATCTCCTGGATGCTGGTACATGATAAGGAGCCTAGGTAAATCTTAATCGAAACAATAGGTTTTAACTTGCCTGCGTACTATTCTAGTTCGCGAATGGGATCTTTCAATTTAATTTGTAGGTCTCTTGAGAACTTGAGAACTGGTTTGCGTCTCGAGTCATAGAAATGTGTTATGTGCCTACTGTACTACCCAACCTATAAATCTGTAAATATTTTTTTCTTGGAAAAGTGTGTTCCTGTCATTTTGTTATTAGCCAAACTTTTTGTGTTTCATCAAACGAACTGGCGATCTAAAAAATGAAATATCTGCGAACTTGTTCACGTAGTTTGTGTTTGGGAGCGCATATACATAGTTCGTTCGTAAACTACACAAGCCTACTGCGAACTGGGTAGGTGCGGTATGCGGTGCATTTTACGTTTTATAACTCATAGGGGGTTCCTCTATGAGTTATAAAATCGTATTACACCTACAAAACAATATTTTTCATTATCCTAGGACAAAAGCTTTTCAGTCATACAACTCATGCGTTGATATCCGCAAGCTAATCTGAGCTTGTGTTATGTGTACTAGACAATTGATATAAATACACAGACATATTTTTTTAAATACATTTAAATAAAATTAGAGTGTCTGTTTGTAATATTGAAATAACCGTTTTTTACTACATGCATACGAGTATGAATATAAATACGGTAAATGCACCAAATAAACATTTTTTACAATTTTTGTCTGTCTGTCTATTTGTTCTGACTCATCTCTGAAATGGCTTGACCGACTTTGACGGGACTTTTCTTGGTAAGTAGCTGATGAAAATTTCTTTCATTTTTTAAAAATAAAGTTAAATTCCACGCTGATGAAGTCGCGGGTACAGCTAGTACGTAATATACATAGAAAACTCCTAGATCGATACAAACGATTATACTCATAAATGCAAATTATATATTTACTATATATTTGTACCGTGCGAGGATACGAACCCGCGACCATTGTAAGGCAGTGTGCTAAACCAGTGAGACCGTCATATATATTCGACAGTATCAGTATATTAATTAGTTGCATTATAATTGGATGGTGCTATAGGTTCAGGAAATTAATGATCAGAAATAACAAAAAAAAAATAAGAGATCCAGATTATAAGAGATCGCTTTATTCACAGGTTGAAACATACATGGAGTTTGAAACTCGCTTTATCACAGAACAAATACATACATCATTGTTGGCCGACTCAGTAACCAGTGCGCATCCTCTCAGCCACTCTGGTATTGGCAGCCAGGAATCAGTCAGCGGTATGTTCTCTACCCTGTCATATAACAAGGGTGCAGCAGTCATCAGAATGACGGAGAAGCTTCTTGGATCTAATGTTCATAAACAGGGCCTCAGGAACTACTTGAAAAATAGGTGACTATATCTTTTTTTGTAACTGTAATAAATAATAATAAAAATAACCCTGGACAATTAATACAGTGCCAAATTGTCATATGAGTATTAGACAACGGACATAAATACTTAGATATTTTTTTGTAAATACATACATAATATACATAGAAAAAACACCCAGATCGATACAAACAATCATACTCATGAATACAAATTTTAGGGCATTCGATATTGCTGCGCCTATTCATCTGTTCCAAGAACTTCAAAATGTGGCGGAAGAGTTCAACGCCACAGAGGAGTATGGAGCAGACTTCTCTGTAATTGACTATTATCAATCATGGACAGAACAAGCTGGACATCCGGTTCTTAACGTTCAAGTTAACCATCAAACTGGTCAAATGCTGATCTCTCAGGTATCTAAATTCTTCTGTTTCAGTCTTTCACTCTTGGCAGAGTGGTCGTGGCTCTTATGATGATATTTATTCGTTGTGGTTCTTGGAGTCAACTCCTCGTAATTTGCCTCCACCTGGTACGGTTTTAGGAGGCACGAGAACATTGTACAAAAGACTGCTGTGTATATCATTGGTGATCGAGCCCGAGATCGTCTGCCCTCAACTAAACATTTGATAATTTAGTATCTAAATTAGTCTAAACTAAAAATAAACGATTTAGTTTTTTTTCTTGTTATGAACTGATTCAAACTTTTGTTTATTTGAATAAAGATTATTTCTGTTTCATAAAAAATCTTTATAATATTTCTCAAATATGGAACGTTTCAGCAACGTTTCGACATCAACAGTGGTTACAGTACAGCTTTGAGGAATTGGGTCGTACCTATTACATTTGCCACTAAAAGCAATCCATACTTCGAGAACACTAAACCTACTCACGTTATCAGTGATGGTATTGCGATCATCAACCGTGGCTCAGTAGGAGACGAATGGGTCATCTTCAATATACAACAAACAGGTAATACACATTCTTTATACCTGTCCAATTCAAACGGGAATTGAAATTAGGGTCTGAGACGAGGCTCGAACTCCTAGCGGTGCCCTCAGATTAAAGTCGTATCAGTCAGGCGGGGGTTGGACTTCAGCTGCTCCATAAGTCCTTCCGCGGAATTGGAGTGCCATCTGCACTCGCTCCCTATCGTCCGGTGAAGCTTTAAAGGCAAGCTGCGGCCAACAGCATTAGAGTAGTCCGAAAAAAAAACTTTTTTTAGTTGTCTCTTTTGCGAGCGACGTGCAAAGTTGCTGTATTCAGATTACGGCTGCTGAATATGTATTTTTTTAACAAAAATGCAATAACATATGTTACCGATCACTACATTCTTCCTAATTTGAATATAAACCTATATTTTTGTAGTCACATTTGAAAAGTTCTGAAGTTCTTATCAGTTCTTATGCATGACGATTAATTTGAAATCTTATTTTAACAGGTTTTTACAGAGTAAATTACGATAATTACACTTGGGATCTCAATGCATTAGCCCTAAGGCAGAATAGCGGTATTCACGAATATAATAAAGCTCAAGTAAGTTTTTTTTAACAACTGGAATGCTAAGCCAGCGACGTTTTCTACTTATTGTCAGGTGGGCGCCATTACTGCCTGATATAAAGTGGAGAATGTCACGTATACTATACATGCATGTACAGTATCAGAGATATTATGTCATTATACGACGTTCTCGAGACAACCTCGGCGGTCTTGCGGTTTAGCACACCGCCTTATTTCCGATGGTCGCGAGTTCCATTCCTTCCTCGCACGGTATAAACATTTGTATTCATGAGTATGATTGTTTGAATTGGTCTGGGTGTTTTCTATATATAATATGTATGTATTTACGAAAAAATATATATCTAAGTATTTCTATCAGACAGTTGCGGGTTCGAGTCCTTATACGGTATCAACATTTGTATTCATGAGCATGATTGTTTGTATTGTATAATATGTATGGAGCTAATAATAAGAAGAAGGACATTGTCGACTACATACGGACCAAAAGTAACCTAACATTGAGGGTGACGAAGCTGGAGTCGAGTCACAACGCGAGTTTCAAGGCGTTTGTGGCCCGGGTCCCCACCAAAATGTTGCCCATTATGAAAGAAGACTACTGGCCGAAGGGTGTGGTGTATCGGCGTTACTGCGGCGGATTACCGTAGTCAGTGCCGTGACCACACAGACTATTTTAATATCTTAATTTTATAATATTATTTCATATGTATGTTAGTCTATAAGGTATTAATAATATGAGCCTAGTAGCCTGAAATAAATAAATAAATATAATGTAACACTAGGCGTGATGGAGTATATACATATACATATTTATATTATGTTTTTAGATTGTGAATGATGTCTTCCAATTTGCAAGAGCTGGCCTAATGCCCTACCACAGAGCGCTCAACATCCTATCTTTCCTTGAAAATGAAGTTGAATATGCTCCCTGGGTGGCTGCAATTACAGGATTTAACTGGCTGAGAAACAGATTGGCTGGTACGGAAAATTTACCAAAACTAGAAGTTAGTAACAATTTTATTATACATAAATAGTTTTTTTCGTTTTTTTTTTATACTGCGACGATGGGAATTATGCATACGGCCCATCTGATGGTAAACGATAACCGTAGCCTATGGACGCCTAAAACAGCAGGTAATTCAAATGACAATCAAGCTGACGATGACTACAGTAAGTGGTAACCGTCGCCTATATACATGAACGGCACTACGGAGATCTCGTTATGATATGAGATCCGTGATACCACTCATGCGTTGCTATTCCAGTTGACTAATATGTATTGCCTATTCTCCTATAATTTCACTGCCTAATCTGCGTCCTATAATCGAAGTACAGTACGTAGCTTACCGGCCGTGACCATAGAGACAATTTATGTTTATATTTTATTACAGTAGAACCCCGATTATCCGAACATCTCGATGTTGGATAATTGGGTGCCGAAATAAAGAAAAAACAAAAGAGTCCGGATACTCGTATCTGGACTCATTTGTTTCGGCTCTAATTATCAATTTAGATATTTGATGATTTAAACAATAACGAAAGAGAAGATGAAGAGGAGATAGAAACTGGGGTTTTATGTCAAGTAGGTACCATCTCACGCAGAAGCTTTTGAAGCTCTAAATGTTGCTTTTAAGTGGTTAGAAAGACAGGACAATTTGGATCGCATACAGTTGTTACAACTGAAGCATATCAGGGACTTGGTCGCAATGAAAAGATGTGATTAATTACGTTAAAGATCAATAACAAGTTATTTCCAACCAAAATTTTAAATTGCTTGGGTATTATGTAATTCATTATCTATCGTTACAGTTAATTTTTTTATATATCTTAATATAAAGTAAACCTCATTACAATGAAAAAATATTAAAATTTAAATATTGTTTGATTTTCTTTAATTTGCTTTCGGTTATCCTGTTTTTCGATTATACAGAATACCCCTGGTTTTTTTTGATCCGGATAATCGGGATTCTACTGTATTATTTCATATGTGTAGCATGTAAGCTATTTATAATACGGGTCATGTAGCCTGAAATAAATAAATTAAAAAAATAACTGTTTACAGTCTACTTCGGTCTGTAATAAATAGCTATAATTATTTACAGAGTTTGATTGCAAACTGGACGACCACTGTGATTGGTAATATTACATATGAACCCTTACCTAACGAGACTGGAACTAACTTCATGAGGTCGTACCTTCGGATGCAACTTGCGCCGACATTATGTGCAATTAATGCTCCCGGATGTCGTGATGTTGCCATCAGACAGTTCCAAGAGTTTGTTGAAGGAACTGAGTAAGTATCAACAATTAACAAGGAGCCGTTCACTAATCATGTGAGGCTCGAAAAGGGGCGGGGTAGGGGGTTCGGCAAATATCACTAGAGAGAGGCTACAGTTCTACTGTTTTACCGGGGTATATAGGGATGTGTTCTGAGGAATTGTTCGGATTAATACCAACTGCTGGGTTTCAACGCCGTACCACACATCGGAAACTGTGACAGTTCATTTCTCTTTTTCGGGGCTGCTTGTAAGCCGAAGAAACGGCCGTTCACGTAATCTTGGAGCAGTGGCCATACAACGTATAGAAATCTTCAGAACATCGAAACGTGAAGCCTTGAAGTCTGTAAAGACACCAGGAGGCTTTTTCGCTTCTGGAAGGAGCTTAACTGGCTCCTTTAGTAGTCTTGGCTCTACACGTACAACGGTCCTGATGAATATGGAGAATAAGATAAATGTGGAGAAGTCCATATTGCATGGTTTCCAGGGGATCGACTTGAAATCGTATATTATTAGCATTTTTTTTTATTTGTCAGCATTGCATACGTGCAAAGCCGGGGCGGGTCGCCAGTAGCTTATATACATATAGGTATACTAAATATACCTAATTACCTACATTTATCAGCGTTTCTCTACAACATTATGCATGTATTATACATATAAACCTTCCACTTGAGTCACTCTATCTATTAAAAAACCGCCTTAAAATCCGTTGTGTAGTTTTAAAGATTTAAACATACATAGGGACAAACATCGAAAGCTACTTTGTTTTATACTATGTAATAAAGATAAAGATAACTTAAAAACTACTGGCCATATCCTGATAAAATTTATAGTGTGTTTACATATAAGAAGAGACAGGAAGTACCATTAACCAAATAAAAAAAATGTGAACAATATACATTTTCCCATTCACATTTTCATGTGGTCGCCACTCGAGGACTTTACTGTCCCAACGGCCATCTGTCCTACAAGCTTTGTGCCCCGCCCATTGCCACTTCAGAGTCGCAATTCTTCGGGCTATGTCAGTCACTCTGGTTCTTCTGCGGATCTCCTCATTTCTGATTCGATCACGCAGAGTAACTCCGAGCATAGCCCTCTGAGTGACTCTGAGCTTGTTCATGGGGCCCATAGTTAGCGACCACGTCTCTGTGCCGTAAGTCATCACTGGCAAGACACATTGGTCGTAAACCTTCGTCTTGAGATACTGCGGAAATTTTTTATTAGATAGATTGTAATATGTATGAATGAAATTGTTCTGTTATTATATTTAAGCCGTTCTTTCAGGGTTCCAGTCGACAGTCGCCCCTGGGTATATTGTAACGGTCTTCGAAACTCTACAAATGCTGTTGTTAATTTCAATTTCCTCTACAATAGATTTAAAACTCATACAGTATATAACGAGAAGATTGTAATACTATCCGCACTTGGTTGTACAATTCATAGGGAATCTCTTATTACGTGAGTAATTCATATATATTATTAGTGTTTCTTTGTAATCAAAGAAATAACATTTCAAGTTTATTCTAAAGTTCTATATATATGTATGTTTCAAACTACTTATGGTCTTTATTGTAAATACACTACAGACTAACATATATATGAAATAATTATCTATACATGTAAATAAAATTGGAGTGTCTGTTTGTAATATTGAAATAACCGTTTTTTACTACATGCATATGAATATAAATACAGTACATACACCAAAATAACATTTTTTACAATTTTTGCCTGTCTGTTTGTTCCGGCTAATCTCTTAAATGCCTGGGCCGATTTGACGGGACTTTTATTAGGAGATAGCTGATGTAATAAGGAGTAACTTAGGCTACTTTTATTTTAGAAAAATAAAGTTAAATTCCACGCAGACGAAGTCGCGGGTATAACTAGTATAAATATAAATTGTCTCTGTGGTCACCGCACTGATAACGGCAATCTACCACGGTAGCGCCAATTCGGTAGATCTTATTCAAGAGTACTATATATATATATACACATATGCAAAAAAATATTAACAAATTACCCTACAATTTGGAAAGATAAAGTACAGATTAGTTGAAGTTGCTAATTAATATGACGACCTCGGTAATCTAGCGGCGATCTATTTCTGATAATCGCGGTTTCGATTCCTCGCACGACGGAAACATTGGAATTCAAAAGTATGATTGTTTGTATTGGTCTTATAAATAAAACGTATTGTAGTATTTCTATAATATAAGTTGTCTAGTACCTGCAGGGTTCGCCGATATCCGTCTGTATCAGCGGATATATATCATGATATAATGGTGATGATATGTTTCGTGATAAAAGTCAATTGATTTTTTCCTGTCATCTAAACTAAAAATTTTGGAGATTAATGTTTACCTTACAATTCAGAATAATTTTGATTGTATCCCAAAATGGCAACCTCATTTAAAGTTGGGGAAATCCCCTTTAAGTTTTAAGTAATTCTTTTGTTACTTGTTAAAACTTTTTTTTTAATAATAAATGTTAATTAATAATTTGATAATTACCTTGTTTTACAAATTCCTTTCACATTTTTAAGCGTGTCTCCTTACAGAATGCAATTCGCTTCTTTTTCTTAGCCGGGATATATATTTGATATATATCAGATATATATAAAAAAATCGATTTTTTTATATTTATTATAAAATTTATTTCAAATTATTTCGAACTCTGAGTACCTGTAATAAGTTTTGATATATATCAGATATATATAAAAAAATCGATTTTTTTATATATATTATAAAATTTATTTCGAATTATTTCGAACTCTGAGTACCTATAATAAGTTTTGCTTGGAACTATGTGGATGGCGCTGTGTGAATTGTTCAAGATTATTATTATCATGTACGAGAACATTTTCCCCCAAGTTGATAATTAAATTTTAGGTTCCTGACTGATATTTTTGAAGACAATTATATTATTCGTCCACAAGATTATAGCACCGCTTTCAATGCAGCTGTATCTGGGAACGAGGAAAATACACAAATAGTGTTTGAATTCATAAAGCAAAATCTAACTCTGGTTGAAAACGGGTAAGTAAAAATTTACACAAAATTCTATATAAATAATAATCTATACATAATGTGTGCCACAAGAAGAGAAACTTGCGACTATTTCATGGCCTCGATGGTCTAGCGAGCACACCGCTTAACTTCCATTAGTCGCGGGTTCGATTCCTCGCATGGTACAAACCTTTGTATTCATAAGTATTATTGTTTGGACTTGTATTTTCTATATATATGGTGTATGTTGTATGCTCGCACGTCACTGTTAAAGTTCAATTTAACAGTGACGTGCGAGCGTAATATGTCACTTTCGATACAAGCGAATCTTCTCGCTCGTACTTAAAACAAAGGTATATGCGGGAATAGGAAAGGATGAAGGAAATAGTGTAGTGCCAATCTTTAGAAAATTAATGTTCCGTACCAAGTTAAATTAGCTATTTCAACAAACTATTCATAATAATAATTATATCGTTCTCAACGAATACTAAGTATGTAATGTTGATCTATCTACCACATCATAGTGTAAAAAATATATTATTAATTAGGGGTGTTATATATTTTTTACGCTGGCAGGACACCTCTGGGATACGATAAAATGAGCATAGTCAGGCCAGATACCCATATCAGCAAAAGACAATTTTCCAAGATGGTTTCCAGCGGAACCACATGGAGATAAACCTGACATGGTACATTGCTAGCAGGGGTTACTAACAATCCCCTTCTTGTGATTTATATTTGTATTTCTTTTCTAGTTTCCGGGTTACTTCTCGATTCCGATCTCCACTGATCTCACCTCTGTCTACAATTGCGTCTAGATTAAGAACTGAGGCTGAAATAAATGAGGTATGATTTTTATATTAATAACTAGTCGAAACTCTACTATATTTCATATAAATTTCATGGCGTATAATGTAATTGGAATAACAAACAAGCTGAAAAAAGAATGATAACGAGCTGAGAAAGGGAGTAAATATCGAGATGATTGCTAACAGGGATGAATGGAAGAGAAAAATATTTTACGCTGACCCCTAATAAATGGGATAAGGATGAAGCAGATGATGATGAAATATTTATTTTCTTTAGTTATTTATAATAAAAGTACAGCAACATATTTTTTAGCGTTACACAGACAATAAGTCTTTTTAAACATATAAAAGTACGAAAATAATAATTATACAATAAATATGAATACTTTATTAAAAGTTAGTATATACATGACATTAATAACAGAGGAAAAAAAGCATACAATGAGTGAATGAATGAATGAATGAAACTCTTTATTGTTCCTCTCACAGAAAATACAATTACAAATACAATTATGTACAAAATGATAAAAAAAAAAATATAATACAATAAACAAGACAAAGGGGTAACAATGGGCGGCCTTATCGCTAAAAAGCGATCACTTCCAGGCAACCTTAGGATGGAAAGAAGTGATTAGATTTGCGTCTGGTAGAGGTGTAATGACGGTAACAATATTGGAAGAAAAGTTATAAACATACATATAACATAATACAATACAAAATAATATATATATATATATATATATAACAACAATTCCTTTCAGTATTTCAAAGGTTAACTTATTTTTAAGGATTGTTGTATTCTTATTTATTTTAAATGTATTTGCTGTACAATAAAGTGTTACAAAGAAAGAAAAAATATTAATGTAATAATTTTTTTTATAGTTCCAACAATGGGCTGTAGAGAACCGGCAGGTGTTGGGATCAGCTTTTGGTCCAGTCATGAATGCTGCAGAAGATACTCGTCAGAGTATTTCGTGGACGAAAGGAATAGAAGGCGATCTTTTGCTGTATCTCGAAGAAGGAGGCGCGAGTATTCAGACCAGTACATCTGCACCTACCACCACGCCATTACCATCATCTACCGTCACTGCTAACCCGGTAGTCGCACCACCAACCCCTGAGCTACCAGACTCTGCCGTTACTAGTGCACTTTCTATTAGTATAATTGTAGGCGTAGCAATAATTAACTTCGCTTTATAAATTGTTATATAACTTAGTATAAAATAAATTCGTTCCAGCTGTCTGTTCGCTTATGTATATCTTTTTTAAATTACGAAATGGATTTTAATAAGGTTTTCAGCAATAGAGCGAAGGATAGAATTAAAGGTAAAATGCCTGAAACAATAGTAAATTAGCTAATTTTAAGAATATTTATAATAAAGTTACTTCAAGATGTTTGTTTATTTCCATAGACATGTATATAGATAATTTAAATTAATTGAAATACAATTTCATTTAATAATATGTGATTTTTTTAATTTATTCCCATAAATAAGTTTAATGTCGAAATTATTAATTACAACAAATATATATGGTTCGAAAGAAATCGTATGAATCGTAGGAATGAAGATCATATCTCAAGGAAGACGTTACATATTAATGTGGATTTGGATGTGGATTTGGTTATAAGTGCAGAGGAAGATCGTAAAAGAGATGGTTGGCCTATGTGAAAGATGATATGGTAAGAAAGGGAGTAAATAACGAGATGACTGCGAACAGGGATGAATGGAAGAGAAAAACATTTGATATGATATATGATTCGAAAGTTATATTCTAAAATAGCTCCAAAATTGCTTTTAACGTTCAAAAATTCTGTACAAAATCCGACTATCCACAAATGTACGCGATGTATCATAAGAATCTTTACTTCTTTAAAATCTGTTTAGTATAACGTTATAAAACCCTTGTTGCCGATACTGCTTTAATGGGGGGACGGTGATTGTTAGTTTACTAACAATCCTATTATGCAATGTACTATGATACATTGACCTCTACGTGGTTCCCCTGGAAATTGCTCATGCCCATCTTATAATCCTCCACTGGCGGCTCGTCAGCGTAGACCACCGACGGTGGTGCACCACTACACACCATTGCTAGCAATGTACCATATATAACGTGTGGAAAATTTTCAAAAAACTATCACTCAGTCGAAATGCCTTTCCCCCTGGAAACCATTGTGGTTCCTGGCTATTTCATCATAATGGGCAAAGTGTCCTGAACTCATGCTCATCTTATCATCCTCCTCTGGTGACTCGCTAGCGTAAACTGTTGACGCTGGCGGGTGCATCTATCCCTTATCATCAATAAATAAAAAACAATGCATGTATGCTTAACATCATGGAGGTAGCTTCTTTTTTCATCTTGCATTTTTATTTGAAGTCCTCAAATTAAAAACTCCTGACGTTTATCCCATATATATATATATATATATATAAAATGTATAATTGTCAAATGTGTAAATGTAATAATGGTTGTCAATAAATGTTTTTCTTTCTTTCTTTCTTTCTTTCACATTCCCAAAACTATAGCAGGTTTACCCGATCCGAACTCGCATTCTACATATCAAGATAATAGCATCATCAGGCTATCAACGTTAGTTTATTTGTTTAAAATCACAACTTATTACCCCCGGAAACCATCGTGATAAATTCCTGGTGAATTTGTCATTATGTATCAACTGACCTGACATCATACTCATCCTATCATCCTCCACTGGTGTCCCGCTAGCGTAAACTGTTAGCGCAGACAGGTGCACTAATAAACGTTTAAAAAAAAGGATTTTATAAAAAAAAAGCAGACCCGCTAAAGTTCCTTGGCGTTTTTTTACATTTCTCCTGTTTTCCAAAATTTTTCATTGCAGCTCTATTCGTATTGGTCGTAGTATAATGTTATATAGCCTATCACACAAATATAATGTGGGTTTTTATTGTTAAATGAATTTTCTAAATTGCTTCAAAACCTAGGTTGGTTTTGAACCAATTTAGAAAATTCTTCTTTGTAAAATTAGGATTAGATAACTTATGAATTAAACCGCATTAGAAAAAAATCAATAACCCAATATTTCTTTTTTTTTCGGACTAATCTAATGCTGTAACTGCAGCTGGCCTTTACAGCTTCAACGGACGATAGGAAGCGAGTGCAGATGGGATTCCAAACCCGCAGAAGGACTTGTGGAGCAGATGAAACTCCCGTCTCACAGATACGACTTTAGAGCACCGCTAGGGGTTGGAACATCGGCTCAAGCCGTTGTAATTTCGACCCTCATTTGAATTGGACATATTTATCAATGTACATGAACCAATGAATACCAATGTACAACGCACGAAGAAAGGGACACAAGGGGACAGCTAATCTCAATATAAGACAGAACGAACGAAAAAAAAACTTTATTTTCTTTTCAACTTTATCTAAAGTTATAGAAGATCGCACGATATCACTATATCATCAATCGTTTTATTATCAGCAACGAATGTTTCAGAAAGTGATTAAAAGGAAAGTTCTGTGATACGTAGACTTAATAAATTTGGTTTCACCAATTAAATTGATAATAACACAAATACTTGAATAATGTATTATAATAAATAAAATAAGCATTTTTTTGGAAACTTAGTGATATCGTGTGATCATCTGTAAATAGGTGACCATTCTGATTTGGTGATATAGAAGTTCCTGTTACGGAACTCACATAAACATGTATCTTTCATTATTATTGTAGATATTAACAGTAAATTAAAATTCGCAATTACGTAGCACCATCCAGTCCAAGCTAAGGAGCGCTTGTATTGTATAGTCGTGTTGGATACTAAACAATTGATAGAAATAATTAAATAACATTTTATTTGAACCAGATCAATATAATATTTATGATTACAAATGTTTATATATATCGCATCGAATCTGTGACAATCGAATGTAAATCGCTAAACCAACTAGGCTGTCGATATTATTAATTTTTGTTACTTTTTAAGTATCTATAGACTTAATAGTAAAATGAATTAAATGTGTTATTACGTATAAAATATCTAAGATAAGATGTCCTTTATTGAAGTAATTACGATAGTAACTTGATATACTTATTATCTAATTTATATTAGATTACAAATATCTACTATTCAATTCATTTAGATTATACTAATCTAGTTGTCACAAAATCGGCGTAGGGCTACTTGTTTGCACAGTAAGTGTTTAAAACGTATAATGTTTTTGTTTAATTTCCATTGTTTATTTGATGTTTTTATTGGAAAATAAGTAAAATTTATTTTTAGATGGGGGCCATAAAGCTGTTGATATTAACTGCATTATGTTATACTACTTATGCAGTTCATTTTGAATTACCAACATCAAGAACTACAATTTTTGGTGATGAAATGTTAGAAGGAGAAATTTTTGAAGACCTGATCAATAGAAATACAATTACAGGTTTCAATATCAACCCTAGTGAATATCGGTTACCGAGAACAACGCGGCCAGTAGAATATGATCTTCTTCTACATGTTCATATGGAAAGATTAGCTTTTAACGGTACAGTAACCATTTACCTTCACGCTACACAACCGAATGTAAGTGAAATAATTATTCACACTGATGAATTATGGATTGAATCAGTTATTCTGAAAAAGGATAATGTCAGTATACCACAATCATTTGTCGAGGAGGAAGAATTAGATTTCCTTCGGGTACAGCTGACAAATGGCACGTTAGAATATAGTGACGAGGATATTATGTATGAACTTATTGTAAATTTCGGAGCGGAATTGCGACATGATATGACCGGATTATATAGAAGTTGGTTTCGAAACGAAAATTATACGGAACCAGTAAGGTAAGTTATTTATATATCGTTGTAATTGTATAAGGTCATATTTTCTGATGCTAAACTTACGACGGAAGATTTATTATTCTTTTGTTACGCCTCAGTCCGCCTCAGTCCTCAGTGGCCCATCGGTTTAGCACACCGTCTCACATGAATCGTCCTAAGTCCCATATTATTATTATTATATATATATTTTCGTGATTACAGTGCGTTATATATTAATTAATTCTATTCTACTATTTTTTTACTATTAAAATATTCGAGAAGAATAAAAAGTTAATTAAACTCCCCCAAATTTACGGTAGAGAAAACAAAAATTTGTTTTCAATTAACCGACTGCGTCGACTTCAAATGATGGTATAACAGCAAGGCAATGATGATTAGTTATTTACAATATTAGTATAGGATTTGTATTGACAGTAGTCCTCAAACTCGGTCAGACCTGATCTTAGGATATAGAAGTGCGGTGTCCAAAGATATATTATGAAAATAATTATAATACTGTATAATTTATTTATATATAGTAATTTAATTATTGTAAATATAAAGCTGTGGTTTGGTTGGCGTGTTTAGCACGGGAGGGAGTGAGATTAACGAAAGATTTAATATGAATTGACGAAGTATGTAAAATACATAATAAAATAACAAATAAAAATTACATAAAACGAACTTTTCAGATCAATAATTAGCAAGCGAATAATTGATGTTTTAAAAGTATACTTCTCAGTAAATGATTGTATTATATGGCTGTTGTGAATATAAGGAGGTTTTTAGCCTACAAAGCATTCAAATTACTAATGTGTATTTTAATTGTAGTTATGTAGCAACAACACACTTTCAAGCTACAGCAGCTAGAAGGGCATTTCCCTGTTATGACGAACCAGGTTTCAAAGCGAAATTCAACATAGTTATTCGAAGACCTTCCTCATACCGCAGTTGGACTTGTACCAAACAATCGTCTACAAGGGAACCCTCAATCCCAATAGCGTAAGTACATAAATAACTAATCCGTTAAAAATCGCTCTGTGAAGGTGTTTTCTAAGTATATCATGAATAAAAAAAAGTATTTATGACAATTTTTGTAGTACCCACAACACAAGATGTATTTTGCTTATAACTAAACGGTGTTGTGTTAATTGTCCTGGGTTGTAATTATTATGATCCACATAATATTAGACGGCCTTCGTGGTCTAGCGGTTTGGCATACCGACTTACCTCCTATAGTCGTTGGATCGATTCCTCGCACGGTTCAAACATTTGTATGTATTGGTCTGATTGTTATCAGTGTATATTATGTATGTGTTCCGTATTCCGAACCTCCTTAGTGTAAGCAGGTTGTATCACCGGCTTGGTAACTGGAGCAAAGGTCGCTCGTTAACACTGGCCACATATAAAAACATGTGGCCACTTAAATTTCGAAAAAAGAATAATATAAACAATTGAAAATAAGAACTGGAGAATTAAAAGGACGCTCCGTATTTTTATCGATATAAAACAAGATAATTAATGATTTATTTAACACAATATAATTGTTTTTGTTGAAAATATAAACTCTAGAGTGCGTGGCCACTAAACAGTACTACACATCGGGACGTTCCTGAGCAAAGGTGAGTAAGTTTGGTGTTACATTGCTTACTTTGGGGTGTTCGGAGTGTGGAAGACGTTCTTCCAGGTCGAAATCGTATTTTAACTTCCTTTTCCATTAATTATTTTCTTTTCAATAAATACAGTCCACTCTCTCTTTTGCATTTACACAAAAATGTATAATAATTAAGTGTTAGTATTAGTTATCAATAACTATAACACAAGTTCTGCTTCGCTTGTAACTAGATGGTGCTGTAAATTGTTCTGGACTATTATTAATATTATTGATAAATAGTATTTAACTTTTCATAAGAATTCGTCATATAATTTAAATTCATCTTACGTATTTTTTCTAATTATGATATTGACTGGTTGATGTCGTTTCAGTAATTATGAGGAAGATGTTTTTGCGGTAACCCCAGTTATGTCCACTTATTTATTGGCCTTTACTATTGCTGAATATAATTCAACTGAAGTATATGACGATGACGGTCGTCTTTTGTATGAAGTAATTGCAAGACCCGCGGCTATACGCGACAATCAGCAGCAATACGCACTTGATTTTGGACAGAAACTTTTAAGGAGAATGAGTGATCATGTTGGCATAGATTTCTATGATATTGATAAGAATCTAAAAATGACGCAAGCATCTATATCCGATTTTGCAGCTGGTGCTATGGAGAACTGGGGATTATTGATATACAGGTTTTGTTTATTTATTTTTCCTTTAACATATGGCATGGTTAGCTATATTATATCTGTACGTTCGTTAACTTTAACTTTATCGAATAAACAGCTCAACGGGTTGTAGTAAAAATTAATAGGTTGTATGACGAGGGCGAAAGTAGCTATTTTATCTAAAAAATAGACCAAATTTGCGATTAAGAACTGGTTCAGAAATATTTTAATTCTAATAATGCTGATTGTGATGATAACGCTTTGATAAATAATACAGTTTTAGATATTGAGTGTTAAATTTTATTGTTTCAAATTAAGATGATTTCAATAATGTGGAGTGGCTGCTTTCCTGCAAATATGTAGTTCTTGTGCATTTTAATAGTTACGAATTATATACATTTTCATTTACAGGGAAGCGTATCTTATGTACAATGCAAATCATACTAACAGTAATTATAAACAGCTTATTGCCTACATTATGTCCCACGAGATTGCTCACATGTGGTTCGGAAATCTGGTAACTTGCGATTGGTGGAATGACTTATGGCTTAATGAAGGCTTTGCTAGATATTATCAATATTTTCTCACAGATTGGGTTTGTATTATTTGTAACAAGAATATTTTTCGTGGCGTAAGGTTGCTCAACTTTTTTAACAGATGAATCAATTAGACAAATTAGAAATTTATAACAACAAAATTGTAGATACTTTGTGCAATAAACAAATATAAACAATTGTTGTGACTACACTAATGAAACAAAACTATTCAATAAAATAAGCATCTTATAGTAAAGTAACAAATGCATCTGATAATAATGAAATAAAACTGAAAATGAAATTAAATAAAAAAATTTATTTTATATTTTTGTAAATTTCTAAAATGGATGAGCTATTTAAAGTTAATTTGTGGGCCACAGGATTACCCGCGGACACTAAGTTGAGTAATCTTAAATAAATATTGCTTGAAATTGAAGAGTTTCAGTACACTGGTAATACATTTTAGGAAGACCATGAATTGGGTTTCGATCAACGTTTCATAAATGAACAAGTACACGCAACTTTGCTTGCTGATTCTGTTGAATCTGCACATCCTCTCACCGCCTCTGGTATTGGAAGTCCAACTCAAGCTCGAAGCATGTTTACAACTATCACTTACGGTAAAGGAGCAACTATTATCAGAATGACTGAGCATCTTCTGGGATTTGATGTTCATACCCAAGGTCTGAAATATTACTTGGACAGCAGGTTGGTGATATAATTTATGTCATTGTAATGGTTTTAAATACAACTATGTACTTACAGTAACTTTGTTAAACATTTTTAACATTAATTATTATTTATGTAATTATGTAGGGAGTATATTGATATTTACTTTGATATCATGATATTTTCCTACATAAGGAATAACTGGTGTAGTGAATTGTAAAAACACTTGACATGTTCCAATTTTGCTATGTATTTAAATCAAACGTGATAGGGTGCAGGCCTATAGCCATTGAGGTCCTGTGCTATATTATACTGATCTAAATTAACATTAAACATATGTATAAGAATTAGAAGTCTAAGCAACGATTTCTTGCTCGTTCTTCTTATGATGAGATAACTTTCTTAAATTTTTAGACAATTCAATACAGTATTGCCAATTCATCTTTCTGAAGCTCTCCAAAGAGCTGCAGTGGAAGCTGGAGCAATAGTAGAGTATGGGCCCGATTTCTCTGTTATTGAGTATTACAAAACATGGTCCACACAAGGTGGTCATCCTGTACTTAACGTCCAAGTTAACCATCAGACTGGTCAAATGATAGTTGTTCAGGTACTGATATTCTTATTGATCGTAATAAGTAAATTGAGTTTATTTTTAATTGGCGACCCGCCCCGGCTTTGCACGGGTGCATGGCTGGTATTAAATATGTACCTAATACATAATGTCCTTATAGACAACATTTACAGCTTTTTTGTCATTAGATAGTAGAAACACGTTTTGTTTAGCGGCGGCTGGGCCGGTACCGCCACACCGCTATTGCCCTGCATTTTGAATCTGTAATGTCTTTGTAAATATTCATTTAAGTCAGATTATAGACGGCCATATTGATCTATATTAAATGGACAATGCAGCTATGCCATTAGCACACCGCTTTACGTCCGATGATCGCCGGTTCCCATGGCACAGACATTCATGAGTATGACTGTTTGTATCTAGGTATTTTCTATGTATAATATATATGTATGTATTTACGAAAAAAAAATCTATGTATTCGTATCAGTTATCGAGTACCCATAACACAAGTTTTTACTAGCTTAACTTGGGTCTAGATGGCGCTATGTGTATTGTCCAGAGATTAACAAAAATATATAATTTGTTTGTAATGCAATGTTAAGTAGGGTTGTTAGTAATGTGTAAACGTAAAAAATTCTTCTTTCTATATTTTTGGTCTCATAGCGCGTAATATTTTCATCTATGTAGTATAAACTAAACATCATAAATGTTGAAATTGTACTTCATAAAAGGAACTTTCCCCTAGCCATTGTTTATTGAATTTCATACGCTCAGATCCATCCAATTTATTTTATACTATCTGTGCCCGCGGTTTCAGCTGCGTGAAATTTATAGCCTATATGTTATTCTGATGTATTTATAATCTATATTACTTTATGGTTTCATCAAAATCCATTCGGTACTTTTTGCGGTACTTTTTTACTCACAAACAATATTAATAAGATTATTTTTTTTATTATTAGAACGGTTGCATATATATTGCCATTAAATTTTTCTTTACAATTTATATGTTTTAAAAGTATAAAAATGTTCTTTTAGCGTCGTTTCAATATCAACGTCGGTTATGGAACAGCATCAACGAACTGGATTATACCAATCACATTTGCTACTGCTGATGATCCAGATTTCAATAACACGAAGCCTACTCATATTATCACAGATAGTATTACTGTCATTGATCGCGGATCGATAGGCGATCAATGGGTTATCTTTAATAAACAACAAACAGGTAAAACATATTGTACTCGATTTTTCACTATTCCTCTATTAAATGTTTAAAGGTGCTAGGATTATAGAAATAACTGAGACGTGTGGGCAAATAGTTAGTATATATCTATTGAGAGTTGTCAACCGATATTATAAACAGTTTATTTCTTAGTCGGTTAACGTTTAGGATATAATGGCAGTTGAGTACCATTTTTATTTTTATAACACAGGGGACAAACGTTTCTTTGTCAATTGACTTGTTAGACATTAAGTTAGCAATGGTAATTTACATTTTAGGCACCTTAGTCATAACTCGAAGAGATCGATATATTTATTTCGTATTGAGTCAATAAAGTAAAGAGTTTGATTCAATTCGATTGTAATTTTTTGTTCCCCAATTTTTGCAAATTTTTAATTAATATCTATTTTTTAATCGAAACGATGTAGTGAAGAATCAATTTTTATTATGTATATATATAAAACAAAAATATAACTGATCGCTGCCTGTACGTGAAAGTTACGAGTATATGACAAAAATAATATTGGGCTAATTTATCAACCTAATAAAAAAGATAACAATAATTCTTAGAATTTTTGTTCGTTTGTGAGCGCTAATCTCAGAAACTGCTTTAACGATTTTAGTGTTCCTTCACTGATGTATTCTGGTAAGATTTACTTCAAATTTTGTATTAATTTTATTCCAATCGGTTTAAATGTAAGTAAAATTCCTAAATATTCTTATATAAATCTTTATATCGAATTATTTACTATTATGCATTTGTTTTCTTTTAGGATACTATCGCGTAAATTACGACAACTACACATGGGATCTCATTGCTATAGCTTTGAAGACAAACAGGACTATTATTCATGAGTACAATAGGGCACAAGTAAGTAAAAAATATAGAAAAAAATCTGCATCTTTAAATAGATATACAGATAGAGAAAAAACATTATTTTACCCAATTTATACAATATTTACAAAACTCCTGTCGGGGCCAGTCTGCAGTCATGCAAATTCGCTCTTAGTATACATAAGTAGATATGCTATTCAGAAAGTATTTTAATGCACACAAATACGGATAATGTAGTCTAAAAATTATCTGATCTCATTAGATGCACAGAATTGTATCTAATCTAAACTAATCTCTGACGTCATTTTAATAATAATTTTTACAAGTTGTATATATCTATATACACCAGAACTAATACCTTAGACTTGTGATCCACAAAACTGAATTTTAAAGCTGTTACTATCAACCAATTAGATAACAGCTTTATTTTTCGACTGGGATTTTCCATACACCAGGTGTGACGGCATATAAATTTTTATCTCCTTTTTAGATTGTCAATGATGTCTTCCAATTTGCGCGTTCAGGATTAATGGAATATAAAAGAGCACTAAATATTCTTTCTTTCCTTGAAAACGAAACAGAATACACGCCGTGGGTGACAGCAATGACTGCTTTCACTTGGTTAAGAAATAGATTCGCGAGTACACCATATTTGGCAGACCTTGAGGTAAAACTTGATTTTATATAACTTATCTTAGCTTGTTGTGGAATGGATCTGTATGTATTGAAAATGATATTGTGTATTGAATTGATTAATAGCGAAATAACACATACGTTGAGTATTTGTCAAGAAACTTGTTGTATTGCGGTGTGGAGTTGTGGAGAGTGAATACAGGTATGTAATATTATCTTATCTATGGTACAGATGAAGAGGTCACGACCTACAGTATTAGTATATTTTCTTTTATATTATATATATTAAATAGGAAAGAATGTCAAGGTTTTGTAGTTTGCTAAATGATTTCGAACTTGTTCGACGTCAAAAATATTTTGGGTTAATTTGAATTTATGACTCTACATTGAGGTAAATAATGATAACAAACTTTATTAATCCAGGATACGGCGGTGGGTTCCTCTTTTAATAATATTTAAAGTTTGAACCCATGTGTTTTGTAATAGTTTCCACAAGTAGATAGTCAACAATTTACAGATTCAATATGAAATTAACAGTATATCAACTAAATCTGTAAAAGTACTATATTGAAAATTAGATATTGCGGCCGAGTTCATTCTTCGGTTTATTTATTTTATTCGGACTACTCTAATGCTGTTGGCCGCAACTGGCCTTTTCAGCTTCATCGGACGATATGGAGCGAGTGCAGATGGCACTCCAAACCCGCTGGAGCACTTGTGGAGTGGAGAGGTCAACTCCCGCCTGACGGAGTGCTATGACTGACTGATATGACTTTAGTTTGGGGGCACCGCTATGAGTTTGAACCTCGGTTCAGGCCGTAATTTCGTTTGCCGTCGTAATTTCGATCCCCATATGAATTGGACGGGGTATCGATCAGAGGGGCCATTCTTCGGTGCGTGTAGCTTCTGTTATTTAGCACTTTTGAGTAGGGCAGCGCCAGCGGATGTAACATGCGGGATGAATGTACATTTCTAGTCGTCTTTTTACACCATTAGTATATAACACAGTTAGGGGCCTTCCATTCTTCACTTAATGTTTTTTAACATTTTAATAATAAAAATAAAATTTATAAAGGGAGCTTTATAAATTTTATCTTTATTGCCATTTATAAAGTACTAGCTACTCGCCTCGGCTTCACGCGGGTACATTTATTATATATATAAACCATCCTCTTGAATAACTCTGTCTATTAAAAAAACGCTTCTAAATCCGTTGCGTAGTTTTAAAGATTTAAGCATACATAGGGACAGACAGCGACAGAAACAGCGACTTTGTTTTATACTACTTAACAAAAAATCAAGGTCACACTACAGACTGCATTTCGGTTTAGAAATCGCGCGTGTGTCGAAAAAATAAATGTACGTGATATCTTAACAAAATTATATGATATCTTATGGGATATCATATGATATCTTAAAGGTAGGGGGAGGCCTTTCGAGCCCCACGAGAATAATGGATGGCCCCTAGTTATTTAAAATTTTATCGTTATTTCGTAAATTATTGTTACAGAGACTTATCATTGATTGGTCTAGAAACATAATGGCTGATCTCACTTACGATCCTCAAGATGGAGAATCCTTCATGAGATCGTATTTAAGGTCTCAATTAGCTCCAATCATGTGTGCCATGAATGTCACCGAGTGCCAAGAAGCCGCTATAGGAGAATTCAATCTCCTAAGGAATAATGAAACTTATGAGTACGTTATAAAAAAATATATAATGAGTTTTAGGGTCCACTTTGTACATAGTCATAGTCGTCTCTGTCCATTTCAGACGAATTTATTAATGATAACAGTTCAGTCGCTTATGAATGACACGTTTTTTATTAATATTTCTTTCCCTACCGTCCAGTTACGTCAATTAATTGCATAGTACTGGCAAGAAATTCGAGTGAATTTATTTTTATTTTAGTCCTCCATTTTGTTAACGCGTTATGACATCATATATAGTTTTGCTCATATATAAATGTAGGTGACGGTCCAACATCAGGTGAGACGGAAGTGTTTTGCCTATTAAAAAAACACAAAACAAAAAACTACCTCTGTGCTACTGGAGTGGTGTTTTCTTTTTTCCTATGGTTGATAATGGTATGGTACACTTGCCTGCGCTTACGGTTTACGCTGGCGGGCCACCAGTGCATGATAAGATGAGCATGAGGTCAGGTCAGTTAGCCCATGGCAAATTCACCAGAAATTTAATATGATGATTTCCATGGAAAACCGCATGGAGGTCACCTGATATGGTATATTGCTAGCAATGATTAACCTACATTACCATACCCTTCCCCCTGGATTGGTGGTATAGGATCGTTTTGTAGCTTAAATAGTATGCAAATAGGTTTTATCGAGAGACAGCATGGGATTTTTCAAGAAGGGTATATTAAGGTTTCTTAAGGGTCGACAACACGCATGTGACACCCCTAGTGTCTCAGGCGTCCATAGGCTACGATAACTGCTTACCATCAGATGGGCAATATACTTGTTTGCCACCTACGTGGTATAAAAAAAAATACTAGATGGCGCCGAGTGAATTGTGTGGTTTATATATTCATTGTATCTAATATTCTAATGGTCAATAGGGTTCCCGTCGACAGTCGCAACTGGGTATACTGTAATGCATTGCGTAAAGGTTCAGAGGATGATTTTGAATACCTATGGCAGAGATATAAGAGCCATCATGTATATAACGAGAAGATATTACTTCTCTCAGTCCTTGGTTGCACTCCGCATAGAAATTCACTATACACGTAAGTTTTTAATATTATTAACAATATTATATTTATGTATTAATATATAAATGTATTGTAAAGTATTATTATTTAGTACTTAGTATTGCTATGCCTTTCTTATTTCTCTCGTCCATTCTTGCGCCATCTACCACTTTCTGTTTTCTCTCCTCTACCCAAAGGTTGTCTGGAAGAGATTGCTTACGCGATAAGACCGCCTTTTGTACCTTATTACTTCTGTTCATGTTCTTTGTTGTGGTGTGACGAGGATAGACAAGATAAAGAATGAATACATCAGAGGAAGTATGAAAGTGGCACTGATGTCAGAGAAGTTAAAGAGTAATCGTCTATCGTGGTATGGGCATGTAATGCGTAGGAATGAAGATCATATCCTAAGGACGGTGTTACATATGAATGTGGATGGTTATAAGGGTAGAGGAAGACCGAAAAAGAGATGGATGGACTGTGTGAAAGATGATATGGTGAGAAAGGGAATAAATAACGGAATGACTGCGAACAGAGATGAATGGAAGAGAAAAACATATTACGCCGACCCCAAATAAATGGGATAAGGAAGAAGCAGATGATGATGATGTTCTTTGTAATATACTTCTGGTACAATAAAGAGTAAATAAATAAATAAATATATTTTTTATCTTTCTACCAATTCAGTCTTATGATCAACATAATCTTCATTATCGTAATCATCGTTTATTCATTCGATCGAGCTCTTGTTACTTTGCACCATGTTGCATCAATTTCTTTAGTTGTTGACACGACACGACTCAAACTTTTTCCTTGATCTGCTTAATATAACTGTATCTTGGTCTTCCTCTTCCCCTCTTTCCTTCTACTTTTTCCTTCGCTAATATAATTTATAAATACGTCGTGTCGTGCCGTCGTTCAAGTGCCCCAACATTTTTATGCATTACAAATCTTTGAATGTTCTATACTATAACACGCATGTATTATACAAATAAACCTTCCTCTTCAATTACTTTATCTACTGCTGAAAGCAGCATTAAAATCCGTTTTGTAATTTGAAAGATATAAACGATCAGATAGATATGACTGAGCGGTGCAAACTTTATCTATACTAATAATACAAATGAGAAAAATTTGTTTGTTTGCCTGTAGATTTGTTACCGTTTCACATCAAAACGCCTAAGGGACTTTAATAAAATTAATGTGAAAGTAGTTTGTATCTGATGGTAACTAGTGTAAGAGGGGGAGAGGAAGACCAAGGTACAGCTACATCAAACAAATTAAGGAGAAAATGGGAGTTGTGACGTATCAAGAATTTAAGAGCATATAAATGGGATAAGGAAGAAGCAGATGATGATGGAAGATCGCGGAAAGTGGCAAGAGCTCTACCGACAAAAGCGTAGTTCTTACATTATGAATGAATGAATGAGTAACTAGTGTAATATAGATTTGAATTTAATTTCAGTTACATGGATGCAATTGTCACTGAAAACTATTTAATTCGTCGACAAGATTATACCACAGCATTCAATTCAGCTGTAAGTGGAAATGAAGTGAATACACAAATAGCATTTCAATATATCAAGGACAATTTGACTTTAGTTGATAATGCGTAAGTTTCAGACATTATTTTAAATTATTCGTTTTTGCGACAGACTCGACATTGGCTTTGCTGCAAGACATTGCATCTCTGTGCATTTTCTACCGCATATATCACGGAAAATTCTTAGGAATTGTTCGGATTAATATCAGCTGCTGAAGCAAGCCTTCTGCCGCTTCTGCTAGAGAGAGAATAAAGTGACTACTAACATATGCTATTGCAAAAGAAAATAGTCTAATCAATGTTCGTAACCTGTCCCCACAAGCAACACCTGTTCACGAGTATGACGGATAATCGATTTACACCAGATCGTGAGTCCAAACTTGGTTAACGTTAAGGCTGGCCGTACCTCGTTGGATTCAATAATGAGCGAGAAAGTTGCGTTCACCACGGCGTCGATCTTTGATAAAGCGTCATCTAGGACGGCTGTTAGTCGTTGCTATTAATTATATTTGATGGCCTCAGTGGTCAGCGGTTTAGTACACCGCTTTACTTCAGATGGTCACGGGTTCGATTCCTCGCACGGTACAAACATTTGTATTCATGAGTATAATTGTTCATATCAATCTGGGTGTTTTCTATGTATATCGTGTAGGTATTTACAAAAAATGAATCTATAAATTTAGTATCACAAGTTCTGCTTTGCTTGGAACTTAATGGCGCTTTGTGAGTCGTTCTGAAATATAATTATTAGATGTGTAAAATATTTTTTGTTCAGGTTTGTAGTGAGGTCAACTTTAGCAACCCCGCTCTCATATGTGTCAGCCAGATTAAGAAGCGAAGAAGAAATAAACGAAGTAAGTGCACCCTTTTTAAACACATCCAAATAACAGTATAGAAGAATCATTACATAGTATAAAATAAAGTCGCTGTCGCTGTCTGTCCCTATGTATGCTTAAATCTTTAGTTTTGAAGATTTAAGCATATACGCAACGGATTTTGAAGCTGTTTTTTTAATAGACAGAGTGATTCTAGAGGAAGGTTTATACATATATTATACATGTACATCCGTGCGAAGCCGGGCCGAATAGCTAGTACTACATAAAATTTAGTTACCAATTATTAACTTTATACCATAGTTTTTTTAATAGATAGAGTTATTCTAGAGAAATATATATATATAATACATGTACACCCGTGTATTGCCGGGGCGAGTAGCTACTGTCATATAAAGTATTCTAAATGGGTACAATAGCACTTTGGTGAGATATAGTACAGTAAAATTGCAATATATGGTGGTATAACAACTTTTTTTATTGATTTTCCTCTGGAGAAAATGTATTAACCATTTGGAAAGTTAATATATTTTCTTCAGAGGAAAATCCGTGACCATTTATGTAGGTCTAATTTTGAGAATGAATTCCTTGTAGGTGGCCATTGATGTGAAAGATTTAATTCGTATGACCGTCGGTCACTGACTTTCCATCAGGTGGACTTTAAGAGTGTTGCCATTTCAATAATATGAAAAAAATGCATTAATGTAAAAAGAACCTTAATTCTGTAGTCTCTTGAGTAAATAATGGAATAAATACTACTTTATGAAGATCAGCTTACTCATCCAATTTTTACGATATTTCGTACAAATTGACTAACCTTAGAGAGGAAGGATTTGATATTTGTACGTTTATTTGTAGAAGGTAAACTAAAAAACTATTTAATCGACTTTTTATTTAAATTAACTATCTTTAGCTCCATCATCAGCGAATAAAATAGGGACTACTCGCATGGACAAGATGTCCATGTAGAGTAGAGTAGCGCCGCGGTATAAAGCCTACCGTAAAATATACATTTATCATAGATTGCATAGTTATTTAATATGTCTCGGTCTATCTATCTATCTAGCAGTTACTTTAATTTTTACTTCCGATGGTTGTGGGTTTGATTTCAGGCACGGTACAAACATTTTTATTCATGAGTGTAATTGTTTGTATCTGTCTGGGTGTTTTCTATTTCTATTATGCATGTATTTACAAAAAAAAGTAGCTGTGTTTTTATATTAGACGTCTTGTATATATGTGTATATTTAGAAGCTTAGAGAGCTTAGAGCTTATAATATGGGTATATTATAAGCTCTAAGCTCTCTAAGCTTTAAGTTAGCGCTGCTAATTGATCTGAGATATAATAATATTACAATATACCTGGATAATTTACACAGCTCTATCTAGTCGCAAACTAAGCAGAGCTTGTGTTATCGATATTACACAACAGTTATAAATACTTAGATGGTTTTTTTTATAAATACATACACAATATACATAGCAAACATCCAGATCGATACAAACAACCATATTCATGAAAACAAATGTTTGTAATGCTATTCCCTAGATAAAATTGGGCGTTATACATAAACTGTATGAGACTAGCTGTTATCCGCAAATTGGTCTGCTTTTTAGAAATTGACCCGCAGCTATCGGAAGTAAAGCAGTGTGCTACACTATCAGTATACCGATGCTGTCAATTATTATTATTAAGAATTCTTCGCAAATCTAATCACTTCTCTCCATTCAAAGGTTGGCTGGAAGAGATCGCTTTTTAGCGATAAGGCCGCCCGTTGTTACCTTTGTCTTGTTTATTATTGTGTTTTTTTTTAACATTTTATACATAATTTATACATATAAATAAAATTGGAGTGTATGTTTGTAATATTGAAATAACCGTTTTTTACTACATGCATATGAATATAAATACGGTACATACAACAACTTATTTTTTTTTTACAATTTTTGTCTGTCTGTCTGTTTGTTCCGGTTAATCTCTGTACCGATTGTGACGGGAGTTTTATTGGCAGGTAACTGATGTAAGAAGGAGGAAATTAGGCTATTATATTGTATATATTTATTTTAGCAAAATTCTTTTATTTTAGAAACATAGAGTTAAATTCCACGCGGACGACTTCGCGGGTACAGCTATGTTATTGTATTTTCTGTGAGAGGAACAATAAAGAGTTTCATTCTTTCAATCATTCTTTCATTCATTCATTTTATTTCGCAGTTTGAGCAATGGGCGAGAGACAATCGCGTGGCTTTGGGTGTTCATTACAATGAAATAATGAGTGGTGCAACATCTGCCCGTAATAGTCTGAACTGGGTCCTAGCAGCGCAAGACGACGTCCTAGACTACCTTATAAATAAAGGCGATGACATAACAACCACTACTGCAGCTAGTACTACAACATCGACTGTTTCAACAGTAACTGCAGATATCGTCGTAGCACCGCCTACACCAGAGCTGCCCGACTCTGCTGTCACCACAGCGTTATCACTAGTGTTATTAACATTGTCGTTTTGTGTTAACGTTATGTTTTGATTTTCTTCTTAAATATTAGGTCCTTACATATGAAATTGGCCTTTTGTCGTACTGGCCACTTTGATCTCAAATATCTCCTCTTTGGTTATGAATCCCAATTTCAAATTTATACAGCACATACATTTGTATGAGCATATGTTTTTCGAAAACCGTAATATGTTTTTTCCATCTTTGGTTTTTTCTTTGCGTCACTCACAAAATGGAAACCTTAAAATATCGCGTTATTTATGAGTACGAGTTCCGCCGTGACACCAATGCTGCAGAATATATTATATTTTGAAAAACTCGACTTTAGGTTACTCCTCTACAACACCAATTTCATATATTTATATGACCTAAAATATGTAATTATACCTTCACTATAGAAACCCCAAAAGCGGTAGTTAGAAATGTTGTTAACGGAGTTGTTGTAAACTCAACATTTGAGATGACCATATGTCATTTTGTATATTTGAATCAAATGTGGCAAAGTCCAAACCTACTGCCAGAGATGTCTCTAGAAATAATAATAATACCTGTCGCATTACTAGAAAATTTCTGACTTTCACAATAAAAACTACATATGTCATTACATAGCGCAACCTCTCCCATACTTGGCCAAGGCCGCCCCGACCACATTTTTACACACATAGTCGACACCGTCCTCGCCGGCGAAGACATCGACCCCAAAAACACCATATCACGCAATCAACCGGGCGCCTACGCGCGCTTTGCGCTCCACACCTGGTCGCCCCTCTGATCGATACCCGTCCAATTCAAACGGGGATAGATATTACGACGGCCTGAGCCGCGGTTCGATCCCCTAGCGGTGCCCTCAGACTAAAGTGGTATCCGTCAGGCGGGAGTTGGTCTTCAGCCGCTCCATAAGTTCTTCCGCGGGTTTGGAGTGCCATCTGTACTCTCTCCTCTGTACTCTCTCTCTATACTGTACTCGGCCCCTATCGTCCGGTGAAGCTGTAAAGGCCAGCAGCGGCCAACAGTATTAGAGTAGTCCGAAAAAAAAAAACTTGGCCAAGGCCTGTGTGGGTGCGTATCACCTTCTTTTAAATCGGATAAAAGAAAAAAAAAAAAATACTGAATGTGACTCCCACTTAGCATTTATACTGTAGTATTATCAGGATATATCATAGCCCTCATTTTCAGAAAGGCCACCACACACGAGACAAGACAAGAAAATAAAACGTTACTAATAAGACCATTTAATATATATGTATGATAATTAATGTATAAATAAATACAATTTTCATGAATATATCGTTGTTTTCATCATCGGAGAGTAAATTGGAATTATAAATTGATACACTGTCCTTTTAACTGATAATCCCATTTTCCTTCAGTCTTTCTAAACGTATGTATGCTATTAAGCATATGTATATTGTTATTTTATTATATATAGTTATAATTATATATATATATATATAGATATATATATATATATATATATATATATATATTTATTGCGCCACCTACTTTTTTCTTCTTTTTACTTTCTCTATCCACCCAAAGGTAGTCTGGAAGAGTTTGCTTAGCGATATGACCACCTTTTGTATCAGTATATGTAATATATATTTATCTTCTTTTCGTTATGTAAATGGTACAATAAAGAGTTAAATAAATAAGTAAATAAGTCGGCAGATATGTGATCATTGTACATAAGAAATCCGACATAGTTTTTGTACAAATTCGTCTGCATTAGAGTATGTACTTATGCCTAACTCACTAATAATAAATGTATATTATTATTATTAAGTTACGCCTAAGTGCTCTATAATTTTACTGCCATATTTAGCAGAAAAGTGTTAACATTATATTAAATTAATTTAGCAGCATGTATATATGTACATACATACACGAACAAATATATACACATAGTTACTCCAACATAGTAAAATAATAATTAAAAACCAATATACTACTAAGAAATATTTGCTAAAAAGGACTCCGCTCAGCATATTGCTGCAGCCGAAGCTACAGCGCTGATTTTCAGCGGAGGGATTAGGGTAAATAATGTAGAAAAAAAATGTGGATCAACTGAAAACAGAACACAACACACAACACAACAGAAATTATAACCTTAATGTATTTTATTCCACCGAAATGGATTGAGGACATACGCATGAGGTGTATCACGGTTCCCACATGATGACGTGATGTCTGTAATGTTGTTCATGTATACTATATAAGTATATACATGTATGTATATATTTTATTGATTGTCATTTCATTCACGTGAAAGAAATATTATTTCGGCATTTTGTTGACGGCCTATTTGGTCTAGCGGTTTAGCATAGCGGTTTATTTCTGACGGTCGCAGGTTCTATTCCTCGCACGGTACAAACATTGTATACATGAGTATGATTATTTGTATGGGTCTGGGAGTTTTCTATGTATATTATGTATAACTTTTTACAACCACAACGCTCGCCGCATTGTGGTTGTAAAAGGTTTTTCAAAAAGGTTATATTAAGGTAGATATATCAGATGGGTCATATGTTTATTTGCCACCATCGTAGTATAAAAAAATGTTGTCCTTTACTTTCTTGCTATTTTGTTAAATTCAAAGATAAAACATACTATGTATAATATAAGTGTATAGATGTATATAGGTAGGTAAATATTAAGAAAACTGAGCGATATCTTGCCAACAAACTGTTCTGCATTCTGGCGAGTCAATGTGTAAAATTAAATGTACTTATATTTTTATTAAATAAATAAAAAAACGTGGTGGAAACAACGATAGCAAATCAGTTTCACCATAACCTACAGTTAACGATACTTCTGACTACCCCATCTGGGATAACAGTAATAATAATAATATCCCAGGAAAATTCACACAGCGCAATGTAGTCCCAAGCTAAACAGTACTTGTTTTATGGGTACTAGACAACTGATTGATATGGTTAGCATTTTTTTTGTAAATACATAAATACACGTAGAAAACACTCAGATAATCGTACTCATGTATACAAATGTTTATACAATGTTTGTACAAAGAATCGAACTCGCGACCATTAGAAGTACAGCGGTATGCTAAACCACTAGACTACCTAGGCCGTCGTAGATCTTACGACGATCTATTTATTTGAAAGCGTCAATAATTTATGCGCATGAGTGGTTTCAAAACCCCATTACGTCACAACTATCGCTATCCTATGATCATGTGATTATCAAATAAATAGAGAAAATCCTATTAAAATTTTATATCTATGAAATAATTAATGTTTATAATCACATCTATGATAAAATTTCTATTAAGATTAAAATGCCAAACAAAAAAATATAACATTAGATACCATCCCCATTGTGGCGGAATTTGTAGATACGTGGGTCGGTACAGATAATAAAAGAATGACCGAACAAAGAACAATATGTATATTAGAACAAAATAAATAAATAAAACCCAGGACAATTACCACAGCGCTAGCTAGTCCCACGGTAAACAGAGCTTGTGTAGTGGCTACTAGACAACTGATATAAATATTTAGATTTTTTTGTAAATACATACAGTCATACATAATATACATAGAAAAAAACTGGGTATTACCCAGACCCATACAAACAATCATACTCATCATGTATACAATATTTGTACCGTGCGAGGAATAGAACCTGCGACCGTCAGAAATAAACGGCTATGCTAAACCGCTAGACCAAATAGGCCGTCAACAAAATGCCGAAATAATATTTCTTTCACGTGAATGAAATAACAATCAATAAAATATATACATACACGTATATACTTATATAGTATACATGAACAACATTACAGACATCACGTCATCATGTGGGAACCGTGATACACTTCATGCGTATGTCCTCAATCCATTTCGGTGGAATAAAATACATTAAAGTTATAAGTTGGTTGGTTATACACTTATATTATACATAGTATGTTTTGTCTTTGAATTTAACGAACCGAAAGTAATAATAATAATAAAACTCTTTATTGTGCATAAAAGAAACAAATAATTACAAAAAGGAAATTAAAAAAGAAGGATATGCAAACAAAAGCGGTCTTATCGCTTAAAGCAATCTCTTACAGACAACCAGGACAAGCAAAGGACAACATTTTTTTATACTACGATGGTGGCAAATAAGCATACGGCCCATCTGATGTTATTGCTTACAGTAGCCTATGGACACCTGGGACACCTGAGGCACCTAAAATACCTGAGGGGTGTCACGTGCGCGTTGCTGACCCTTAAGAAACCTAACCTTAATATATCCTTCTTGAAAAACCCCATGCTGTAGTCTCGTGAGAAAACCTCGGCAGGTAGTTAATTCCACAATCTAAGTGTACACGGGAGGAAGCGCCACTGAAACCGCACTGTCTGTGACCACTTAGGTTCTAGCGTGTGGAGATGAATTCCCTGCCGATGGCGAGCGTTGTGGTAGTAAAAGGTAGCCGTAGATATCATATCGAACAATTCCTCAGAACACAGTCCGCTGTATATTCGGTAGAACACACGAAGCAAAGCGTAGTCTCGCCTCAAGCTAAGTGGTTCGACATCGACGTTCGATACAAACACTACAATGGAAACCTTGTTCGATCCATCGATTTCATGGTTATACAAAATCGAATCTATGTACGCAATAATATAGTAAGATAAGATAAAATAGGGAAATTACCAGGCAACGATCAGGCAATATGAAGCCCAGCGACTTCGTTCAACGCGTAATAATCGTTTCAATTGTCTCTGATTACTGTGACTGATTTATTTTGTTATTCGAGTAACTATTCATTTACTCACGTCAACTTTGCTATTTGACAGTTTGTATTAACACAAAATTCTCAAAAATTAATTAATAATGAATTAGTAATTCTGTATTTAAAAGAGCAACACGCAAGTTGCTCATTATTTTTGTGATGAGTCTGCGTTCCGAATAAGAGGCAAATAAAAGAAATGCGACTATTTAAAAATTACATTAAGTTTATTTATAAAAAATATTTATATTTCTATTTTATTACTAATCTACGAAAACAATGATTTTCCTGCAGATATGAAACTAACTTTTATATATATTTTCTTTTCTATTCTAAATTATGTTACCATACACATAATTTAGAATAGAAATGTATTGTATATTATATAATACAAATAAATATTAATAAAATATTTTAATGTTATTTTTATTGCGTTGTCAGCTGTACTATACTTATACGTATATAGATAGATAGAAAAATGCTTTATTCATCAATTACGAACACATATATAATTGACAGAAATATACATTTTACAAATTAAAAAATGGAGATGGCTTTTTGTGTCGCTAAGATGAAGAGGCATCCAACTCAGCATAACTCCACAGATTAATCTGCAGCGATGATATTCTGTTGGCTCTTGTAATTATATATATATTAATTACCGCTGTATTAATGTCCAGGGAGATTTATTTATTTTACTATTTATTTATCATCAACGACCACCTTATCGGTCGCGCCGACTAGCAGACAGTTCATCCCCTTTGGAACAGCAAACAAACCACGTAGTCAATTATTAAGGAATTCGCTAACTGACCTAAATTCATTCTCAACCTATTATTATCTACTGACATTGCTAATAATATAATTTTAATTCCTGTACCAATAAAAAGTTTATTTTAAAAAATTGATAACCAAGTGATAATCTAGCGCATAATATATTCTTCAATACAATAAGTATTTTTATTGGGTTGCTCGTTATTTTTACACGTTACGTACATATATATTTTATTAATATTATAAACGCGAAATTTTGTGAGTATGAATGGATGTTTGTTACTCTTTCACGCAAAAACTACTGAACGGATTTTGATGAAACTTTATAGTATAGTAGTAGCTTAGACATTAGAATAACACATAAGTTATAAATTTCACGCGGGTAAAACCACTGGCACAGCTAGTATGTATATAATATATATAACGTTTTGACGGCCTCGGTAGTCTAGTGGTTTAGCACTCCGCCTTCCTTCTGATGGTCGCGGGTTCGATTTCTCGCACGCCACTAACATTTGTATTGATGGGTATGAATGCTTTTATCGGTATGGGTATTTTCTATGTATAATATGTACGTATTTACGTAAGTTAAATATATATATGTATTTGTATCAGTTATCTAGTACCCATAACACAAGCTTTAGCTAGCTTAACTTGGGTCTAAATGGCGCTGTGTCAATTGTCCTGAGATTATTATTGTTTATTCATACATTTTATATTCCCGAATTTCTTCGATGTTCTAGGTTATTATTATTATTATATTATATGAAGATACGGTTTATATGCACATATCGATTCGCAGTAATCTATATAGCTAATGTCTAGATAATTTCATATCTCTAACATCATTTAAGTCTTAAAATGTACCAGATAAATAGATTATGTTATATTATAATTGTCTAAAATATTTGCAATAATTTATTATTGTATTTCCAGCAATACTATGGTACGTACATTTGTTGATGTTAATATCTTTTTTTTTAATTCTTAATAATAACTATTGTGTCGAATTAAAAATATATAATTATTTATAAATCTAAAATCATAACAATGTCCAAATATTCATAAATTAAGAATAACAATAACCCCCTATAATATTAATAATAACTAAGAAATTCGAGGATACAAAATGTATGAATAAAAAATTAATAATCATCATTTTACATCAATCAATCATAAACAAAGTCCCTGTCGCTGTCTGTCTCTATGTATGCTTGAATCTTTAAAACTACGCAACGCATTTTTTTAATAGATAGAGCGATTCAAGAGGAAGGTTTATATGTATAATGTATGTACATTGTACACCATGTGCACATACCGGTAGTTAGTAATTTATAAATTAAGCTACATTATCTGTCGTTCAATAACAAAATCATCAATGGAGTAAAATATTTTTTTAATCATATTTAAGATTCGATTTTTTTTTATTGTTTTAAATTTTAAATTTAGTTCAATATTATTTATAAATTGCCATTATAAAGATCATCTATCAAGTCACTCGGTAATTTATTAAATAGTTTTACAGACCGATAACATGCATTATGTTTCATATTTTTAAGCTACTACCCATTTGATGGTAAATGATTACCGTCGCCAATATACAGAGTACTACAGACATCACATTATCATGTGACTCCTGAGATAACTTATGGATTCCATTCACCATTCCGAAGGACTAACACCTCATGCCTTTTATCCAGTAATTTCACTGAATAATCCGACCATATAAATGAAATACAGCTTATATAACAAAGTTGCTTGGCATCACAAATATGTGATACATTAGTGTTTAAAAAAATTTTATGTTATGTTAGCATATTTTACAGGAGCACTTACTATTTCTTTTACATTTACATATGTATTATATATGCATTTAGGTTGCATATTTATATAAGCCTAAAACCCTAAATTGCTTAATGATTTAGGGTTAATTAGACTATAATTAACCCTAAAAAAATTTAGTTAGAGTTATCTCTTGGATACCGTTGAATGTATTTTTACCTGGGTCTTATCAGCTGTGAAATATGCATTTTTTGGAGTGAGTGCAAACTCGCAAACGGCCCAACCGATTTGTATACGATTTTCAGTACTGTAATGGTAAACTCACTTAAAATATAATCTTTCTTCTATTTCAATCAGACTACAAAAAATATAACAAACTATTGTTATAGTTATCTTATTTTATATTGATAATTAAGGTAAATTGTTAACAGTAGATTGTTATGTCGAACACCACGGGCGTGCAATTCCGGATTCCGTTAGTATTTAACAAATTTAGATGACGCTTTAATGTTCTCAAAGTTAATAAAGTATTTTTACAGGGTTTCCGCTGGTTATTCCTTTTGGCGGGGATCGCCCTTATTCAGGGCATCACATCTAAAAGTCCAATATACTCAATCGAAGAAGAATGGGAAACCTTTAATGAACACTTAAGAAATCCAGCTTATCGACTGCCCACATCCACTAAGCCCCACCACTACGTATTAACTTTAGAACCCTATTTTGAGAATGCGCCTGACGGTCAAAATAACTTCACCTTTAATGGTAATGTGAATATAAATCTGGAAGTCACTGAAGAAGATGTCACTGAAATTGTTTTACACTGCAAAGATATGACTATCCACGAAGCCAGTGTAGAAACAGAGGATGCGGAAGGGCTTTCTTGGAGTAGTAGAGATTCTCCAGATACTGAAGCTTTATTTTGTGATCCTGTTTATGATTTCTTGAGGATAAATCCATCTATACCATTACTTCAAGGTCGAAATTATACAGCAACTGTGAAATTTACTGGTAATATTCAGACTGGCATGTCAGGATTTTACAGAAGCTTCTACAATGACACTTCTGGAAGAAGGTAAGAACTAATAACCATAATGTAAACTAAAAAGCAAAGCAATTTTGCTTCATAATTTAATTGTCTCTCTCTAAATTTATTATGCTTTCTATCATAGTTATAGACTGGTTGACTTTGTCCCAAGTGGTCTACTTGGGTGCTTCAGTCTCATCTATGTAGCCATCAAGTATATATTGTACAGGATAAATGCTTAATGAATGAATGTATATAGGCAGGATAAATGGAGTTTGTTTGTGTGTATAAATAATCGTCCGTATAAAAAAATCGTCCGCGTGGAATATACGGCTTGTCTTTTTCTACCACCAAGCTGGTTGTAAGTATTTCGGGTTAAAGGATAAGGCGATGAAATTATAGAGTATGGATAATAACTTAGCGCTTCGGAACTCACATGAGGGGTACCATGCATGTCACATAATAATGTGACTGACACACAGGAGAGAAATAAAAATAAAAAATCAGAGGTTCATTTATACATATAGAGGACGATTGCCACGTATCAGTAAATTAATAAAAATAAATTGGCAGTAAAAACCCAATTAGAACTGGGATCTGTCTTTTTCATTTATTATGATTATTTGTACTAAATTATCTAGATTACTATCGAGTTCAATAGTATTATCGATTAAATTTTCTAATTTAATCTTATTTTTTTATCATTTTTATAATTTAAATCGAGGTTAATTTTTATTGATATAATCTTGCATATATATATGTCATATATATGCAACAACAATTTCTATATAAATATGTTGAATAATATGTATATTCAATATACCAGTGTGAAGTGATCTTTAGGTCCTTTTTATTTATTTATTTTTTGACATATAAAAATGTGGGGTGATTTTAGAGGGAGGAATAAATAATTTTGAATTTAGATGTCGCCAGTAGGCGGCATTTCTGCGGGATTGTCCTTTTGGTACTGTATTATTAATCTATGCTAATAATAATAACATTATAAAAAGGAAGGTTTGAATACTTTGTATAGTGTTTGTAAAGTATATAATACAAACATAATTCATGCATTTGAAAAATTCAAATATAGAATGCTATTATGTTTACTATTATGTATACATGTATGCATTCCAAGTAAGTATCGCCGCTGGATAATAACTAAACTAAAATAATAATAACCCATATATATATCATCCTATAGTATATTGGTCGAGAAACAAACCGTTGTTTGCCTGCGGCTTCGCCAGCGTTAATTTATCTCCTTAGGGGTGGAATTTATCAAAATCCTTTCTTAGGGGATGCCTACGTTATTGTAGCTTTATGCATGCAAACTCTCAGCCCGATCGGTTTAAAATTGACAAAGTTTCATACAAAATTTCATCTCCTATTTTATCCCCTTGGGGGTAGAATTAATCAAAATCCTTTCTTAGCGGATGCCTACGTCATAACATCTACCTGCATGCCAAATTTCAGCCCGATCCGTCTAGTAGTTTGGGCTGTGCGTTGATACTTCACTATGTCAGTCACCTTTGAGTTATATATATTTAGATCATCATCAGATGATGATGATGATCAGAATGAATGACAAATAGATCAGGATCAGTAGAAAGCGTTGGAAATAGGAAATCCTGTGCCTCGAAAGACAGTTCATTCCAAACATACTATAGGAACTTTCGAACTCTTACACAAATATTTTTGTCACAATCCCTACCGGTCGGCTAGGTACTTCAGTTGAGAACTGGCAAGAAACCAAACTACAATTTTTATAGTTATAATTTTTTTAGCGAGTTTCAATCCGTAAATATTACATAGCATTTATATGTATATTTATATGCATGTATATGTATATATGCAAGTTTATGAAGGCATTGGATGCGAGCAGCGCAGGACCGAACGTCGTGGAGATCTTTGGGGGAGGCCTATGTACAGCAGTGGACGTGTTCCGGGCTGCAATGATGATGATGATGATATATGCAAGTTATGTATATGTCCAACATTCAGACAAGGACTCCATACATTTAAAATATGAATGGAGTCCTTTGTCTGAACAACTAATGCCATATAAGATTGTCTCCCAAATAATCGTTTAAATATGTAGTAATAGGTAGTAATTTTTATTCGATTAGTATTTATACACTTTTTGAATTCATTAAAAGGTAGATCCAAAAAATCTTTTCGTATATTATAACATTTATTGCTAATTTCCATACCTAAAGTTATATTCCCATAAAATAACTTTATGTTACAATCTCCGTTGAGAAAAATAACGTCAACTTTAAAGTCAGGAGAAATAAAACACTATTTCAAGACAAAAGTATAATGGCATCGCAATTACTACAATAATAAAATAACACCGGTAAAAATCAGTTTACTTAATAAACGGTCCTATAACTAAATCAAAAACGAAAATATAACGCGTTCTTGAACAGCGCCATCTAGTGACAAATATACAAAAACAAAATAATATTTAACACTTTATCTAAAAAATAGACATGTATATATATATATTTCGACGGCCTCGGTAGTCCAGCGGTTCAGCACACCGCTTTACTACCTATCCTCTGATTCTGCAAACATTTGTATTCATGACTATAATTGTTTGTATCGGTCTGGTTATTTTCTATGTATATTATATATGTATTTACAAAAAAAGTATCTAAGTATTTCTATCAGTTGTCTAGTACCCATAACACAAGCTCTGCTTACCTTGGAACTAGATGACGCTGTGTTAATTGTGCAGGGTTATTTATTATTTCTTATTCATAATATCATCCTGATCATCTGGATAAATAGCGGTCCTCCACAGTGCAGTTTTCTAGAAACTTTTTGTCACGCACAACCACACTGTGGAATCACTTTCCAGCAATAGTAATTCCGAACCGATATATTGTTGAAACCTTCAAGTAAATAACTTATTCCTAAGAATAAGTTGGCCTTTTAGGCCGACAACGCACTTGCAATTTCCCTGGTGTTGCGGGTGAGCCGCATGCTCTTTTGTCTCCTGTGCTATAAAAAAATATTAATCAGATACAGAAAATAATAAAGATATAATTAATAATGTTTATATTGTTTTATAGATGGATGGGCACAACGCAGTTCCAACCTGGTAATGCTCGTTTAGCATTCCCCTGTTACGATGAACCTGGGTTTAAATCATCGTTCGACATTACTATCGTTAGAGATCCGGATTTCAAGCCAACTTTGTCTAATACTCCTATAAAGCAAACTGATACAAGGTAAATTTTTTTTCTACTGTTACTGTTGTATACTGTGGTCGTTTTAGCTTTTCTAATATTTTAAAAGAGAGACAGGGAGATAGAGAGCTTAATTTGTATGACAGTACGCATCAGAACCATTACACCAATTTGACGATCCTTCTATTGATTGATACAACACAAACACACTACTCGAAAATTCACTGGGCGATTGACCTATATGGGATATGGCAGTATACTTATAGTCATGTCTCTGTACCCTGTAATTTCACTATTATTATTATTAATGTTTTAATATCTGTTGCAGCACGTATCCGGGTAAAGTAGCTGAAACTTTTTACACAACTCCATACACGTCCACATATTTACTAGCTTTTATAGTATCACATTACGAAAGGATTGCTAGTAATAATGATGAGGATAGACCATTTCATATATACGCACGAGACAACGCAGGCACTACTGGGGATTGGTCTCTCGAGATCGGTTTGAAACTCCTCGATGCGATGGAAGAATTCACCGACATAAACTATTATGACATGGCGTACAAACTTGATATGAAACAAGCCGCTATTCCCGACTTCTCAGCCGGGGCTATGGAAAACTGGGGTCTTTTGACTTACAGGTAGGTCTCAAATTTGTAAAGTGTTTTTGTTTATGTCTATTTTTAAGCTTACATATTTTTTCTAAATTCTGTTCATTAGAGGGGCATGTGTCCGGAATATACATGTGTAAATTAGTACTTTAATTGACTCTCCTTGTCCATTAAATAACTTTTGACTAGACCGCTAACAGTGGTGGCGATTGAATATGGTACAGCTTATGGATTTTTGTATAAATTTTGAGAAGATTCTGTAATTAAAAATAATACATAATTGTATTTATAATATGTACCCAAACTTTGCGATTTCTGATAGCTGATATATCATTATTACATAGTATAAAACAAAGTCGCTGTCGCTGTCTATCCGTCCCTACGTATGCTTAAATCTTTAAAACTACGCAACGGATTTTAAAGCGGTTTTTTTTAATAGATAGAGTGATTCAAGAGGAAGGTTTATATGTATAATACATGTACACCGGGCAAAGCCGGGGCGAGGAGCTAGTATTTTATGAAATAGAGACTTTATCTTTAGACATATAGACGTAACCTTTGTTTACTACACCAAGTATTAAATTTATACTGATATAGATATAATAAATCGTTGATTAATATTCGTATCCATAATATGTGTACATACATAATTATTATTATCTTTCTTTCTTACAGAGAAGCATTAATATTATATGATCCTCTAAACTCAAATCACTTCTACAAGCAGCGTGTCGCCAACATTGTATCTCATGAAGTCACCCACATGTGGTTTGGAAACCTTGTCACTTGTGCTTGGTGGGATAATCTGTGGTTGAACGAAGGTTTTGCTAGACATTACCAATACTATCTAACTGGACATGTTAGTATTTATGCAAATTTAAAATGTTTATATATAGAATATATTATTTACTTTAACAGTACTCCGGACATCACGTTATCATGTGTACTCTTGATTGTGTTGCCATTATAGAGGACTAAGCAGTATTGCTGTTGTTCTGTATTATCATTGTTTAATTTAACTCTACAACTGAAACACAGCCTATAAGGAAAGTTACTTGGCAACTGATTATGTGAGACTGAGGTACTCACGACTTTTAGAAAGACTTTGACCTACCTGACGGGAATTGGGAACCGTGGCTTATCTGCATGAACAGCACCACGACCGTCACTTCATCACATGTTAAGGGGCTAAGATATCAAAAATATGACTATCTTATCTCATTCTTCAAATCGGAAGTCAACTTACAAAGCAAGCTGCTTGATTGCAAAAAAAATGAAACAAAAATCTTCTTTGAAATTACCTAGAAACGAACTTCTTAGCATTCCATGGATTCACCATACAGGTGCCGGGTCCATCAATGTGGCACAAAGGGAACTCTGAGTAATACCTGGAACTTCTGTTCTGGGTGTAGGTTTAAGGGATCCTTTTGCCAACGTACGTCAACACTCATCTTTACCACTCTCGGCCCAACCAAATATCCATGAACTAAGTCAATTATAATAGAACATGACATCATTTTTTTAGGTAGAGAAAGACCTCGGATACGACACGAGATTTATCGTGGAGCAATTGCACCAGGCTTTGTTTTCTGATTCCGACGACAATACTGCCCACCCTCTAACCAATCCAACCGTGAATAGTCCTTCGTCTGTCAGCAGCCATTTCTCTACAATAACATATGCGAAGGGGGCTTGCATACTTCGCATGACACGACACTTAATGGGAGAGGAACCCTTTAGAGACGGTCTAAGATTATACCTAAAGAGAAGGTACTACAATTTTTCATTGTATTTTGTGTGAATGAACTGCATTTATCATAAATATATCATAATTTGCTATTACTAGCAATGAGTTCAGTTCCCATTGCTGATAGTCTCCTCTCTCTAGCAATATTTTGAATAGATGACAATTGAATGGTGTTCGCTAGCGGAGCACCGGTGGAAGAAGATATGATGACCAAAAATTAGGTCATTTAGCGTGGTATAATCACCAGGCTTTCAAGATATTTTCTAGTGATAACTTGACAGGGTCCATTGCTAGGAATAGTAGAAGTAACAATAGTCTTTATTACTAATAAATCCCTTCTCTTCAATAACAGGGCATTCGATGTAGCTGAACCTCATGATCTTTTTAACGCTTTAGACGAAGTAGCCGTCAATACACGTATTTTGGATGCTTACAATGGCATAACAATTGAGAAATACTTCGAAACTTGGACTCTAAAGGCCGGTTATCCTTTGTTGACTGTTACGATTGACCAACGCACTGGAACTATGATTGTTACTCAGGTAACATAAAATATATTAGTATTCAAGTCTGTTCCGTTTTCTTCTGTTTCCAACACACAGACACGGGTATCGTTACAATAATGGCCCATTCGTTTAGGATGCAAAACGGGTAGTAACTCTCTACCCAATTTGCATCCTAAACAAATGAACCGAGATTATAACGATTTTTTTGTTTGAAATATTGTGCTATGGTTGGAAGAAAGTCACTCCTCCAATGAATTTCAATATAAATTTTAGGCACGTTGGGAAAGAGAATCGGGCATTAGTAGATTCCCAAGCAATTGGCATGTCCCAATAACTTGGACAAGAGGTGGAGATGTGGATTTTAAAGATTTGAAGCCTTCGCAAATCATCACCAATCAGGCCAATATCATCGAGAGAGGCACAAGTGGTTTAGAGTGGGTCATCTTCAATAAGCAACAGGCTGGTAAGTGTTAATTTTTTTAATTATTATCTTCATGCACTAAAATATCTCAATACATCTACTAAGTCATATTTACAGATTGTCACACAAACAAACATATAAATGTATACAAATGTGTGCCAGGAATCGAAATAAATTCAAAACATTCACATTTACTGAGCAAAGCCACTATTATTACTCACTGAACGATTACTTGAATAACAAGCGTGCATGGCAATAGTTGTTTATGTATGCGATTTTCATTTAATAATAGACATAGACACCTACATGAGTACACAATGTAAATAAACTCGTTTTTCAATCAAATAAATTTTAATAAAAGTTTCTTGCCAGTTCTTCTCAATTGAATCTGTATATTGAACTGGACAATACGGCAAAATATAGTACAAAAAAATTACCTCCATGAAAGATTTTTTTGCTTATTATTGTTTATTTATAAGTGTACGTTAAATATAAAATTGACTAGCCACGCAGATTCTCAGCAGTTCAAGTGTTTACTTAGTCTTTGGTCCTTCGAGCCGGATTTTATGTATTATTTTTATTCCAGGTTTCTATAGAGTAACATACGATGATACCAACTGGGCACTGATTACACGGGCGTTACGATCAGACGAAAGACTTAAAATTCACGAATACAATCGTGCTATGGTAAATTTCTTATATATTTGCACTTGTTTGGTTTTTTTTACAACAGTTGTTACAAAGTAGAGAAGGTGACATGACACGTGGCACATTGCATATATGAGACATAATTAGACAATTATGAGTTCAAGAATATGGATACTGTATATATAGGTACTAGCTTTCCTGATACTATATCGAGTATTTATATCTTTCGATTATTCAATTCTGTATAACTGTCATAGATATAGAATAACATTTGTTTATTATTAGAACAGAATAGATTAGAATAGAGTAACATATACCTTTGTATACAATTATTATGTGATTATACATAGATTGTGGATGACGTTTTCGCACTAGCCAGAGCGGGAAGGATGCGGTATGAGAGAGCATGGAATATTCTCTCTTTCCTAGAATACGAAGATGAATATGCCCCTTGGATTGCCGCTATCAGTGGATTCAACTTTTTGATTAGAAGACTAGCAAGCGAACCGGACGATTTAAATGACCTATATGTAGGTATTAATAGTTTAATTTCATCATTTTATCGATGTATACTTTGTACGAAGTATTTTGCCTCACCTTTTCCAGCAACTTATATTGTAAGAAGTGAAATTCGGCTGAAAGTTGAGACAAGGCAGTCAATACAGGATATGGAAGAATGAGATCTTAGTATCTGCTATGCAAGTTACATAATACTTATGTCATTAGCACAGTACTTTGCAACATGTGATGACCTCGCTGGTCTAACGAGTTTGCATATCGCTTTAGTACCGACGCTGGTGGGTTCGATACCCCATTTGCGTTTATTATAGGTGTTTGTTTGATCTGAATAATTTACACATTGTGTAAGTAATTAAACAAAGAAAAGGTATTTAAGTATTTCCATCAGTTGTCTAGTATAGTTCGATTCTCACACGATACAAACATATAAGTTAATGAATATGGTTGCTTATATTAGTCGGAGTGTTTTTTAAATGTTATTTATGTATAAATGTATTTAAGTATTTCTACACATAGTACAAACTCTGTATAGTTTGGGATTAATTCATACTTGGACAATAAAGGCAAAAATATTTGTCTGTGTGTCTGCTTGTTTTTAGTATTTTCACGAATAAATACTTGAACGGATTGTAATGATATTTGACGTAAAAATAGATTCATAGATTGTACAAAATTAAGAATACTTATGTAGTTACATGTTTTTTATCTAAAAAAATGATCTGGTAGGGCTTAAATATTGAATGAAAGTTTAAGCAGATCAGCTTACGAGACGAATGACGTCAGTAACAGCTACTTTTTTTAATGTCTTAATAAATAGAGAGTCATCAACGAACTCAGTGAAGCTGTTGTTGAACGTCTTGGATACGAGGAGCCGAATGATGGCGAATACATGGATGACTTGCTGCGGATGTACGTCATGAGGTTCCTGTGTAACACTGGACAAGACGGGTGTATAAATGCGGCTAAAACAAAATTCGCTGCGTGGATACAGGGTGAATTGTAAGTGAAGAAATTTAATAATTTTAGCATTTGATGACGGCCTCGGTGGTCTATCGGTTAAGCACACCGTTTTACTTCCGATGGTCGCGGGTTCGATTCCTCGCACAGCACAAACATTTGTATTCATGAGTATGATTGTTTGTATCGGTTTTGCTATTTTCCATGTACATATATATTGTGTATGTATTCAGAAAAGGAAAATATATATGTATTTATATCAGTTGTCTAGTACCATAAACTCTGCTTAGCTTGGGACTAGATGATGCTGTGTGAATCGTCCAGGTTTATTATTATTATTTATTTTGTCAGAGAGTGGTTTACCAGCCTGAATTACGCCAAAAAGTTTTTAGTGAGTTATTCTTTTGAGTTTTTCTTAAGAGCCCAAGTTCAAGTTTTGCGGACACCATAAAAAATATTTCTGAGCGACTACGGCAAAGCAAAGACTTATATCAAACCAAAAATTAACTTCGAGAGACGGCGGTATTCTTGACCTCAAAGCGTCGAGATCCAGTGGTTTAGCATATTAGCCTGAATTACGAGCCCAAGCGTTTGTTATTTCGAATTTTGCTGCCATCATAAAAATTATTTGTGAGTGACAATGTAAAACAAAAACTTATATCAAATCAAAAATTAGACCGAGAGAGGGCGGGCGGTAAACTTGCCCCTTCCATGTTGGATTCAAATATAATCAATGATATGTGTGTGGGGGCAATGCCAATTAGCACAACATCGGCATTTAATAATGACTAACTCGTCTGGCATAACAACCGTGACGATTTTTTTTGTATTTTACCAATACAGTATTGGAAGCTAACCTATTTAACCATTAATTTAATCAAGACTACATTTGAAGCATCTCTAATAAATCCAATAATCCAAGCGAGCCTGACGTCATCTTAGTCCAGTAAAATTTTAAATCAAATCATGATGAAAATAAGGCCGCAAATACGTGAATAATAATATTCAGAAAGAAATTTTGATTTAAGTTGACGGGAAAGAGATGTAATAATTAAAAACTGGATTGAAAAACGCTTTTTTTTTTAAATAACTCAAGAACGGTAAGAAATTTGAAAAATGGTTTAAATTAAAGATGTAAAGAATACAAATCTGCACAAAACAGGTCCTCCTTATTTTTTCATTCTCTGCTGCTGTTGTTGTTGTTGTTGTTGTTATCGAGTTATTTCGAAAAAAGGCGTCTAAATCCTTTTTTTAATTTTTTTATTCCTTTCTCGTCAACTTAAATCACTATTTCTTTCTGAATATTATTATTCACGTTTATATATTGCGCCAAAACTGATCACATTATTGTTTAATTAAAAATTTTACTGGACTATCTCTTGGATTAGCAGAAAAGTCGGAAATATTTCGTAATGTTAACAATATATTTTACTTATCTCTATAAGTATTAAATCTGTATTTGATAGCTGCCTTTACATGTATGCTGTTTCAGGCGCGAAACAGCTTTAAAGCAGGAAAGAATAAGCATGTAAAAACGCGTCCTTCAATCCTACTTGCTTCAGCGTCTTCAAAGAAATAATTATATTAGTTAATAATTGATAATTTACAAATTTTAAACATGTCTTTGGAAAATAAAACCTAAAAAATGAAAGAAAGTGAAATGATATGAAACATATGGTTCAATCACTCAAGAATGATTTTCCTGCGCTAAATTGCGCGCGCTCCTGATCTCGCGTGAATGAACGTGCCGTGTAAATTTTGTTTTTTTTGCATAGATGATAATGGAATGGTGTCCACCTGCGCTAATAGTTTATGCTGTCGGGGCACCAGAGGAGGGTGATAAGATGAGCATAATAACTGACATTAGTCAGTTAGCCCATCGTGACAAATTCACCAAGAATTTATCACGATGATTTCCAGGATGAACCGCGTCGATGTTCATCTGACAGGGTACATTGCTGGCAATAAGATCATCAAACCATTTTACTCACAAAACCCTTCCCCCAAAGGTAGTTATTGACGCCTTCATATAAACTCTTTAAGTTACAGATATAATTATACTTATTTTTCCAGCATCCCCGCAAATTTGCGTCCGTGGGTATACTGTGTTGGCTTAAGAACTGGTACTGCTGAAGATTTTGATCTCTTCTGGGAACGGTACATTGAAGAAGACCTTGCAAGCGAGAAGGCGGTTATGATAGAAAATGCAGGATGTACCACTGATCAAGATAGCTTGGAGAAGTTCCTGTTTGCCATCGTCAGTGGTAATGATGACATTAGACCTCAAGATTATACAACTGCCTACAACAGCGCAGTCACCGGAAACGAAATCAACACTCTAAGAGTTTTTGAATGGCTCAAACAAAATTACGAGGCTGTTGATGAAACGTATGTTAATTTTAATATTTTAAAAATTACTTAATATTAATAAATTAATTATTATTCGAGAAAGCACTGAGCCATTGGCAGAATATGTCAGGATTAGTTCATTTAAAAGCCCTAACAAGGGGCTACTCGAGTCAATGCTCCAATAAACTGGGTAAAAACAATATGCATCATCACTGGACACTAAAAATTGAACAAACACATGGCAAAATTAATATCTATCTGCAGATGAATATTATACAGATAAAAATAATTTGTTTTTTTTCAGATTTGGAAGCTTACAGACACCATTGAATTCAATTGCTAACCGTCTTTTAACACAAGAGGATATAGCTGAGGTATTTACATCTATCATTCTTTCTATATATCCATACTAACATTATAAATTTAAAAAGTGTGTTTACCTATCTGTATGTTATATTTTACGACTAAACGGCTAAACAGATCGTAATGAAATTTGACATAAATATATAGACAGATAGTTAGATAATTCACTCAGTATTATCTGGAAGGGGATGAAAGTATGTTCAGACGAAATTATCCACAAATTCGTCTGAAAATACTTTCATTCCCTTTTACAGCTATTTTACTATAAAATTATTCATATTAAGACCCAACTAACTATAGATTATATTGAGTTTATTTCAATAAAGATAAATTTGTATTTCTTTTTCTATTCATGTAAATAGCCTCTCGATTTATACAATTTATACATTTGGCGCCTTGCGTTAACAATAAATATTGCTGGTATACTATAATATAAATATAATCCTGGACATATTAAAAAAATAAATACACACAGCGCCATCTAGTGCCAAGCTAATCAGAGCTTGTATTCTGGCTACTAAACAAACAATAGAAATACTTAGATACTTTATTTTAAACGCGTAGTTGAAGCGGAGGTATCAAATGTGTCTAATGAGTGAGAGGTGCTGAGAGTTTTAATGAGGAAAATACGGAGATTAAATAATGCGACCAGTATGACAGCGATATATAATAGAATGAATATGTCAAAGAATATTATTACAAAATTTAAAAGTTGTATAAAATCTTATCAAGGAGTTCGCTACAATAGTAATATGCATAGATATCACTCAGATCAATATGAGTACAAACAATCATACTCATGAATACATTTTTTTCCATCATGCGAGGTATCGAACCTGCGACTATTGAAAATAAAGCGTAGACCACTGAGGCCGTCATATGACTAAATTACATGAGACTACTGCAACTTGGTATGCTTTTTTTAACTTCAATACTTTCATTAAGTTCCGTCCATCCGTTTAGTCGTGAATATTTAACAGATAAATACACACAGACACACTTTTATATTAATAATATTAGTGTGGTGTATGCATTAGTTATCGAAAGTAATTTCATTTGTATATATCAAACATACTTTATACCTTTCTATTTGCGAAACCCGTCAATTTAGATACCAATGTCAGTGATTAGAATTTTTTATCTGTCGCCAAAAGGGTTTATCGATTTTATGTAAATGATCGATTTTTAATCAAAATTTGATCGCATTCACGTGTCTGCTTCTTAAGATTAACAGATGATTTAAGTTTGAAAGACACAGTTATGAAGCTTTTAATTTCGGACTACTCTAATGCTGTTGGCCGCAGCTGGCTTTTACAGCTACATTAGACGATTGGGGGCGAGTGCAGATGGCACTACGAACCCGCGGAAGGACTTATGGGTAGGCCAACCTCGGCTCAGACCGTCGACCAATCCCCGTTTGAAATGGACGGGGGATCAATCGGAGAGGCAAGTTATAAAGGTGTGAAAGCAACCTCCTGTCTGACAGATAGGACTATTCTGAGGGCACCGCTAGAGGTTTGAATAGCTGTGGCCGTTGTAGTTTCGATCCAAGTTTGAATGGAATTGTTTGTAGGGAAATTACTTTCAAAAACCAATTAGTTTTGTAGTTTTTGTCTAGGTTAGTGTTACCACTCATTAACATAACATTTTTTTTTATATTATTAATATAGTAGAAGGGCTTATGGCTTATTACGAATTATTTTATGGCAAAGAAACCTCTCTTGACGTTTGACTAGGCCGCACTAGCCGCTGTCACTTGCTGACTTATTACTATAAATATATACCATACTTCATTTACCATAAAATTATTAAGAATAAAAAATCATTTATTCAAATAAAGTTGAAGCACATTAGTTATCACATAATTTTTTCTTTCGGAAAGCTGTCTCAACACAAGAAGAATGAGAAAGATACTTGCGTGTTGCTCTTTTAACGTGCGAATACAAACCACCAGCTACCGCTAATTTATTAGCTTCAGATAAATACACAATAGGATTAAAACAGTCGTAGTGATTAGAGCAGACCAGTCCCTACAAGCGGCACTCGTTCACGAGTATTACGTATGAGCCAGCCATCACTGCGCTCGATCATATTTTAGGGAGCCCAATGACCCGGCCCATAACGCAGGCATAATTAATAATGAGCACTAAACGAGAAAGTTTTAAAGTAAGAATTTCTACGAGTAGATTTTCTTTCAAACGTAAATTACGGGAACATTATTTAAAATTGTAACATTTCCTGTGTCCTGTTTTCTCATTGTTTTTTATTTTTACATTTTTTTTATTCCATTATTAGTGGCAGTACATGATATTTCATTGTCAGGTTATTAAATATGTATTTATGTATGGTTTATGTATGTATATATATATGTAGTTATTTATTCATATATGTTTTTATGTGTATCGTTTAATATATTTTTTATATTTGCACCGCCAACAATTATTCTCTGCACCACCCATGGTTGACTGGTAGATAATGCCGCATGGTGTTAAGTTCGCAATATGTACTTTCAATTATGTGCATTAAAGTTTTAATAAATAAATAAATATTTTTTTTTACAGTTCGAGACGTGGCTAGATGACAATAGAGAAATCATTAGAGAATCAGTATACAATAACGTGAAGAGAACGGTAGAGACTACAAGGTCTAATTTGGCATGGACCGCGCGAAGACTTCCGGAGTTCACGCAATTCTTTGAACACGGTTTCGTTGAAGATAATCTAGATGATATACTGACTAGCGGGGAAGTGAGCGGGGAAGTGAGCGGCGAAACGACAAGTAGCCCTGAACAGAGCGGAGAATCCAGTAATAGTGATGAAAGCTCTGATGTCAGCGACGAAAAAGATTCAGCTAACATTGCAGTTTTAAGTACGACCACACTCGCTGTTACTATTATGATCAGTATGTTAGCTTAACCATACAATAATATGCTGTAATGTGATATTTAAATATATTTTTTATAAAAAATACTAAGTATGTAGAAGTAGTAATATCTTAAAGTGAATATACAATGGGTCTGTTCCACACAGATGACCGCAACGCCGTCCACAGTTGATAATGCTTATGAGAACCCTATGTATAGTACAGGCGTAAAGTTATATCATATTTCAAAATAAAAATATACAAAATCTATTAATCAATAGCTTTTATTACAAGGACGAGAATTGTTAGAGTATTACCACAGATAAGATAATATTTATTATTAACTTTCAACTTAATGTTAAATTCATTGTTAAAATCAACTCAAGAATACCTCAAAATTACTTTCTTGTAGTAGCGGGCTCTTCCCCTACAATACAAACATTTATATTCTAAGTAAACTAAGTGTATTAGACTTATAATTATGTGAGGATTTTCTATGATTATTTATATTTGATTTGCGTAAACAATGTGATATAAAAAGTACTGTATATATGGAAATAAAATATAAGCATGGAATATGGCATATTTATTTATTTAAACCTTCATCAGTGTACAGTTTGATGCAGTCCTGACTCCCAAACTAACAGGAGCTCTATACCAGGAGTCAGTTCTTTCCTAAAACAAGGATAAATATTTTTAAAGTTCATTTTAAAATATTTTTATTTAAAGCATGATTTTAAAAATTCTCTGATTTAGTCTTACTAGTTTTATTGTATAAAGTTAATAATTGGTAACAAAATTTTATGTAGTACTAGCTATTCGGCCCGGCTTCGCACGGGTGTACATGTATAATATATGTATAAATCTTCCTCTAGAATCACTCTGTCTATTAAAAAAACCGCTTCAAAATCAGTTGCGTATATGCTTAAATCTTCAAAACTAAAGATTTAAGCATGCATAGGGTCATAATTTTGTCAAAAATATTTTATTTTGAGATGCGCTACCCTTATTACATATAGATAATTTATCATTACAGTCAGCGTCAGACAGAGACAGAGCTGACAGACAGCGAGAGCGACTTTATTTTATACTAATATATTCATATTTATATTCTTATAATAATTTATATTCATACAACAACGCATTTTACACCATACTGCCAGAAAGCCCTATTTTTAATATCGATATTAATACTTTAATTATATAGCAAAATAACGTTTATTGGGTCAGTTTAGTTATCTATATATATATATATCTATAAATCCTATGTTAATTAATTTAAATTAAATTATTGGTGTCAATTATCATATTATCTGAGTTTAAATGGAAACGGTTGATAAACAGGTCAGAGCCAAAGTCATAATGCTAATCTACATCAATAATATAGGCAATTAATTATTGACGTAATTTATCATGTTATATCTGACTCAGAAAAGGATAAGTAGATAAACAGGTCAGAATTAGATAGACAGACAGAATATACTTTATTTGTAACATACACTAAAGAAACGGCAACAATTTTTTTTTATTTATTTTAAAAACCAACAGCGAATTACAAAAATATAACAAATAATATGTACTTAAAAATAAGGCCAATTAAAGGTTTTCTCACAATTACAATATTCAGTATTACAACACTAAAGTATTAATATATTATTGTTCTGTTTATCCACAAGTCTAATTTATACAATATAATGCTTATACCATCTAATTTATGCAAATTTTACTAGTTTCTTACTACGAAGTAACAACTTTGTAGCATTAGATTTAAATGTTACCTTTTTTAAGCTGAATATATCGATTTCACTAAAAACATCGTTATATAGCTTCGGTAGTCGCATTCGTGGTGCGTTCCTTGCGTAGTTGGTGTATGCTCTTTGTATGTGTAGCAATGGTGGAACGTTGCGTCGTGAACGGTTAATTGGTACATTGTATGATATACTCGATACTAAATCTGGACAATCGAGACATCCGTTTACTATATCATGCACTAAACAGATATCCTTCAGCTTACGCCTATCATCAAGTGTCAATATATTGTATTGTTTACAGTTATCCTTATAAACAACTGAATTTGGCTTACGAAATCGGTAATTTAGATTTTTAATAAATATCTTCTGTAAACGTTCTAAGCGATCTTTGTGAATATTATACTGTGGGGACCAAACCGTACTAGCATACTCGATAGTACTTCTGACATAAGCGTAATACACAATTTTTATGGTGTTAATATCATTAAAAGATTTATTACTTCTCATTATAAATCCAAGATTTCTATACGCTTTATTGGTAATTTTATCAATATGTTCTGAAAATAACATTTTATTATCTAAATAGACTCCTAAATCCCTTACTACCTTAGATCTCTTTATAGGGACATCATTAAAATTATATAAAAATGTAATAGGGTTAGGTTTTCTGGTAAAACTGATGCACTCACATTTGCTGATATTTACAGTTATTTTATTATCAGAGTAATAACGAAATAGAGCTCTTAGATCAGATTGTGTATTTAGGCACTCTTCTATTTTGTCAATTTTAAGAAATATTTTTTTGTCATCTGCGTACATTAGATGTTTTACAGATGTAAGACAAGTGGGAATGTCAAATATGTAAGCATTATAAAATAGAGGTCCTAAGTGGGAACCTTGAGGAATGCCTGACGGTACCTCAATGAAATCTGATCTATAACCCCCAATCACAACAGCCTGAGAGCGTTTGTTTAGATACGAATCAATCCATCTAAGCAAGTCTCCATGAATTCCCAGAATTTGGAGTTTTCCCAGAAGGATCAAATGATCCACGCGGTCGAATACTTTCTCGAAATCCATGTAAATGACGTCAACTTGACCACCTTTATCCATATTAGTCAAGATATAATTAGAAAAGCATGTCAAGTTGGTGACAGTGGAATGCTTTTTAAGGAATCCATGTTGAGAATCTGGTAGATATTTATTTATGACTGGATATATGAAATCAAGAACCAGCCTATCAAAAAGATTGCTCACTGTATTTAATATTGATACCTCTATAATTTTCTACATTTATTTTGTTACATTAATTTATTAAAGTACACATTATTTAGTTACAATAATGCGGACTTATTGCTGAAAGCAATCTTTTCAAGGCAACCTTAGGTAAACGGATTTAAATATGGGTCAGGTAGGTAATAAGCAGTAGAAAATGATTTTTTTAGAGCTCGGTTAAATCCCATTACCTCTCCACTAAAATTTTCCTGTATTCCTTCTTCCTATGTGTCTTGTTCATTTGCTATGACATTATTGTTTTGTACTTGCATTTTTGTATATTTACATATTTATATATACATGTATGTTTATTGTATATATTGCTTGTAATTTTTGTTAATTATTTAAATATCTATGTATGTATGTATTTTCTATACCTAAAGGTTGTCGAGAAAAGATTGCTTCTTGCGATAAGACCGCCTTTTGTACTCCCATATTTATTATTCTGTATAATTCATATGTATTAATTATATTAGTGCAATAAAGAGTTTATAAATAAATAAATAAAGTAACAAATCTATAATGATGAAGGAAAATAATAATAAGTATAAGATGAATTAAAATTTATGTTAATAATAATAATCATTTATTAAATTAGATATACTTAGATGAACTACATACATATTGTAAAGTACGTAAATAAATTTTAAAGTAAGGTATAGATAAAATAAAATAAATATAAATTAAAATATTATACCGAATGAAATTTAAATTTAAATATTTAAATGTTAAAACACTTGTTTTACTTGTAGCTTAAAAATATAAACGGACTCTGCAGTTCTGATAGTTACAGGTAACGAGTTCCATATCTTGATACCAGTTAAAGTAAAAAATTTTGATAAAATTCAGTGGAATGAGAAGAACGGGGAAAGCAAGAGATCTTCAGAAGAACGGAATAATAAAGAGTGAGTAGAAGAGAAATTACGACGACCTGTACTGAGGCACGATCACCTCTACACCCTAAAGTAGTACCGTCACGCAGAAGTTAGCCTTCGGTTCATTCATAAGTCCTTGATAAGCACTGCAAACCCGCGGAAGTGGGTCTGCAGTGCCACCTGCACTCGTCTCCTATTATTCGATGAAGCTGTAAAGGCCAGCTGCGGTCAATAGCATTAGAATATTATATATTGCATTAGAAACTCTGCTCGTAATTCATAATCGAAACTCAACTGAAATGAATAACTCAATTACAAGTAAGAACCTTCCATTATTGCACAGTCATTTTGTGAACTATGTACCTACGTAAGGTAATTAAGTATATACACGTGCTATCTATTAGGTCACGTCTAATAAGGCTACGTCAGTAGATAAAATGTCTAAGCCTATGTGGTATTTACCTAATTTTGCACCTTAGCAGTTTTGCTTTCCAATCTGTCCCAATAAAGGGTCAGATATGTAGTGAAATTGTAGGGTACGAATGCGTAATTTAGGCCCCTTGAACCGTCGACCGGTGGAAGGAAGGCATTGTTACCATTGCTAATTCCATTACCATTCCAACAGAATTCAGCGCTGCAGAGATATCTGTAGCTTTATGCTGAGTTGGCTACCTTTTTACTTTTGCGGCACATAAAGTCACCTACATTTCTTTTATTAATTCGTGTTTCTTCTGTATTTCATGTATGTTATGTGTCTGTAATTGTGAATAAATAATTTATCTATCTATCTAATTTACCATATTAGGTCGACCTCCACGCGGTCTTCCCCCCTGGAACTCATCGTGGTTAATTTGTTGTAAATTCGTCATAATAAGCTAACAACTAACCTAACTTGATGATATGCTATCATCCGTCACTGGTGCCCCGCCAGAGGATACTGTTAGTCCAGGTGGGTGCACCCTTCTATTATCATTCAATAAAAAGAAATCATCGATCAGTAAGTTTTAATTTCGATACAGTGAGAAAAGTAGAGAGTAAATGGATTTGGTAAATATGAAGGAAACAGACGAGAATTAAGCTTTCTCCTACTAAATTGCTCAAAATTAAAATTTCGACAAAAGATAAACCTAATAAAACTTTTGAAGTTCTTGTCTTCTAGTTTAGATTTGGGAAAAATGAGCCAGTGCCAGAATTCTCACATACTAGTATTGCCTTATGTTTTATAGCTCGCAGACTTGTGTTGCTACATTTTAGGCTCATTTAACTTACTAAAAACACCCTACAATCTCCAGATCTAATTCTAACACTTAATATATGTTGCATCCAAATTTTCCATACCGCTACAAAATTTCCCAAATTTGAGTGTAAAGATCCAATATCATTACTGCCATTAATAGTAATGAAGAGAGTCAATGAATCTTTCTAGATCCAATTCTATAGCTTAATCAGTTGTTGCATCCAAATTTCCCATACAAAATCTCCCAAATTTGAGAGTAAAGATCAAATATCATTAATGCCATTAATAGTAATGAAGCAATCCAAATTTCCCATACAAAATCTCCCAAATTTGAGAGTAAAGACCCCAATAGTATTTCCTTCTTTCTTTCAATAGTATCAATAGTAGCGAAGCGAGTCAACGAATGCAATCTTTAAATATTTATATAATTCTAATAGCAAAAGAAACTAGCGGCTCAACTGAAGTGGTAAAGTAGTATGAATATATGTAATATTATGTTATCTGTGGTACTACGGACATCACGTACTGACCACCCTTGGAACTCTGTGGTGGCACCAGTCTTACGTTTCCGTTCCGAAAGATTTTAAGATGTTATGGTTCGGAGTACCCAGAAATTTCAGTATTTCACTTCCTTATTATATCTTTTAACCACATATTATAAAGTAAACTCCTTGGCGGCTGAAATATCTGAGAGGTTGACGACTTTGCACAAAGTCTGTCTTAGTAAATCGGATTCAGTCCAGTTTCAGTAAGGATTCGGTACTTACAGAAATATAACCACTTCTATAAGTGGTGGCTCAATCATAAAGCCGCATTAGTATAATGACTAATGAATTACTAAACGACTTATCATCCGTTATCGCAGTTGAAATGACTAATCATTATTTTGTATGTAATAATATTGAAATAATAATACCAGTACTGCCATCTAGTGGAAGACCACGAAATCGTCCGTTGATTTTTAACTTATTTTTATTATATTTTGCTTTAAGATATATAAATAATAATAGTATTATTATAGAATATGTGAAAAATAAATTCCCAATACCCTTAGGCTGTCTTATTAGACTTAAGTAGAATGCCTTAGACTGTCCTTAGCCGTTTTTCCAGACAATATGGCTCTTTGGTAATCTAGTTATTAAGTTTTCTTTAATGTTGACTTGTAATGAAATTAGTACAGTAGATAGTAGACAAACATTGAGTATTGCCTAGAGGCTGCATTAAACGGGATTATCATATATATACATACATATTATAGTATAAGTATATATACATACACAATATTTTAGGTAGTCACTGTAAACCTCATATTTTAGAGTAAAAGTGTACTATTTAAAAATGATCTATAATGTTAAGTAGGCATATTTCTTAGAAAAATTGTATATCAAGCAGAAATGAAAATAAACATACAAGCCGGTTGCGATACAAGTAGCGCCATCTAGTAGCAGTTTGGAAAACCGAACAATGATTCGAAATTAGTCATACAACTACACTGGTAAAAGTATGGTATATTAGTTATTTCAGACCAAACCACAAAAGTATGTCTACTTTGCAATAAATATGTCTAAGACAATGAAATCTTACATAAAAGTCATTTGATAATATTTTTTATATTGAAATCTTTTTTAAGTATTATTCTTATATGTATTAGGGGTGTCCCACTCTATTGATATCTTCGAACATACGGCATCCCCAGCCAGCAGTTTCTACCATAGTCCATTCTACCATTTCACGAATCAGATTGCTTCAATATATACTGAGTATTTCTTTCTTTCAATCTTTGTTATATTCAAATATACTTTTGTCCTTTTAATAGTAGCCACAGGGCTACGTGTGACTCTATGTAAAGAGGAGAACTATGAAAATAAGTTAAGTATAAATAGAGAATGATTCGAAGAATTGTATTATAAACGGACTTGCAATATGATAAAGAGCTTACTACTTATCATACATTACTAATGGTGGATATTACTACTATAATTAGCATACATGCTGGCCCTGATGATATGTGGCAACTGTCACTGATATAAATAAACAGACTACTGTAATGCTGTTGGCCTTTACAGCTTTACTGGACTTCACTTTACAGCAGATGGCACTTCAAACCCACATAAGAATTTATGGGGAGGCTGAAGTCCAACTCTTGCCTGACGGATACGATTTTAGTCCGAGGGCACCGCTAGGGGTTCGACCTCAGCGCAAGCCCTCATAATTTCGATCCCCTTTGTATTGGGGGATCGATCGGAGGGGCAACCGGCGACCCCGTGGAACTACTGTGGTATCACTTATATCACTTATACGTTGCTATTTCGGAGAACTAAGTGTTATTTTTCCGTAGCTCGTAATTAAACTGATTTATTTGACCCTGAAAACAGTAGACAGTTGCAACTAACAAAGCAAGCTGATTATTGAAATAACCACGCAGTGAGTGAGAGGTAACTCATGCAAACCACTTTATGTGAAGTCTGTAGTTGTGGATACTTGTTTGAGTCTGTATTACATTTTTTTTATTGAAACTTAAATGATCTGTCGCTACTTTACTATAATTCATTTACTTATTTTTTTATTTTCTATACCATTATTATAAAAAGATTTTTAATGAATTTAATATTTAAAAATTATTGTATAAAACTAAATCAGATCAAAATACAGATTATAAAATTAAAATGTATTACAATAACTTCTTTTAAAATTAATATATAATTATAATATTGCATTGAAAATGTAAGGCAATTTAATTTATTTAAGATTCAATTATTACATATAGCTCGTCGCTTTAATATTGGAATAAGTTGAAACAAAGTAGAGGTACTGGAAAGTGTTCCTAAATAGAAAAAATTGTAACAAAAAGGTTCAGTGTTAAGTAATATTAAACATTCCTTAAATAAATATACACAAACTATAACTAAACTAGATGTAGACTAATTAATGGGTAGATATAGTATCTATCTTTTCGATATTTTTTTATAATAATCAACAATTGTGTATAGATTATACCAGTATGAGGATTTCAAGCAATGCTATCTACGATTATCTTATGAACTTAATCAAATTATTAACGTGATAAAAAGGTTTATTAATGATAATGAAACGAAATATGGAATTATTCGCATTTTAGTCGTGCAGGTGACGTTGCGTGGATAATAGAGGGTAAGTGAACAGTGAATTTAATTGAACAAAATTTTATCTTATCTCTACTCCTTTTTTTTTTAAATAGATAACATAGCACCGTAAACTGGGGTAGAATATATACCGTATATACCGAATATAGACCGTATGGCAAGTTCCTATAAAGTTTTGTATAGCTAATTTGTTTTAATTTTTTAATGTAAATCATATAGTTCCGTAAGGTGTAGTAAGAAATACTTTTAAGATGTGTCACCATTCTTTTGCGTCACCAGGATTCACAGAATGTTGTAAGAAATACTAATGGTGAATAGGAAAATAATTATGAATATGGTGTACAAATAATAAACTCATATCTATTTCGAATTTTATACTAGAGTATTTTAAATAACTTGTCAGTTTCGAATTCGAAGATATTTTATTCATATTATTATGAATAATATAACTTCGTTAATGATCAACATTAACGAAGTTATATTATTCAAGCCTTTAAGGTTAATCCTTAGAATATGGATTATTTAGTTGTAACATATTCAAAATTTGCATGCCCATAAATTGGGACAATTAAACTGTTGCCAAGAATATTAATACCTGGACTTATAACCGTGACCTAACTGTTATATGTCATTAAAAATTCATTTCATTTCAACAAGATTGACGGGTGCTCTTTCCAAACCTTATTATAACTATAGTATATGTTTAAGATTTATTCAAAATTTTATTATACAGTACGTCATAAGAGTCAAAATTTATTTATATAACTTAATTGTATAACTAAGAACATAGAATTAAAAACCTTAAAAATATAATATAATAACTAAAATATATTATCAAAAGGAGTCCCTTTAGGCAAAATTCCGAAGATACTGGCAGCGTTCCTTCTTTGAATGGGACTAATTAAAGAATTATTTATATCACATTTAAAAAAAAACTATACAATGTTCATTTAAATTATATTTTTGTATTGGTCTAGATCAATTATATATCTGACATTATAGTACTATAGTGGTAAAGAGCTTATCAAAAGGAACGGAATAAATGAAACTAAAAAATAGCTAAAATAAGGTTAAATAGGTTTATTACGACACATACGAAATTAAAAAATTTACAAATGGAACGTGCGGTGTCGATTCTATCTAATAATAATAATAATAATCATTTATTCAGCATAACAAAGACGTTACAGAGATGGCACTAAAAATCTAGGTGTAGACTTATGGAGCGTGAAGCGTAACTCCTGCGTCGGTTATATGTTCAAACTATCAAGACACCGCATGCAGAGACAAAACATAGACAAAAACATTATTTTAATAATCCCCGTTTGGTTTGGACGGGGGATCGATGAAACGCGTCGTAGCGTCCGTTACAGTGCTTTTAAATAATAGTTCAATCTATATTTAATATTTAAGACTATTAGGTTGACAAAAAATTATTGTAATAATTATGTTATCCTACACAATTTGTATTGTTTTTGAATAAATAAAATATGGAATTTCGGTTCGTTTATTTTGTCTCAGTAATTTTATTTAAGAATTAATGATGGTCTGGTAAAAAAGACAATGTGATTATAACTGAATATGTATTAAAGATTTTATAAGTGACTTTGATATGTATTTATAAAAATTACATTCAGGTATTTCGTCGTTTAGTACCAATAGTATAAAGACTACTTAGTTTGTGTTAGTAAGGCCTTTGTGTTATATACTTATTTACTATTGTATTTATTTATTAAATTAATTAATTTTATTAACAATTTTATTTTATTTCAGGTACCACCATGTTATCCCTCGTTCTCATTTGCGCCCTTGTGGGGTCCATATCAGCGGTTCCACCTTATGCTGACGGAGAATTAAGAGCCAGCTTAGAGGACCTTGGTACTAACCTAGATGATCCACGGTATCGGTTAAAGGATTCCGTTTATCCTAATGAAGTGTTTCTGGATCTTGATGTCTATTTGGATACAGCAAACTTTACTGGAGTTGTCCGTACTATAGTTGAGGTATGTATAAATTAAAGTATTAACATACCGTTGTTACTGTGTAATATATGTGGGAAAGAGAAGGAAGCATTATTTCGTCTCTAGCGCACACTACTGGCATCATGCGGCCTTGTAACCGGCTGTAACCGGCAAGTGAGAATAGTGGTGTATGTCTCAGAGCCGATAATTATGAAGACAAACAGTACGCTGTTATCATAGTCGGGATAGACAGTAGGCATTATCAATAGTTGATGACATGGTGAACGCAATATTTGCATATTGAGTGGTGTTACAACATGGCAGGGTGCAAGTCTGTCCCTGTGATTCGGAATAATTTCATATCACTCAACCGTGACCATTCTAGAAGACTAAGATGTCATGACTCGTATCCTGTATTATTATTATATTTTCTAATCGCATAATATATCTCATCTTGTATGTGTAATGTAATCATCCTGTAATTTACCTATCTTATCTCAACCCTTCAAATGAAATACAGCTTACGAAGCAATCAACTTGGCATCTACAATAGGTGAGACTGAGACGAATTTTTACACTCTACCTCAGTCAACTAGTATTTTTCATATGACGAGTATTATGACTTATATTATAGTTATTTTGTAGTAATATAATACTTATTTGCAGTTGATAAGATAGAGTCCAACAACAGTCTACTACATATTATTATTATAATTTATAAAACGCAGTACATTTTTACAACAAACGTATAAATGAGATAATCAATAAGGATAAACGTTTATCATATCTGTGTTAGAGTCATTTAGGAATGACGGTACTATATTGTATATTTAGATACAGTTCAGATTACGTCAGCGGATAACTAGGTTTTTCATTATTAATAATAAGAATAACACTAGAGAATTCACACTGCGCCATCTAATTTTAAGCTAAGCAGAGCTTGAGTTATGGGTAGTAAACAACTGATATAAATTATTAGATACATTTTCTTGTAAATATAATATATATGCATTTAAAATATTATATATGCATTTATAAAACAATATATCTATATATTTGCATAGAAAACACCCAATACAAATAATGACTGTGCAAGAAATAGAAACCCCCGCCTTTGGAAGCGGTGTTGTGAAATCGGTAAACCATTGAGTCTTAATTAGACTCGTACTATATTTATATTCCAAAATAAACTTTGTACAAAGTCGTCTGTGTGACTGCACGATTAATGTATTTTACGTATATATATTACAAGTTCTAAGAGATGTGAAAGAACGTGCGGTGGCCAATGCATAGAATGGCCGAGTGAGGCGCAGCAGTAGACTGGACCGGTTCGGACGCCCTACGATGCCCGCATCTCTATCTCAAATATTTCAGGTGTAAAGTAGCTTGCTTTATATGCACTATTTTGGTTGTAGAAGATGAGGTAGTGAAGGTTCAGGGTATAAAGACATCTTATCCTCTGGAATGACACCATACTCCTCTGTCTCATTTTTGAATATTGCGATGCTCGTAATGCTGCTCATGTATCACAGATATTGATGACACATATGGCGGCTGGTTACGGACAATTTACAGCCTACGTGACACCGTCACTGGCATAGATTGTAACAGGCATTTTTCCAAATACAGAAAAAACTTAGAGCTAAGTCGAAATTACAGATAATTTTACTTACCAATTTGATTAATTTCAGGTACGTGAAGAGAATTTAACACAAATTGTGTTGCATCAAAAGGTAGTCAGCATTAACTCCGTGAGCGTGTTGAACTCTGCAAATCAGCCGGTAGCTTTAAAGTTCCCTGATTCATTCACAACTGATGATTACTTTGAATTACTTCTCATCAATTTCGAAAATCCGCTGCGTACTGGACAATATACTATCATCATCAACTATAACGGTCAGATTAACACTAACCCCTTAGACAGAGGTTTCTATAGAGGATATTATCACTACAATAACGGTGTTCGGTAAGTATTTCATTTCAAATAGTACAAAGTTAATTCGCTATATTTCTCTGTTTATTTTTGCCCTCACTTCTTCTAATGCGTCGATTTTGTTATAGTTCTCATTATCATTTCAAGAATTTCTTACAAAAACTATATATGTAAAATACTGCCTTCTACATTTATTCGTGTAAAGAAAGGCAGTAAGTTCGTTGCACACATGTCATCCATGCATATGTGTACATGTTGTTTTTCAATTACATAATTGAAAAAATCCGATATAATGAAATTTCTATGCAATTAATCCAGAAGTGTATCATTTCAAATAAAAAGGAATTTCCCAAGTTGATTTATACCTAAATGGAAAAATCGTTCTAAAAATACACCAGAATATAATAATATTTTTATGTACTCTATGTACTATGATGCTGAAAGACGGTATTAAAGATATAAGCGTTTTCCCTTTTTGTTGGTGAAATAATAATTTGATTTATTTTAAGTTCCAACAGTTACACATATTGAATCACTCGCTTAAATTTATTATTTTTCTTTTGTTGAATTTTTAATTTTGTTAAGCGATGTTAAATATAAAAACAAATCATTCATCTATCTATATTGTTCACGTCTACAGGCTGTGTTTATATTGGAATGTTAATAATACGTTTACTTTTATATGAAAATTCTAATTATTTCTTTGTTGGGATTTTTGCAGACTATACGCCACTACGCAGTTCCAGCCCTACCACGCGAGGAAAGCTTTCCCCTGCTTCGATGAGCCACAGTTTAAATCACGTTACGTGATCTCTATTACACGTGATGCTAGTCTTAGTCAATCATATTCTAATATGGATATTAACTATACTACGACGTACGTAACTTGATATTTATTTTTTATTATTTCCAGAAAAACATTAGTTTCTGGGGGACAAAGTCATCTGCGATGCTAACCCTGTCTTACCAGCTTCAGCCTTAATTAGCTTATTGGTTTTGGAAAGACGAATAATGGCAGTGAAATTATTGTGTACGGAGGTATCTTAGTCCTTCCGAATAGCAACACATAAGACTCAGCTGATAAATATTGACATCATGTGCTAGTACATTGGGCTATTCATGTATAGATTATCACTTACCAGAAGGTGGACCGACAGCTTGTTTGTTATTGTTAGATATTATAAAAAGTTCTAACCATTATGTTCTTTACAGAGCTGGTCCTGGACGTATAACTGAGACTTTCCTACCCACTCCTATCGTCTCTTCCTACTTGGTCGCTTTTCATGTTAGTGATTTCGTAGCAACAAATTCCTCTAGCACACCCACGAAACCCTTCCAAATTATATCCCGTCAAGGAGCTACAGAACAACACGGTTATGCTGCCGATATAGGTCGTAGGATCACAGATGAACTGGACGATTACTTAGGCATTGAATACTATGATATGGGACAAGGACAGCTCATGAAAAATGATCACATCGCTTTGCCAGATTTCCCATCTGGTGCCATGGAAAATTGGGGAATGGTTAACTACAGGTAAGTTACTATTTTGTGTTATATACTGTTTGAAATATTTTGATAAATTTCTTGAATTATTAAATTTCTTTCATTTAGGAGTATAAATAATAGAAAAATAATAATACCTTCCATATATGTATTGTGTATCTATTATTCTTTGTGCCCTTGTTTCGAGATATTGATGTTAGTGATATATAACTAATTTTAACATTTCAGGGAAGCTTATCTTTTGTATGACAGAAACAATACGAATCTCAGCAATAAGATTTTTATAGCGACTATTATTGCTCACGAGTTAGCTCATAAATGGTTCGGAAATCTGGTGACTTGTTTCTGGTGGGGTAATTTATGGCTTAATGAGTCTTTCGCAAGTTTCTTCGAATACTTCTCAGCACATGCCGTAAGTTAACAATAGTGATACACAGAAACTCTATTAAAATGTGAATTAATTAGTCAGCCATATGCTCCTTTATTTTTTGTATTCCTGCATCAAAGTTTTAATAAATAAATCAAATTAATAATAATAACCTAGGACAATTCACAGAGTTCCATCTAGTCCCAAGCTAAGCAGAGCTTATTTTATGGGTACTAAATAATTGATTTAAGTACTTAGACACATTTTTATTGTAAACATACACTATATACATAGAAAATACCTAAACCCTTATAACCATATTCATGAATACAAAATAATGTTTGTACAGTGCAAGGAATCTAACCCGCGACCATCGGAAGTAATGCGGTATGCTAAACCGCTAGATGCCGTCAAATTATGATAACGATGATATTATATACAATAGATTTAAAATTAAAAATTGATTATATTGATTGAATACTATTACAGGCTGACCCAAATTTAGAATTGGATGACCAGTTTGTTGTGGATTACGTGCAAAGTGCTCTATCAGCTGACGCGGGATCAAGCGTGAGCGCCATGAACAACAGTAATGTTGCCAGTAACCCATCAATTTCGGGTCATTTCAGCACCACCAGCTATGCTAAAGGAGCTTCTGTTCTTAGAACCTTGGAGCACTTTGTTGGTCCTCGTACTTTTAGGACTGCACTAAGATACTATTTGAGAAGCAGGTACAATACTATTATTTACTTTCTTAATTTGTGTAGCTGCAGTATTATTAGCATCATATCTGAGATTTTAATCGACTTCTGACCAACATCTTTCCATTAGTGCTGTAATATAGCAATAGACTATATAAATATATTTGTACATAGATATAAATGACAGTATATAAAGTTAATTTTGCTATGACAATGTTATGTACAAAATATGTATATTGATATATATGTAATTGTAATAATTTGTTTACATTATTTATTTTGTAACTGCGCCACCTACTTTTCCCCTAATATTTTTTCTTCCCACTTTCTGTTAAAATGTTGTCTGTAAGAGATTGGTAGCAATAAGACCGCGTTCTGTACAAGTTCATTTGAATTATTTTTTTTGTCTATATATAGTGTAATAAACTGTATAAATAAATATTTCAGGACATTGAGCTTTCTAATGTCGAAAACTAATAATGCTACATACCAATAATATGTTTATATTTTAGGGCCTACGAAATTGGTACTCCGGAAGATATGTATGATGCTTTCCGAAGAGCGACATCAGAAGACTTTGAATTCTCTACTGCCTACCCTGGTGTTGATATTGGAGTGGTGTTCGACAGTTGGGTCCAAAACCCTGGTTCACCAGTTTTGAACGTTTCCGTCAATACACAGACAGGCGTCATTACTGTTACTCAGGTATTTATTTATTTATTCTTTTGCACACAAAATTGTATACATAGCGGACTTAATGCCTGATGGCATTCTCTACCAGTCAACCGACGCGTTGATCAGAGATAGTATAGCGGTGCAATTTTACAAGTATTAAATAGATTAATACAGAAAAATATATATATATGTATATATAGGCGTATATATATATATATATATATATATATATAAACGTACAAATATACTTCTAAAATTATATAATTACATAAATAAAGCGAAATATATGAGCTTAATAATTATCATACAATTTAAATATAATATTAAACTATAATAAATATACAATATATATGATTTCATGACATATATCTTGAGAGAGTATGTGTACACTAATGTTGTATTTATCAATTATAATATACTATCTGTGCCCGCGCTTTCACCCGCGTTAAATTTAAATAAAAATTATAGCCTACGTGCTATTCTGATGTATAAGGTGCTGTAAGGTTTCTTCAAAATCCGTTCAGTAGTTTTTGCGTGAAAGAGTAACGAACATCTATACTCACAAACTATCCGGTTTATATCCGTGTTTAATAAAAAATTTTTTTTATAAAAGTATCCTATGTTCATTCTAATACATTCAAGAACATATGTACAAGATTTCATGATGATTGGTTCAGTAGTTATTGCGTGAAAGCCTAACAAACATCCCTGCCTCCACAATTCTAATATAAGAAGGAAGTAAGGATTAAGAAAGATTTGGAGAGTACTAAAAATTTTAATTAAAAAAAAAATCTCCGGATATATTAATCAACCTTGTTTTGTTTGTTAGGAACGTTTCTTATTAACCGGTACTCCAGAACAGCAATTGTGGCATATTCCCCTGACATGGACGCATGGCAATAACCCTGATTTCACCAGCACTAAACCTATCCGAGTTCTTTCTAATCAGACGGCTACAATCCAAGGCCTCTCTGGACACCATTGGGTTATATTTAACATTGCCCAATCAGGTAAGAAATGCTTTTTTTTAGAATTGGGTGTTATTTTGTGAAAGTCTATTTCATTACTTAATAGAAATAGAAGTAACCTTTATTCAAATAAAATCAGTACAAGCACTTTTGAATAGTCATATCTTTTATTCTACCACTCATTCGTTAGTGTTCTTAGGCGTTACGCCTGCAGATTTCTATGCACAAAATCTATTTCAAATAGAATCAAATTCAAATACCCTTATTTATATGTTGATTCTTATAGAAATTATACTATATATACGTGAAATCTAACGATACGAAACTGAAACTTTCATAAAAAGTGCTTATTCCATCTTAAAAGGCCAGAAACTCATTTGTTATTGCCCTGGTGTTGCCAATGCTCATGGGCGGCGGTCACTTACTATTAGGTGAGCTGCAAGCTCGTTAATGCTATAGAAAAATATAATGTAAACGTATAATTTAATTATAGGTCTTTACCGTGTCAATTACGATAATCACACCTGGGAAATGCTTGCCTCCTATCTGCGTAGCAGCAATAACAACAGACTCACGATCCATAAGCTCAACAGGGCGCAGGTAAATTTTTATATATATTTACGTATTCAGACCAAGATAACACAGATTTTAATCGTATAATTTAGGATAACTGAACCTACTGATCAGATATTGAATAAATTGATAGAATTTATATAGTGTCCACAGAAGATTTATTTTTCAGTAGACACTATATAAATTCACTATATAATTCCACACTACAATAAAATCGGTTTACGAATATAGAATAAAGGTCTCAGATATAAGATCTGTAATCGCATAATAAAATAATATATATAATAATAAAATACAGTAGAATCCTTCCTTGTTGAAGTCGATTGAAAATGAAAGACAGTTCTCTTTGTATCGTTAATATGTTTCTCTTTTTAAACATAATAGTATATTTGAAATTTTGATAGAGAAATATTATACAGTTTTATCTCATTTTATATCTATGACACTGTAGCATGCTGCTTTAATTATAATGGTTGCAGGTTTGAGTTCAGATTTCGGTTCAGTATACCCTTTAAGATACATTACAGAATGTATCTTAAAGGGTATACGGAACTGATATCTGCATAATCTACAGAGATTAATAAGTAAATAACCCTGGATAATTAACACAGCGCCATCTAGTCTCACGGGAAGTAGAGTTTGTGTAATGGATATTAGACAACACTTAGATTTTTGTTATATACATACATTCATAAGATTAGAAAAAATACCCATATAGATACAAACAATTATAAACATGTATACAAATGCTTTTACATTGTGCGAGAAAACGATCCCGCGACCATCGAAAATAAAGTGGTATGCTAAACCGCTAGACCACCGAGGCTGAAGATTAAATACATCTTATTTCTCACTCGTATATCCTCCCCTCCGATCGATCCCCTGTTCAATTCAAACGAGGATCGAAATTACAACGGCCTGAGCCAAGGTTCGAACCCCTAGTGGTGCCCTCAGATAAAAGACGTATCCGTCAGGCGGGAGTTGGCTTACAGCCGCTCCATAAGTCCTTCCCCGGGTTTGGAGTACTACCCGAACTCGCCCCCTATCGTCTGGTGAAGCTGTGAAGTCCAGCTACAAAAAAACGAATGTCCTCAAACAAAATTTTCTTTTTTTCAGATCGTCAATGACGTATTATTCTTCATACGTGCTGGCAAAATCGATATCGACCGTGCGTTTGATGTTCTTGAATTTCTAAGACTCGAAACCGACTACTACGTTTGGGCAGCCGCTATTGGACAACTTGACTGGATTAGGAGAAGACTGGAACACATGCCTGTAGCGCATGCAGAGTTTGATGTAAGTTAATCTATGGAAACAATTATACTTTTACGAAGACAGTAAACAATTACCTGTGTGGGTCTTAGTCTCACTTATTTTAGACGCTAAGCAGCTTGCTTTGTAAGCAGCTAATGCAGTGAAATTACAGGTTACGATGGATGACTTCCTAATCCTTTGGACTGGTAATGTAGGTAATCTATTAGGAGTCACGTAATGTCCGTGATGCTGATCAAAAATAGCCATAGGCGACGATGACCTCCGACACCTAATTAAATAAAGTTATTTTACTGAAATGATGATACTTTTTAATGTATCGAATAGCAAATACATAGATTGCCCACCCCTGATGGTAAGAGTCAATCTTCTCTTAAATACATAAATAATGAATATTGGAAAACTTTTTTTGAAGCAATTATGATGATTCATTTGTGTAAAATAATGGAATTTGTATTGTATATATTTTGTTGTTGTTGTTTTACAGAAATAGACAAACTCTGTAGTTTGTCTATTTCTGTACAACAAAATATTGTGTATTTTCGTAAAATTACCATAATAAGGATAAAAAGTGTATTGGTCTGGGTGTTTTCTATGTATAATACGTACATATTATACATAGAAAATACCCAGACGGATACAAATTAGCGACCATGGAAAGTAAGCCGGTGTGTTAAACCACTAGACAACCGAGGTGGTCAATAACCATCAAGTAATGAATTGTATAATAATATTTATTTTCAGAAATTCCTGTTAGAATCCTTGAATACTGTTATTAATAATCTTGGCTACGACGAGCTTGAAACAGACTCAACATCTACGATATTGAACCGCATGCAAATCTTGAACCTCGCCTGTAATCTTGGCCACGCAGGCTGCATTAGCAACAGTTTGCAAAAATGGAATAGTTTCCGAAACAATAATGTTGCGTAAGTAATTTATTATACATGTATAATTGCTGACTCTGCGAACTTTCTTTTTAAATTAAAATCGCTATTTATACATATACACTAGCTAACTCTGCAAATGTTCTTTTTATATTAAAATCGATATTAATAAATAGGGGTTGGTGGTGGAGGGGAGAAAAATTAGGGTTGAATGTATTTTTTAATGCCACATTGTAAAAAAATATGTCACAAAATTTTTTAAAAAGTGTTAGGGGTGGACTTCCCTTATTACTTAGGGGCATGCAAAAGAGATAGTAGCCGACCTACTGAATAAGCGTATAAAATTTCATAAAAATTGGTCTAGACCTTTCGGAGGAGTATAGTAACTAACATTGTGACATGAGAATTTTATTATAAAATATTAGTAAATAAAATATCTTCACGACTTTTATCTTTGATGGATCGAAGTTGCGGTAAAAAGACTTGACGTGTCCGGTCTTGGCGTCTCTGCCAAGGTATATTCAAATATACGCAATATTTGAATATAGCTTGGCAGAGAAGCTATCAACTTACCGTTCATTAATAATGTTTAAAAAAAATAATATTATTATTAAAACAAATTATGTAGACTGTACTCCATTTCGATATAAACTTCACTGTACCTTTTAGACGCATCAGCGAAATAATCGCATAAAAGAGATTTACTTCACATATTAATATTATGATTATAATTAATATTGTCCATTTGGATTATAATATAAGCTTAAGAAGAATTATAATTAGGTATATTTACAGAATTAATAACATTTACTGATAGTTTTTATGTTTGTAGAGGTAATAAGCTTTTACTTCACATATTAATATTATGATTATAATATAAGCTTAAGAAGAATTATGATTAGGTATATTTACAGAATTAATAACATTTACTGATAGTTTTTATGTTTGTATAGGTAATAAGCTTTTACTTCACATATTAATATTATGATTATAATTAACATTGTCCATTTGGAATAATAAGCTTATATTATAATCCAAATCAAATTAGGTTCGTTTACAGAATTAATAACATTTATTAATAATTTGATATTTGTATTTATTTTACTGATCTGGCTGCTTGTATGTATCTTATCTGTGTTAATAGTAACATGTAGCCATGTTTGTTTATTCATAATTGTGATTATATATATATACAGGCACTTATGTACATGTGTCTAGTTGTGTAACTAATACTTATTTAGTTCCATTACATTATATGTATATATATTTATATCTGATGATAAATAGTTACCGTAGCCTGAAACAGGTGTCACATGCTCATAACCCACCCTTAAGAAACCTTAATATACCCTTTTTTAAAAAAATACCTCATGATGTAGTATCTACACTATAAATTTACATCAACACTGAAATTGGTATTTTTTTAGTACTTTTTGCTTACTAGCTTGTCAACTCGGCGACATCAGCTGTAGGTGATCTCCAGGTGTAAGAGCTTAAAGTATTTGCTGATAACAAGATTATATTCAATCAGTGAAATAACTCCAGTTATATATGTATAATGTCATTTTATAACTGTGTATGGAAATTTAGTGAAGATACTATATTTTCGACTTCTGCCTTTTTATTTCGATATTCGGAAGTCTTCATCAGAGTTAGCACCGCAGCGACTCCCTTTACACTAAATCTATGTATTTATTTATTTATACTCTTTATTGCACCAGTTACAGAATAAAAAAAACAATTAAAATATGTATTTTCACTTTTATCATTATCTGCTTCTTCCTTAACCCCTTTATTTGTTTTTCTCTTCCATTCATCCCTGTTCGCAGTCATCTCGTTATTTACTCCCTTTTTTACCATGTCATCTTTCACACAGTCCATCCATCTTTTTTTCGGTCTTCATCTACCCTTATTAACCATCCATATTCATATGTAACACCTTCCTTAAAATATTAATTTCATTTCTATCCATTACATGCACATACCACGACAGAAGATTACTCTTTAACTTCTCCTACACCGGCGCTACTTTCATACTTCCTCTAATGTATTCATTCTTTATCTTTTCCATTCAAGTCACACCACACATCCATCTCAACTTTCCCATTTCCGTTTCATGCAGTCGTCTTTCATCCGTCGCCTTTACGGGCAAGGACTCTGGTCTACTTATTTTCACTTTCGTATTGTATATAAATTTATAAAACCATTACGTACAGGGTTCCAGTGAATCTGCGACGTTATGTATACTGCGTTGGACTCCGCCAAGGGAACGCGTCTGATTACAACTTCCTGTTAGAGAAATACAACACGGCTGTGAACACCGCTGACATGGTTGTTATACTTCGTGCCCTCGCCTGTACCAAGGTTGAAGCGTCACTTCAGAAGTGAGTCCAATATTTAGTACATTTTAGCACTGTTAAATCTGCCACTTAAAATATCTCGACATAAAAAAAAGAATAAAAAAAAAAACAGGTGATGTTTCATGTATTGGAAATACTTTAAATTATAATATACATAAAAAAAGAACAGAAAAAACAAGTTATATTTTATGCATCTTTTTGGAAATACTTTAAATTTTCTTGCAAACAACTTATTAACGTCACATTTAAATAATAATTCTCTTGCTAACTACTTTATTAACATCACAAGTCATTATAAATTACAAGTGAAAGAGTTTAAATATCCAGTAATGCATAAAAATGGACCAAATATATCAAGAATTTGTATGAGTGTTGACCTGTTCAAGGAAAACATTATTTTCACGGGTGACAAAATTATATTGATTATGTTTTATTGAAATGACTACTAATTTTGAGTCAATTTTCATGTAATTTATAATGGAGATTCAAAATAGTTTTTTTTTTATTTGGATAATCAAATTTTTCTAAATTCTATCTGAAACCTCCTTCTCTATTTTGAAGCCTCCTTTCAAGCATAAAAATGTCTGTACTAAGAGAACAGAAAATAAAATCCAGTCAGTTGTGAAAATAATGAAAAGAGTAACTCACCACAATTCACACAGCGCGAATTTAAGTAGAGCTTATCCTGCGTACAAATCATCCGTTAGAAATGCTTAAATTTTTTCACCCGCGTGAAATTTATAACCTATATGCTATTCAGATGTATAAGCTATATTATTGAAAAGTTTCAACAAAATCCGTTCAGTAGTTTTTGCGTGAAAGAGTAACAAACATCCATCCATCCGCATAAAATTTCGCGTTTATAATATCAATAAGATTCAGTGGCAAGCAGCTGTTAGCAAGCGCCTATAGGCGAGATACCAGAGTGCATGCAGTTAAAATTGTACCAAAATATAGATAAAAATTTATTTACACCTATCATTTTAAATTTTCAGTTACCTGCTACAAAGTACGAATAATGATAAAATCCGCATACACGACCGTACGAATGCTTTCTCCTACGCTCTCCAAGGAAACCCTGAGAATCTAAAAATTGTTCTCGAGTTCTTGTTTGGCAACTTCACCCTGATTAGAGATACGTAAGTTTTTTCAATAGTCACTTGTTGGCCAATAATTCTTTCTTTAAGGTGTTGTTTATAATGCTATATAAGTTATATAGCAGAATAGAATAAAAATTTTTTTATTCTAATACATGTGTATTAGAATAAAAAATTAAATGTATGTACATTTAAGCGCTTTTGAATAGTCATACTTTTTTTTAATCTACCTCTCATTAGGAAAGCTGTCACGTCACAAGAAGAATAGGCAAGAAACTTGCGTGATGCACTTTTAAATAATTTAGTTGTAACTTTACATTTTTAAGTTGAAATGATACGAAATGATACTAACAACTAAATTCATGTAAATCATTAGAGTCAAAATATTAAATACAGGACCAAGTTGAGTAACGAAATAAGATTAAATCAGTCAATGACCTATCTCTATAAGGAGCAGTTGTTCATGAGTATGACCCATGAGCTAACTATGCGCCCAAACATATTATTTTTTATTAATATGTTTTACGGCTCTGGATACGGCTTTTTTTGTCTTTAACGAATGTACGAGTTTTATTTAATATATAATTAACGATTGAAATAATTTTGATTACAGTTACGGCGGACCAGATCGACTCAGCGTCGCCATCAATGCATGTGCAGCACATTTGACTAATATTACTGATATTAGAAATGTAAGTACCGATATTCTAAAATAATTATTAATAACTTAGACATTAGCTGTACAGTTTTCAATATATGTTTATTAAAGTTAAGTTTGTAAGAAATCATCTAAGTGATATATCTATCGCTCAACAAACCAAAGATAAATCGAAAAAGAAAAATCGAAGATGTATAGATGAAAGGTGAGATAAGGCAGTAAAAGAACAGGATATGAAGGCATGACATCTTAATCACGGATGTCACACGATAACGTGATGACCATAGTGCTCTACATATATGTATGTAGGCGATGGATAGCCCTTACCACCTGCCACTTTAGCCGCCAGCTTCTTTACCATTCCATTTACATAAAAATATGTAGGTCACTTCTTCTTTCGTGTCAATAGTATATCTAAATATGTCTAACTTGGTAACTTCAACAGAACAATATATATATAAATTTCCAATATAAATGATAATATTCAATTTTGCGTAAATCTTTTTCGCTCTCAAATTAATAACCAATTTTAAACATAACAGTAAAATAAAGGTCTTCACAAAAATACTTTCATTAATTACGCATTTTTTATTGTACTAAATAATTTGGGACTCCAAATTTCCAGGATGTTTGTAATCTAATACAATGCACGGTAGAACGTAATGCAAATAATTCGGTACTATTGTGGTATATTATGTTATCTGTGGTACTATATAAATGATCAGAGTAGAGTCTGTAAGCATCACTTACGAATTCGAAAGCGGAATGTACGTTAGTATGATTACTTGATGATACTCTGTGAGATTGTACGTTAGTATTCTGTAAAACTCGATAGCGACTGCAGTGCCACACGTTTTAGACCGAGATGGAGGTAAACCAGGCACTAGGTAGTGATTTTTTAAGAAATATAGACAAACTCGATAGCTCAGTAGGAACTTTATATTTGCAAATTCATACGAGTGCCTTGAGTGAAGCGATGAGTGAAATAATGAAACGCTTAGAGAGTACTGTTCCTACTAAAATCTATTATTTTTTCAGTTCCAATCGTGGGCCTACACCAACCAATTAGCGCTTGGGACTTCATTCCAGAATGGAGTAAACGTTGTTAATACTGCTATGAACAATTTACAGTGGGGTACCGATAATGTTGTTGGTATATACTCCTCGCTTCTGCAGAGAGGAGCTGCTACATCAATCACAGTTTCAATTACTCTACTATTCGTTGCCCTTGCTGCACATATTCTTCATTAAACTGTGTCATGTTTATATTAATTTAATACTGTTCTAGTAGTTATAATTTTTGTTCGTGTATTGTTAATCCTCGATGAATATAATGGTTTACTATAGATGTTCTCCTTAGGAATGGAAAATCATGATATACTATGATCATTACATGATAACGTGATGTATGTTGTACTGTTGATCTATGCAGCTTATATACCATACGAGTTACATAAAAATGTAGGATCTTTTAAATTTATAAATTAAATTGATATAACTTAATTTTTTTGAAGTAAGACAATTCAATTTTCAAAATATGCTTTATAAAAGATATTTAAAGAACCGTTTCAGTTTACTCTCAGAGTAGCCTGAATTATATAAATAATAAATATCCAGTACAGTCCATAAATATGTAATAATTTCATAAATAAAATGTATAAGTTAATTAAATCCTTTAAAAATAATTATCTATTAATAATAATATTAAATTCCATAAATAATTTTGCGTATTAAGTGAATATGTTAATAGAGTAATAGTTGAATAATAATTAATTATTAATAATTTAATTCCTCAAAATGTATTTAATTATAGTATACACAGATGCAATGACATGGAATTACATGTCATCCAAGCCAATAACAGCGGAGTTAAGTTTGTGTTTTTACAACATACTAAGACAACATATAAGTATATAAGAAATGCAGTTAGGAATTTGTATTTTATTTATTTTGATTGATAATAAATTTTATTTCTAAGAAATATTTTTTTTAATTTATCATTCCTACTTTATTTCTAAACTAGAGGCGTCTGCGGGTTTGTACGCATGTAGCTACTATTGACGGCCTCGCTAGTCTAGCAGTTTAGCATACCGCCTTACTTCCGTTAGTCGTGGGTTTGATTCGTCTCACGGAATAAAGATTCATGAGTATGATTGTTTGTGGCGGTTTGGTTGTTTATATGTATTTAAATATGTTTATCAGTTGTCTAAGACACATTACATAAGCTGTGCTTATGTAATGTGTCTTAGCTTGGGATACTAAACTAATTATATCATTTACATAACTTAATTATATAACTACAACCTAAATTTAAAAAGCTTAAAAAATATAATACAATAACTAAAATATATTATTAAAAGGGATCCCTTTAGGCAAAGTTCCGAAGATACTGGCAGCGTTCCCTCTTTGAATAGCTAGACTAATTCTTTGTCCAAGGTAGCTGCCAGCTCTTCGGTCTTCTTGGGATTAGGAGGTGATGTTTATTTTATAGCATAGGGAATAAGGAGCTTGAGCTCACTTGATGATAAGTGATTACTTACTTACTACCGCCCATGAACACCCGTAAAACCAGATGAATTGCAAGTGTGTTTCCGGCCTTTCAATAAGTAATAACTCTTTTCTTGAATGTTTTGATATCGTATTGGTTCGGAAATAACAGTGCTGGAGGGTGATTTTACAATGTGGTTGTACGTGGCTAAAGGTTTCTAGAAACCGCACGGTTGAGAATCGCTATTCATCCAGATAAGGATGGTACTTTAGTTCCTGGCGGATGGTACGATTGTGAAATTTAGCAGCTGGTGTTAATCTGAAGAATTCCTCAGAACACTTACCGTGACAGTCCTATGTGTATTGTCCAGGGTTATTATTATTATTATTCTAGATGGTAAACAGATAATAACAATAAATAAATCATTAGTACAACGACAACTGAACAAGCATATGGCTAAGCTAGGCCTATGCACGACAAGTATCTGCAGATTCTGCCAAACTGAAGAGGAAACGCCGCCTCACATCTTATGTGGTTGTAGCCCACTCATGCATAAACGAAATATCTCCTTTGGAAAGTTTACACTCTTTCCCGAGGAGATAAAAACGATCGCTCCTAAGAATATCCTTCAAATCTTGTCCCTGACGGATCTAGGTAGCGAACTCTGAAAAGGGCGAGCACAATAGATCTATGTAGGTCGCAGTGCTACAGGTGCTACACATCTGACAATAGCCCAAACAACCCAATAAAAAAAAAAAACAACGACAACTAGTATTTTTCTCAGCTTTCTTTAGCGAATAAATGTTGACCAATATTTAACAACATATTCAGTTAAAATTTCATCATAGTCCCGTATGTGTTTATTTAACAATATAAACTTACAGCTAATTGCCAACACGTTTATATAATAAAATGACAAAAAAATCTTTTTTTTTTTATTATGGAAGACAAGGCTTCTGTTTATACGTCAGTATCTTGGACCTTACACAAAACTAAATTTAATAATTGCAATGCTCGCATAGTGAGGCAATTTATTAGAGCGTGGCTTGTGCGTCCATTTTGCAGCTTTTATTTTAAATCTTAACGCACAAACAGCAGGGTATGCGGTTCTAGACACGCGGTAGCGTGTCAAAGCCGAGTTTTATAGTAATAAGGCGACCTCTCATCGTGGTCAATTTCTGGAGAATTCATCACAATCGATTGACTGGCCTGGCTGCATGCTCATCCCGTCATCCTTTACCCAAGCCAGCATATACCGTTAGCTCAGACGGGTGCACCATTGCATTATCATACATGAAAACATAACATACAAACAGATAAAAAGACAAATTTCATCTCGTCTCGATTTTAATTTATTATTGAGAGTTTCGGTAGACCACCGCGTTTAGCACACTGGTTTAATTACCTTGGTCGCAGGTTCGATTCCTCGCACGGTGCAAACATTTGTATTCATGAGTATGATTGTTTGAATCGGTTTTATATCTATATTATATAGGTATTTACAAAAAATATATACCTAAGAATTTATATCAGTCATCTAGTACCCATAACACAAGCTCTGCTCAGATTAGGACTAGATGGCGCTTTGTAAACTATCCTGAGATATTAATTATAGTTATTACATATATATATGTATATATACATTAAAAAAACTAAAAACAATTTTTCCAATACATATTTTAAGAATTATTAAAATGTACCTACTAGTCGTGTTAAATCCATTATTGTAATGTGTTGTTTTGTTGTAATCACCATTATCTACCCCATTTGGAATTATTAAAGTTATTTATATGCGTGTATTGAAGACTAGTTTCTGAACCTAGAATTTACTGGTCTTAATCAAAGTCATTAAAAATATGTTTATGATACACAAAATGGCTGATAACAATTATGATAATGAATCGCCCAAATTTATCAAACATGATAACAAAATTTCGATATTGTTCATATAGATAAACCTCATTTATAGATCTATTGATATATCCTTTCTGAGATACTAATGTAATTTAAATAATCAATTATTTATTCTTTTCTAAATAAGTTAGGGAATTTGGCAGATAGTGAACCGATCACTATCTAATAAACTGTAATAAAACATTAGCAACGACCCTGTTCTGTTTGAAGAGAATATAAATATTATTTTTATATACATAATCCAAATTCATAAATTTATTAAATAAATGACGACCTCGGTGGTCTAGCGGTCTAGCGCTTTACGACCGATGGTCGCAGGTTCGATTCCTCGCACAGCACAAACATTTGTATTCATGAGTATGATTGTTTGTATTGGCCTGGGTGTTTTCTATGTATAATATGTATGTATTTAAAAAAAAATATCTATGTATATGTATCAGTTATCTAGTACCCATAACACAAGCTTTAGCTAGCTTAACTTGGCTCTAGATGACGCTGTGTGAATTGTCCTGAGATTATTATTATTATTTAATTATTTAAATAGATAGTATAATATATAAAATTTAAAAAAATCGACTGTTGGAATCGAACCCTGGGCGTTCGTGTGGTAGGATGTGATACACTGCTAAGTAGGGTGTTTGGGCGTTGGTGGTACCGATGAAAAAACTAGTATGTAGGTTACACGTGGAGTTTCAAAGGCTTAGGCTAGGCTAGGCTTTAGGCTTTTTAAAGGCTAGGCTTCAAAGGCTTTCTTCGAAACTACTGGCCATTGTGAAATAATACTTAAGAGAGATTGCATACCCTTATGGGAAACAACTACTACACGGAGTCTCGTCCCGAAGTGAATTTCCCACACCGTGCCCTCCCCTGTAAGATCTAATGTCCTGCAATTTGCCTCAATGATCGAACCCTTCAATCGAAACATAGCTTTTTTTTATTAGGTTGTTTGGGCTATTGTCAGGTATCTGTAGCACCTGTAGCACTGCGACCTACATAGATCTTTTGTGCTTGCCCTATTTCAGAGTTCGCTACCTAGACCCGTCGGGGACAGGAATTGAAGGATATTCTTAGGAGCGATGGTTTTTATCTCTTCGGGAAAGAGTGTAAATTTTCCAAAGGAGATATTTCGTATATGCAGGAGTTGGCTACATAGCTTACAAAACAAGCTGCTTGGCTGCTGAAATAGTTGAGACTCAATTACTCACACATAACACTTCTTAGAACTTCTACTCGGGTACAAACTATAGTAATTATCATTATTACTGATAATGATATCTTATCAAATACAATGTGATTACTTCACAATATATGAATACCATGATAAATAAGACTATCATCACTTTAAAAAAAGCTAACTTGTGTCGAAACCTAACGTATTATCAAAATCGGCATACTTTAAAGGACATTTCTTTCAGGTTAGTTAATTTTAATATTACAAATATATTATAATAATAACCAATTTCTAACTTCGTTAAATATAGTCTTGTGACTTGTGATATACCTAACCCACTATATATATATACATGTGTTTGCTTCGTATGATGCTTCGATGATTAACAAACAGTCAGATAGACAGACAGATAAAAATGGTAAAAAATGTTATTTTGTTGTATGTACCGTATTCATATTCATATGCATGTAGTAAAAAACGGTTATTTCATTATTATAAATTTTTTATTAGACATTCTAATTTTTTTATACGTATAGATTATTTTAAAAGGATTTACAAGATTTATTTTTTTAGAAATGTCTAGAATTATACATACTATTTTATGTATGGTGCTTTTGGCGTACGTTAAGGCCGATTCTGACTTTCCATTTTGGGAACATGATCAAATCCCCGTAAGGGCACTATCAACACGAAATGAAGAATCCATTTACAGACTACCAGGAGATGTTGTGCCCTTGGAATATGACGTATATCTAGATCTTTTTTTTGCTGAAAGGACAGATAGACCATTTAGCTATGATGGAAGAGTAAACATTACTATACAAGTAAGTATTTGTCGTAAAATAAGATCCAAAAATTTTGGGAACTTAAAAAAGAAATTTAAAATGGAACGTTCCAAAATTATTTTTTAAATAACAATATATAATAACTTTTAAGTATGCGAGTATGATTAAATTTGAATTTAGAATAATCTCGAAACAGAGTCGTGACCGACAAAATTTATTTAGGTTCATACTCTAATTTCAGGCAGTCCAAGAAAATGTGACTCAAATTGTACTACATGCCAATGTTGATAGAGTAAGGGGTGCCAGTTTGTACAAAAATGAAATACCCGTACAATTAAACCATACTAATGCACTTATAATTGAAAGACAATATCATTTCCTGAAAGTTAATTCACTTAATGCTCTTGTTGTTGGTGAAAATTATACTTTGGTCATCGAGTACAGTAGTGTTATGAATGATGGACCAATGAAGCGAGGCATTTGGCGTGGTTGGTATATTGATGAGAATAATATAGAGAGGTATGTATAAACATTGTTTTTATATATTTTTTAACTTTATTGCATCAGATAATTGCTACCAGGAACCTAATTCAATATCATAGAACAGTGAGATATAAAAGGCGATCTTTATTTTTATTAATATAAATTTCCAAAATTAAAGTAAAACTGAAGATAATACTTTAATAAAACAATTGAAGATCTAAAACGAGATGGATGGTCTGTGTATCTTTCGATGATATGGCAAGAAAAATATCAAGATGACTTTGAATGGAGATGAATGGAAGAGAACAAGATATTACGCCGATTACTAAAGAAATAAAGAAAGAAAAATTACGATGACAATTTATAAGGTGTTTAATTCACCACGATGTGCTGATGATACTGACTAATTCGCCAGGATGTAATAGCACATCCTTCTTCTTCCAATTGACCAGACTTCATGCTCATCCTTCATAGACCAACACATGTATGTTAGTACACTGCGCTATTCGATAATATACACAGGGAAATGTGGATATAACAAAGGCTGATGATATGATGAACGCATCACAATGCAGATAGTTCATTTGTTATTTGATTTGACTGGCCAAGTAGGGTGTGTTTGGGAAACAATGTGAAAATATTATATTATATAAATATTGTTATTAATTAATTTACAGAATCTACGCAACAACTCATTTTCAGCCGTATAACGCAAGACAAGCTTTTCCTTGCTGGGACGAGCCTTTATACAAAGCAGTATTCACACTACATATATCTAGGCCAACAAATTACTCAGCTACATTTACTAATACTGGATTGGACACTTATGATCAGTAAGTATTGAATTATCTTTAATTATCCATCCTTATTTACCTTGGTAAACTTCTTTCAAATAAAAATAATAAGGTAATTTGTCATATATACAATGAAACAGTTTTTTTATACAAATAAATGACTTTGGACAGTTAGGTAGGATTAACAGGGGACTAAACTTGGTTTCCTTGTACTATGAGTCCAAGGAATCGTGGCATCCTTCTCTCTATGAAATATATAGCAATAATGGTAGAAGAGTGAATATTTATGCACTAATAGTAGTTAATTAAATAGACCAAGTAGATACCAAGTAAGAGAAAAATGAACTTGAGTGTGTTGCTGTGTGTGATTAAGGAAGTTATTATAAAGAAAGTAAGAGCATGTGTTATTAGTGTACAAACAAAAGAAAACAAATAAGAATGAGTATTTAGTTATGTTGTGCCAGTAGAACTCCGTTTCATTCAGTTTTTCTAGTTTACATGTAAGGCTGTTTTTAACTCTAGACCCATTCAATTTATTTATTTGTAATGTTGTATAGTTCCAGTACTATGGAAATCACGTTATAACATGTCGGCGTAATACCACTATTACATTGCCATTCCGAAGATTCTTGATTCCATGCCCTTTATGCTGTTATTTCAGTGCTGATCTCACTCTGCAACCGAAAACACAATTTACTAAGTGGCTAAAATAGGCGACTCTGAGGTGTCCTAGTAAAAATCGTTTGCTTTAAAGAAAGTGTGTAGTTTCATTTTTATTTTAAATTCTTTCGTTTTGTCTGTTTCAGTCTAGACATGAATTTTCAAGATCGAGTTGTGGAGCATTTTCTGCCAACACCGAAAATGTCAACATACCTCGTAACTTTTCTAGTTAGTGAGACGTTTAAAGTTATAGCTAACGATACCTCGTTCAATCCACCCATAAGAATAATCGGTAGGTCAAATACCCAAGGATATGGGGATCATGCCTTGAACTTGACTGTTGGAATGACGAAGTTTTTTGGTGATTACTTCGATATGCCATACGAGAGTTTGCACAAGAATCTGTATAACGATCATATATCTTCTCCGGACTGGGCTTCAGCTGGTACCGAAAATTGGGGTATGGTTAGTTATAGGTATGTATTAATTAATTTTATATAGATTTTGCATTTGCATTAATTTGTCATTGCGTTAACTTCGCTTCAAGTGTAATTAAGCAAAAATATTGGCATTCACCTTAATTTTGATTCTGATATGAGGGAAAAGCTGATGAAATAGGAATTGTAAAGGAAAATATTTTTGTTTAAGTTTATAAAAAGTGGTTTGTTGACAGTAACTATATTTTGAAATACATATATTTTTACTGATAAGGCTTCTAAACTTTGTTCTATCTCTTTAAGAATTGTAACCCAGTCTACCGTAATGATGTTATCTGTACATTGCTTTGTTTACATTTTTAATGTATCTACATAAGTGAAATAATTTTGATGTTATTTGCAGAGAATTGAATCTGATTATATACCCACGTGAAACTATTATGTCTGTTGAACATTATGCTACTACTCTCGTGTCCCACGAGTTGGCACATAAGTGGTTCGGGAACTTAGTCACCTGCTACTGGTGGAGTAATACCTGGATCAATGAAGGTTTCGCCAGTTACTTTGGTTACATTGCTTCTCATGAGGTTATTATCGTAATTTTATTTATCGGCTTCCGTGGTTTTACGTCCGAGGCTCGCGATTAATTTCTTCCTACTAATATACTAAATTGTATTAAAGTTTCAAGTTTAGAGCGACATTAATTTTTTCAACCCTTTAATTTTAACCTTGTGGTAATTGTACTTAACATGACTCGTCATTAAAATAATTACTAGCCTTACACAGCGATCGTTATATAATAATAATAATCTCAGGACAATTCACACAGCGCCATCTAGACCCAAGTTAAGCTAGCTAAAGCTTGTGTTATGGGTACTAGATAACTGATACAAATACATTGATATTATTTTTTTTTGTAAATACATACATATTATACATAGAAAGCAACCAGACGGATACAAACAATCATACTCATGAATACAAATGTTTGTGCCGTGCGAGAAATCGAACCCACGACTATAGGACGTAAAGCGGTGTTCTAGCCCGCTAGACCACCGAGGTCGACATATCAAGAGTCCTTGAGCTCTTAGGCTTAGTGGCAGTAATAAACAGTGTTATAAATATTATGTTTTATTTTCAGGTCTTTCCACAATATGAATTACACGAGCATTTCAATTCTAGATATCTTCAAACTTCATTAGCATTCGACTCCGGGAGTACGGTACCAATGAATAATGACGTCAATACTCCTTCTCAAGTCACCGGTCACTTTGGTACAATCAGTTACTCTAAAGGTGCCGCTTTCCTTAGGATGACTGTCAATATCATTAGCCCAGAAACTTTTCAAAAGGCATGCAAGATTTTCTTAGAAGATAAGTACGTAGAAAAAGATTTTTTTTAATTATGTAAATTTTACACTAATTACTTACTAAGTTTTTGTCTTTCTGAATAATTATTTACATATAATCTTTTCAGTCGACTAGAACCCGTGGATCAATATGATTTGTATGATGCATTTGCTGCAGCTATAGCAGAAGATGGTTCCTTGAGAGAATATAATGATTTCAATTTCACAGAATATTATCGTGTTTGGGTCAATGAGCCTGGTTATCCGCTACTCAATGTAGATATTAACCATTCCAATGGTGAAATAACACTGACGCAGGTAAATGCATTTTTTTCTTCTTAGCGAGTAAAAAGCAACAGTATAATGTCTTTCTTTTTAATGGGTGATAATGGAATGTACCTATGCACTGAATAGAGACAGAGCAGTTAACACACAAAGAAAAGGAATTCACTACGGATTTACTACGATGCAACCTAGGGATCTGCTTAGAACTAATAGAGAATACTGATAGTAATGTAATCAAGGCAGACAGGGAAGATATCACTGATACAAGAATTGATACCATATGACAGGGGTTGTAAGAGGCATTGTTAAATGTCAAGGTAGCGGACATACTGTCTGTAATTCTGATCAGAATCAAAATTAAAGTAACTAATAAAATTACCTTTTATAACGGTAATACATTTTAATTGTTACTTATAATTTTACAGGAGAGATTTTTCTTAAATGGAAATACACCACCTACTGGACAAATTTATCCTATCCCAATCACATATTCCACTAAAAGCAATACAAGGTTTAGGGATTTAAAACCAGTTTCTATGATGAGTTCAGAAATAGCAGTAATACAGAAGTCTGAAGAAGAAGAATGGGTGATATTCAATAATTTGCAGCATGGTTTGTATATTTTGAATATTCTGTCAATCGTTTCGCAACTGCAGGATGATATAGTAATTTTATTTGTATTACAAATTTAAATTGCGCTCAGTAATTAATATATTTTCTTTTATTTATTTATTTATGTAACTTTAATGTGCATAGTACAAAAGTAACAGTACATTTGGCGGACATAACACCATGCGGTATTTTCTACCAGTCAACCATAGGTAGTACAGAGAAAAATTATGTATTAATAATAATAAACTAAGAAAATAATTCCACATAAATATATAATATGCTTTATTTATATCTTTATATTATGTATCTTATTAAAACTCTTTAAAGAATACAGAAAGTGGTCGAGAGAAGTTGAGTTTCAGCGCAATACTTTATTTTCCAATGGGTTCGTCCTCACACCGAAGCAACAATTGAATTTCTATCATATATGTTATTAGCTTTTGCCCGCGGATTCGCTCGCATTAATTTATCTCCTTGGGAATGGGGTGGAATTTATCAAAATTCTTCCTTAGGGGATGCCTACGTCGTAGTAGCTTTATGCATGTAGAGTCTCAGCCTGATCGGTTTAAAATTGACAAAGTTTCATCCCCTATTTTATCCATTTGGGGGTAGAATTAATCAAAATTCTTTCTTAGCGGATGCCTACGTCATAACATCTATCTATGTATATATATTCTAAATTTCAGCCCGATTCTCCCAGTGGTTTGGGCTGTGCGTTGATAGATCACTATGTCAGTCACCTTTGAGTTATATATATTTAGATATATGTATGTATTTATCTGACTGTTTTTCTGTGTAAATATTCGTATTAATATCATTCTATCTATTTTCTGATATTAGTAATGCTCCTAAAGTTGTAACTAGTGGGTGCTTTTCCTTCGTTACAATTTATTTAATTTTTTCAGCTCACTACAGAGTTAATTATGATGATAAAACATGGGATTTGATTGCGGAGGCTTTATTGAATGAACCCGAAACTATTGATCATCTAAATCGAGCACAAGTAAGTGTTATAAATGTGAAATCTTATATATAAAATTCTCGTGTCACAGTTTTCGTTCCCATACTCCTCCGAAACGGCCTGACCGATTCTCATTAAATTTTGTGAGCGTATTGAGTAGGTCTGAGAATCGGCCAACATCTATTTTTCATCCACCTAAATGTTAGGGATAGTCCACCTTTAATTTTTTTTTTATTTTAAGGCAAAACAACGTTTGCCGGGACAGCTAGTATTAAAATAAATTTTTCAAATATTTTGTGTATAATAGGGGTTTAGAGCGCAGTATAATTAAAAATTGTAAATTGTAAATTCATTAGTCTTTTTAATATTGCGATGTTGAAAAGACTTATGAAACACTACATCATACTATTTTTCTAAATATAGAATTCTAATTATAATGTTTTCTACTAACAATGGCTAAATATATAATATAGTTATCTGTAGAAGATAGGGGAAAATAGTAGTTAAAAAATTTGACGTTCATATGCTGCTAAAATCTACCTACATAAATAAATGATTTTTGATTTCATTTGATATTAGTTTTACATTTTTTTTTAGTTTTGTAAATAATTTTATATCTTATAACTGAAAACATTTCGGTACCTATATTGAAATTATATGTAACTAACAGTTTCCCGCAATGTGGACTTTCTTTGAAGTTACTTTTAAAATATACCCTATATAATATTATCCGTCCTCGGAATGTAATTTATATTCATATCAAAGGAAGGACTTATGGAGCGGCTACAGGCCAACTCCAGCCTGACATATATCACGTATACGACTTTAGTCTGAGGGCACCGCTAGGGGTTCGAACCTCGGCTCAGGCCGTCTTAATTTCGATACTCGTTTGAATTAGACCTATTTTAAAAATTATAATTATTGTATTGATTTTTAGATAGCTGACGACGTATTTGCTCTAATGCGGTCAGAAAGACTAACATACCATAAGGGTTTCCAAATACTGAAATTCCTGCGCTATGAATCCAACTACCACGTGTGGACTGTTGCTATTAGTGGATACACGTGGCTACGTAACAGACTTAGACACTTACCGTCACAGCAGGCTACTTTTGACGTAAGTAAACTCAGTATTGACGGCCTCACGTAAGTTCGACGGCATCGGTGGTCTAGCGGTTTAAGATACCTACTAAAGTAAGTAGGTAAAGTATTATATGTAAGTAAATATAAACCTGATGCAGCCCATAGGCTGCATCAGGTTTATATTTACTAAAATTGCAAAGGAAATGCTTATCTAATTTAATTTTAAAATCAAAGGAAAGAGTTCTTTTTTCTTCTTCCTTTTCGCGTAGGATCTATTCCTCGCACGGTACAAACATTTATATAAATGGGTATAATTGTTTGTATTGTTCTGTTTAGCTTAAGACTAGATGGCGCTGTGTGAATTGTACTGTAATAATTATTGTAATGTAATATATATTATTGTTATATCAATATTCTGTAAAAGTTCTATTAAAGCTGGCAAGCAGTTTGCTTTGTAAGCTGTTTTTTGGTTATAGAAGATTAGGCAGTGAAGTTACAGGATAAGAGCCATAACATCTTAGTCCTTTGAAATGGCGACATGCGACGTAATGGTATCAGGCGTATAGCATAATAATACTAAGAACACCCTAGGACAACTCACGCCGCGCCATGATTTCTAAACAAGCAGAGTTTGTCTTATGGCTACTACACAAGTGATAGAAATATTTTTTGTGGTAAATACATATATTATATACATAGACCAGACCGATATAAACAATCATGTTCATGAATGCGAATGATTTTACCGTACGTGGTCCGAACCCGCGACAACCGAGATCAAGGCAGTGTTCTAAAACGCTAGATCAAAGACAACAAATAATCAAACTATCAGTACAAGCTCGCTATTTACCAAATTCTTTTTAAATATCTTTTATTAAGAAGATACTATTTTAAAGGTACTCGTAGTTCTACTACGCCAAACTTTTTTTTTATCAATTTTCAGTCTTTCATCTTAAGTTATTTGGAACATGTGATAGAAACCGTTGGGTACGAGACTATAAGTAATGAAACACCTACAATAAGTCTCACCCGACAAGAAGTTCTCCAGTTTGCATGCAACCTCGGCCATGAGAAATGCGTAGAAGAGTCACTTCAGTGGTTTAGAAGACTGAAAAATCAGCAGTGGTTAGTAGAAGTATCATTATAAGGAGTTACTTTTTTTCTTTGACAAATCATACAGCGCCATCTAGGTCTAAGCTAAGCAGAGTTTGTGTTATGGGTATTAGAGCAACTGATATACACATTGATTACTTTTTTTAAAAACTCATGAAACTAATGAATTCGTAATGTCAATATGTATTCCTGAACATCTGTTTAAAAGAGCAACACACAAGTTCCTTGGTCGTTCTTGTAATGAGACTGCTTTCCGAATAAGCGGTATAATATAAAAATGGTATTTGACTATTTATTTTGGCAATGAATATTTAGTTCAATAAAGATGATTTCTATTTTCAGGGTGAATCCTAAAATACGACGTCATGTCTACATAACTGGTGTTAGAGAAGGTACATCTGAAGATTATACATTCTTGCTAAATAGATTTAGGACTTCAAACTTTGCTAATGATAAATTGGAAATGCTGCGAGGTCTGGGGGCAACGAAAGATTCTGAATTATTGACCGAGTAAGTGATAAATCTAAAGATTTCTATGCATATAGTATATTATAGTATTGGTAATAATAACGTTAAAACGGTACGTAATGAAGTTCAATATAATATAAATTGTTAAGAATGAATATATTAATAAAAGAAAATTAAATTAAAATTTTGAGAGTGATTATATAATGATATATATAACCTATAATCAAAATACATCAAAAAAATTTTAAGTGTAATTTTTATCACATATTTATTCATTCTCAACAATTTTCATTATGTTAAACTTCATTATCATTACCTAATAGAAGTTTCTATTATAATTATCCTGATATACAGCTCCTGCTAGTTTGGGAGTCAGGACTGCATCAAACTATACACTGATGAACGTTTAAATAACTACTGTTAAATTAAGTTTCGACACTCAATGACTTGTTTTTTTAGTAATAATGTATTAAATATGAGTTTATTTTAATGACTGTATGTGTCAAAATAAAGCGATAAAAAAATAATAACTAAATATCATAAATTCTTAAGTTATTATATTATACTAGCTGTCCCGGCAAACGTTGTTTTGCCATATAAATTAATAACGCTATAAACAAAAATAGGGGTTGATGATAGAAGGGTGAAAATTTAGGATTGTATGTATTTTTGTATGTTGTATCATAAAAAATTAAACTCTCAAAATTTTGTCTAAAAAATAAAAATAAAAATTAGGGTTGGACTACCCCTAACATTTAGGGGGATGAAAAATAGTAGTTGGCCGATTCTCAGACCTACTCAATACGCTAATACAAAATTTCATGAGAATCGGTCAAACCGTTCCGGAGGAGTATGGGAACGAAAACTGTGACACGAGAATTTTATATAAGTAGTATATATAAGTAGTTAGGTTTTGTAGCAAAGGACCTGAAAAAATTAGATGTCTGGATGTTTAAAATTAAACATTTTTATTACAGGTATTTAGATCTAACACTGCAGAAAGAAGTAAGATCCCATGACAAAGCAACTTCTTTTAATTATGCTCTTCTAGGCAATAAAGAGAATGCAAATGTTGCACTGGAATATATTAAAAATAACATAGATGCCATCAGAGAAGCGTGAGTATATATAGATCATTTGATATATGTTATACAGGAACAATGCGACGGCCTCGGTGGTCGAGCGGTTTAGAACAGCGCTTTACTTCCGATGGTCGCGAGTTGAATTCCTCGAATGATGCAAATATTTGTATTGTACACTGTACACGCTATATATCCCTTATTGTCGGAGCCTGGGGTCGCGTTAGCATTCTACCATGACTCCAGCGGGAATCATCTCTATAGATGATGTAGGGTATGCCCTATCTCGGTTGTTATAATAAATACGATAATTTGATGATTTTGGTCCACTCTATAGATGATATAGGGCATGTCATATCTCGGTTAGTACAATAAATATGATAATTTTATGATTTGGGTCCGCTCTATAGATGATGTAGGGTATGTCCTATTTCAGTTGGTACAATAAATACGATAATTTTATGATTTGGGTCCGCTCTATAGATGATGTAGGGTATGTCCTATTTCAGTTGGTACAATAAATACGATAATTTTATGATTTGGGTCCGCTCTATAGATGATGTAGGGTATATCCTATTTCAGTTGGTACAATAAATACGATAATTTTATGATTTGAGTCCGCTCTATAGATGATGTAGGGTATGTCCTATTTCAGTTGATACAATAAATACGATAATTTTATGATTTGGGTCCGCTTTATAGATGATGTAGGGTATGTCCTATTTCAGTTGGTACAATAAATACGATAATTTTATGATTTGGGTTCGCTCTATAAATGATGTAGGGCATGTCCTATTTCAGTTGGTACAATAAATACGATAATTTTATGATTTGGGTCCGCTCTATAGATGATGTAGGGTATGTCTTATTTCAGTTGATACAATAAATACGATAATTTTATGATTTTGGTCCACTCTATAGATGATGTAGGGCATGTCATATCTCGGTTAGTACAATAAATACGATAGTTTTATGATTTTGGTCCGCTCTATAGATGATATAGGGCGTGTCCTATCTCGGTTGGTACAATAAATACGATAATTTTATGATTTGGGTCCGCTCTATAGATGATATAGGGCGTGTCCTATCTCGGTTAGTACAATAAATACGATAGATTTATGATTTTGGTCCGCTCTATAGATGATATAGGGCGTGTCCTATCTCGGTTGGTACAATAAATACGATAATTTCATGATTTGGGTCCGCTCTATAGATGATATAGGGCGTGTCCTATCTCGGATAGTACAATAAAAATATAATTTTGATGTCTTTAGTTAATTGTAGGTTAATTTCTCCAACAGATATGTTGAAGATTCACCGGCCAATCCCGTACAAACTGTACTGTCAAATCTTGCAACTTATCTCGACGAACCTGAACTTGTGGATGTGAGTACTTTTGATTTTGTACAAGAAAATAGTTAGGTACATATAATCATTATACCTAGTCTTACCATAAATATGACGAAGGTGGCCTCGGTGGTCTAGCGGCTTAGCACACCGCTTTACTTTCGGTGGTCGCGGGTTTGATTCCTCGCACGGTGCAAGCATTTGTATTAATGAGTATGATTGTTTGTATCATACTAAGTATTTTATGTATTTATTTAAAAAAAAGTATTTATATAAGTTGTCTAGTATGTATAACACAAGCTCTGCTTACCGTGGGACCAGATGGCGCTGTAATTATCCAGGGTTATTTATTTTTTATTATATATTCATAAGTATGATTGTTTGTATTGGTCTGGGTCTTTTCTATGTATGTATTTATGAAAAATACATCCAAAAACAATTTATTTATTTAAATATGGTTATAAGCAAAAATTTACATTTTTTAACATTTATTACGATAATGTGTGTTAGTTTAAACATTAAAAATATATAAAGCTGCTGCTGTTGGCTGAATTACTTGAATATGAATATTCGTACACCTACTCGATAATAATTTTATTAGAAATGATATTTTAGGTCAAAAATAATATATATATATATATATATATATATATATATAAAACAAAAACCTCAGAACCCTTTCCTATCCTTTTCTTTAAAATATATATTTTTTTTACACGTTACCAGTGAATAATAGGCCATAATAATATTCCATGCATGTAGCACCGAAAAAAATATATAGTCTAATATATTTGCATTTTTTTAGTACGAGAACTGGTTACGTACAACGCAGCGGGACTCACTGCAATTCAATAACACGATAAACGCAATCAATAACGCTCGAGCCAATATAGAATGGGGAACTGCCAACGCCGATATTATTTTGAGTGCTGCGAGAGACAGTGCATCTATTGTTGTTACTTCAGCTATTATGTTACTAGTCACAACACTATTCACCTTTGTTCTTTAATATGTAACGTTCTACAAATCAGTAGAAAATATTGTTTAATTAAATATAACTAAATATAGTAATAAGTACATTAATAGATGTTTTTTTTACACTACGTTGGTGGTAAACAAGAATACGGCTCGTCTGATGGCAAACGGTTACAGTAGTCTAGGGACGACTGAAATACCAGGGGTGACACGTGCAGAAAGCACGTTGCCGTTGTCTTTTCAATTACTTTTTTTACCCTGAAAATTCACAGCTTCAGCTGAGTCAGCCCCTTTTATATTATCTTTACACAAATAATTTTATAGCAAATACAGGTATTTACCTCTTTCGACGTTTCAACTAGGTTGCACTAGCCGTGGAGTAACAGCGATGTCAATATAGGTGTCTGCAGTTTTTTCATCTACCTTTACCTTTACCTTTCTTTTTAAAAAAGGAGTATTGAAGGTCTTTATTTACCTCAAATAATAAACGATTACAATTGCTTATATAATTTAATAGTAATAATCGAAACAAAACGGTCTATAACTCAGAGGTGGCATTGAGTCCACTCTCTTTGCTATTCTATTATAGCGTTTATTAGTAAATAAATACAATAGAAGGTCGATGATGACGATAGCAAAGAGAGTGGACTCGATGCCCCCTCTGAGTTACAGACCATTTTGTTGCGATTATTACTATTAAATTTTATAAGCTATTGTAATAGTTTATTATTTGAGACAAGTAAAGATTATTATTATAGTAATAATATAATTATATATGTATATATATATATATATATATATATATATATACCTAATATAATAATATAATTGTGTGACTAATTACTTTCAATACTAATTGGATTGTCTTATCATGGCTGCGGTATTAGCCTATAGATTAAATTAAAACAAAGAAATTAAATTCTACCTATTTTTACAAAGCGACATTCACGTAATACAATTATCCGGCAAATATTTTAATTTTTTTATTGATTTATGAATAACTAGCTGTGCCTGCGGTTTTACTCGCGTTAAGTTTCAATAAAAAATATAGCCTATATGTTATTCTGATGCAAAAGCTATATTACTGTAAAGTTCCATCAAAATAGGTTCAGTAGTTTTTGCGAGAAAAAGTAACAAACATCCATACTCACAAATTTTGCATTTATAATATAATTAGTAGGATACACTCTTAGTGAACATTACACTTTCTTAAAGAACACACTAAAAGGTAATTGATGCTACTTTACGTTAACTCTTATTATAAATATAAATATTGTTTTTTTGTGTAGTATTTTTTTTATTTCACAAATGACAAAAACTTAAAAAGCAATTTCTTTTTTCCTGCAACAGCTATAAATGATTTATTGTATATTATGTATAGTTAATTTAAATTGTTTGTAAAAATTTTGGAAAAAGTGACAGATAGATAATTATGATGAATAAATGTTTCTTTTAATTTTATGCATTTTTTTTTCTTTTGTAAGAAATTTTTACAATCCCTAAATAAGGGCCCACAAACAAATTTTTATACGGGGCCCGCCAAGCACGCTACGCTTCTAGTCAGAGACATCGCGGTATCATGTGACGCCCGAGATGCGTTGTCAATCCTGCGAGCATAGATATTAAGCCTCTTATCTAATTAATGGCACCCTAGAACAGAAACACTTAATGTTAGTTGGACTATATATACCTACTAACAATAGTAGATGGGGTATTTAAAATTCACCTGCTGACTCGCGCAATCTCGTTTGCATCACACTTACTTTAGCCCAAGAGTCCACGACGGCCAAATATACGTCTTATTAGTACATGTGAAAGTTCTTGTATGTGTGTCCCCAACACATATAAGAACGATCCCCACACATGAAACCTGGATCGTGGTTCCTTTGGCAGGTAACAGGTAACAAAGGTAAAAATTTTCATATCAGATTCGTTATTTTAAAAAACTCTAAATTTTTCACATTTTACAAGAACTTTCACATTTACTAATAAGACGTATATCTGGCCGTCGTGGCCTCTTGCTCTACTTGACATTTATCATTATATATCAAACGACTTACATGTCTTTTTAAATTATAGCTTATATTTTGTTCTGATCTTTCCGTCCATTCCACAGTCACTAACTTTTGGGTTTATACTATTAGTACGATTTATCCTTTTCTAGTATTTCTATAACCATTGTGTATTTGCCCAACAAAGTTTTCAAGATATTATACAAGTAATCAATAAATAATAATCTTATTAATATTATAAATGCGAAAGTTTGTGAGTATGGATGGATGTTTGTAACTCTTTCATGCAGAAACTAACGAACGGACTTTGAAACTGAACTTTACAGTAATGTATGTAGATTATACATCAGAATAACACATAAGTTACAAATTTCATGCGGGTGATACCGCGGGCATAGCTAGTAAAGATAATAAATGCTGAAACTCTTTGATCAACCAATGGCATTTTAAGATAACAAGCTATATAACAATTATTTATTCTTTCGAAATTGTAAATCGGAGAGTGTGTAATGATGATTTCATATTAATTATTCAAATGCCCTCGAGGTAAGAGCTGGACCTCAAAGATCATAATTGTCTTTTCACAGGACTACGGTGTAATGAATTCCTTACGAAGGATTCAAGTATATTTGGAATTACTTAGAAAATAAACACATAACATATATATACGAAATTTGAAATTTAGTTGTTGTAATAGGTCCTTGTTTATAATAAAAGGTTGTGCCAAAGAAGTTAATCTCATTTAAAATAAAAACTATTAATTATTATATAAAATCCATTCAGGATATATTGAAGTAGAATGGATATACTATACTGGGAAATTTGAGTCCTAAATTAGTCCCGTTTTTGTCTAAAATATAAATCTCTGTCTTAAAAGAGTGCTTTTTGATTTTTGTTTCTCTGTTATACAAGTAAATTATGTAGTGAAATGGGCAAAATGATGTGAAGGATACTATAATGTACAAATATCAGTCCGGAATAGTGTGGAATTCGCTAAGAAAAATTAGATCACTACCGCCAACATTTGTTATATTCTTCAGCATATATTACTCCACTGTCAATTAGTCTACTGTTGGACTTATGCCTTTTGCATAATTTTTCATCTTCTTCGGTCTGCGGTGCATCTTGTCCAGGTCCGTCTTGCGGTCTTTTGAATGTCGCGCGATATCTGGCAGCTGGTCTACCTGCTTCTGCTTTCCATCCTAGGTCGCCACATTAAGTATGCGTATGTTCATCTGTCATCACTGCTTAGTCATACGCAGCCGGTCCAACGCCACCTTAGCTATGCGATTCTTTTGATGATGTCGGTAATTGTCACATTTGTGATGCATCATCAGAACATGTATGAAATTTTTATGCTAATCAATAATTAACAGATGGTAATATTGTTGCTTATGATGCGTGCATTATTATGAAATTTCTCAGAACAAAAACCGTACACACGAATTAGTATAACGAGGAATTTACCTATCTTTGTGATATCGATGTATTAGTTTCAATACTTAATCGTGCCTACGATAAACAATTTATCACAATAATCTGATAAGCAACAAAAAAAACTAAACATTTTACAGATCTATTGGACAGTGCTAGTTTCGTGGTAGTTGTGGATTGTTACTGATCTAATATATTCGTAAGTAATGTGGGTATTATTTTATATAACTATATTTTTTTAGTTTATACTTTAAATTTTATAGTAGGTTTTTATATTAATGGTTTATTGTATGATTAATCTTATACATAAAATTATCACGTGTCACAGTTTTCGTTCCCATACTCCTCCGAAACGGCTTGACCGATTCTCATAAAATTTTGTGAGCGTATTGATTAGGTCTGAGAATCGGCCAACATCTATTTTTCATCCCCCTAAATGTTAGGGGTAGTCCACCCCTTAAATTTTTTTTTTATTTTAAGGCAAAACAGGGACAGAGCTAGTTATTATATAATGCTTACATTAAAAAAATACTTTATCGAATTTGTAAATTCTTATTTCATTCTTTTTTAAATTTGTTTTATATTTATTCGGCACCGATTATATGAATATATGACACAGTATTGTGCTAACTCTTGGGGATACATTTTATCGGTTGCGAAATATACATCCAAATTTCATATCTGTAACTAAATCACACAATCATCGAATTGAATCCGTTTTAGCAATCGGTTGTACAAGTCTTCTGACTTTGTTGCGTCTAATTGATCAATTACCGTTTTTTTTTCTTGCCAAAAGCAAACACTGATTTCAAAATCTTACTATGCTTGTTGTTGTAATTTCATTTTGCTTATGTGTAAATTACACAGACGTTTCATTGCAAGTGTTCATAAGTACATTTGCTGTATAGGGGCCATTGTTAGCCATGTATCGAATCAGGTCGACCTTCGTAGTTAGTAGTAGTTATTTCCCTGGAAACTACAGTTAATTCTTGAAGAATTCGTTACGATAGGTTGTGTTTGGGAAACTACTCTGCTACCAAAATGTTAGGGAATATATAGGGGGATTTAGTGTGTCTGGCGTACCTGTATGGTTCTGCGGATTTCTTGGGCTTCAGGGTCTCGAAGATATCTTCGCTAGCTTTCACACACTATCACAGTAGGGTTTCACAGTAGGTTTAACACAGTAGGTTTTCAGTTCTAATTTATTTCAATTCACAACAAATGCGCGCGCGCGTCAAGGCCGCTGTACGGTCCGTTTGTTACTAGTTATGGGAGGGGCAGGGAAAGCCGCGGGAACACAGAGATTAGAATTTTTGATCATCACCATTAACACTCTTGAAAAAATCCATTTGCAGTAACATGTTGGGACGGCTGGTACTTATACCGGCTTTATTAGCAATCGTTAGCTGCGATTTGCCGTTAGATGTCAACGAGGTGGTCTTCCGAGACGATGACTCTCTCGGATATCGACTGCCCGAGGACTTAGACCCGATATCGTATGAAGTAGAAGTAACGCCTTATTTCGAGGAAGCACCAGAGAATAAGACTCCATTTACTTTTGATGGTGTGGTGACAATAGCTGTCAGGGTAAGTCGACACTAAAATTTAAAATATGCAGCAATCTATGAAACACCTCAGCCCAGTGGTAAACTTCGTAAAAGTCCTCTGACTCACGTAAGGTGAGGTATGGCAGTAAAATTACAGGGTATGAAGACCTTAACTCGACGACCCCGGGTAAGACTGGGTATGGCTATTTTTGTTTATAGGCGACTGGTACCATTTACCATAAGAAAAACCAACAGCATGTTGGTTTACCTGATCAGATTTAAATAATATACAAAGACACATTATTATAAAAAGAAGTAGATGCGTAGTTTATAAAAAAAATGATACTCTGTTCACAGTAGAGTAGAATATTTCAATTTGTTGCATTCTATATTTAATCTTTGATGTTTTGATAGCCTCGGTGGTCTAGTGGTTTAGCACACCGCTTTACTATCCGATGGTGGTGGGTTCGATTCCTTGCACGGTACAAACATTTGTATTCGTGAGTACGATTGTTTGTATCGGTCTGGGTGTTCTCTATGAATAATATGTATTTATTTATAAAAAAAAAATGTGTCCATGTATTTATATCAGTTGTCTAGTACCCATAACACAAGCTCTGCTTAGCTTGGGACTAGATGGCGCTGTGAGAATTATCCTGAGATATTATATTTGAAAAACTTTGACAATGAATAGCGAAATACAAAGGCATTTTGCTTATACAGCCTAATTATATTATGAAGTAATAATAATATTTCGCGATAAAATGTCTTTTATCGTTTTGAATTATTAAAAATCGATTAGTCTGTAATATTTTGTTATTAATTAATACTGGCTAATCGTACTAGAGATAACAGATAAATATTATGTGTATATATTCTAAAAGTTACCTTGAAACTAAGAACAACTAAGAATTTCCTTCGTTATTGCTCTAAATTTCAAACAATACAACACAATAATAATATGAAAATATGCATATTTTATAGTGTACCTAATTCACCACTCATGCGTTGTCGTTCTAGAGGATTATCCTGCAGTTTCGCGGCCTGCAGAGCATGTGTTATTGGTATTAGATAACTGATAGAAATAATAAAATACATTAATATTCTAAATACATACACAATCTATATAAAAATCCCACACAATACAAACAATAATTCTCATGAATACATTTGCATTTTAAATTGATATTTGTAACTTTGTATAAAATTCACCACTACTCTAAACAAATGTGCATGCTTATATAATTGTTATCTTAAGTAAACTGTGATTAACAACGTTGGTGATTTATCTTTCATCTCATCACACATTGTATGTATATATAATGTTGTATTACTGTTTGTTAGTCCTAAATAAATAAAAAATAATAATACAAATGTTGCATTGAGTGGAATCGAACCCGCGACCAACAGATAATGCGGTGTGATAAACCACCGAGATCGTCAACTTCTTTGAAGATACTCTGTGTAATTCATGACAATATTTATGTATGTATTTATTTCACGCCAAAGCTCATTAACATTCATGTGTGAAAGGTAACAAACAAACCGACAAATAGACTTTCGTATATATAACATTACTATTTATTGATGTGGATTATTCCATTGGTAGTCCAGTACCTATAGTACGAGCTCCTCTTAGTTTGGAACTAAATGGTATTGTATGATATATCTAGTTTAGCATACCTCTTTACTTCTGATGGTCGCCCGTTCGATTCCTCGCAAGGTACAAACATGTGTATTCATGAGTATGATTGTTTGTATCGGTCTGGGTGTTTCTTATGTATATATATTATGTATTTATTTACAAAAAATGTATCTAGTTATTATTATTTACTAGCTACATGCCCCGACTTCGCACGGGTGTACATGTATTATATATATAAACCTTCCTCTTGAATCAGTCTATCTACTAAAAAATACCGCATCTAAATCCATTGCGTAGTTTTAAAGATTTACGCATACATAGGGATGGACAGACAGCGACAGCGACTTTATTTTATAGATTTAATGATATCAATAATATAGTATCCATAACACAAGTACTGCTTCCGTTGGGACTAGATGCCGCTGTGAGAATTGTTCACGGATATTTTAATGTTCTTATGCTGATATTATTATTATATATGGATATTTTAGCTGAGTGGAGTCATTTTGGTGATTTATATATGACACTAGCTGTACACGCGACTTCGTCCACGTTGAATTTAACTTTATTTTTCTGAAAGAAAATATTTTATTCTAAATTAAAAGAAGCCTAAGTTAGTCCTTATTACGTCAACTACCTGTCAAAAAAAGTCCCGTCAAAATCGGTCCAGCGATTTCAGAGATTAACCGGAACAAACAGACCGACAGACAGAACAGATAAAAATTGTAAAAAATGTTATTTTGGTGTATATACCGTATTTGTATTCATATGCATGTAGTAAAAAACGGTTATTTCAATATTACAAACAGACACTCCAATTATTTATATGTATAGATTTAGTTAAGTTGATTTGTTAGCGTTCAAGTGAAAAACAATTGTGGTTAAAATATATTATTTCATTCTACGAGCACACATTACAAAGCACTTGTTCGGTACAGGTAATGGCTACCAGCGGAAACCGTAGTGTTACTATATATAAAAAGTTGCCATATATATTGTTGACTTAAACAGATTTTTTTGTTGTTGTTTCTGTTATATTTGTAAGTACCGAATAAATATTTTTTCTTTTTTTTCATATTATTTGGCAGGCACTAAAGGATAACCTAACTAGTTTGATAATTCAAGAAAACGTTAGAAACATAACAGGAGTGAGTTTAGAGGCCAATAGTACAAACACTCCAGTAACAGTAAATGCAACAAATCCATTTACAAGGATTAGAGAGTTTCATTTACTGAGAGTAAATTTAGACGAGGGTGTTACATTGGTCAATGGAGATGTATATTTGTTAACTATTACGTATATCGGGAACATCAATGAGACGCCGCTATCGAGAGGCGTTTTCAGAGGAAGTTATAGAGACAAGGACGGAAAACTACAGTAAGTAAACAAATTGGTTGTTATATAATTACTTGGTACTTAACTGTATATTGCGCATTAATATATAATATGTATGCATATATGTGTAAGTGTATGTGATAAATTGTGTATGAAATAGTGGACTGTATTTGGGATAGGTCAAGGGATTTTAGTAAAATGAGTTGTTAACTGCACGGCGTATATTTCAGTAGCGAACTATATACTCATAACAAAACAAAGGGGAAAAATTACTTTATACAGTATTACCAGCAATACGAAAGTGTTGCTCACTACTATTATTGAATTTGCCTAATTTACAATATGGTAAATATTTTATGTACGTAACAGCGTGCAGTATATGTAAATTATTATTATTTAGTATTTATATGTATTGCCTTTTTTTATTTCTCTAGTCTATTCTTGCGCCATCTACCACTTTTTGTCTTGTCTCCTGTACTCAAAAGTTGTCTGGAAGAGATTGCTTACGCGATAATATCGCCTTTTGTACCTTTTTTCTTCTGTTTATGTTGTTTGTACGCACCCTGTATAAAAACAGAGAGCGTTTAGAAATTTATTGCGTAACTGAACATTAAAATGTTTGACATATTATTATATTCTAAAGTGAAACAGAGTTCGCGCGGTCAGCTCGGAATGTAATAAAATAATATATGGCGTTTATGAATATAGATGCTGACAACACTGGTAGGTACACCCGTAAAAAATAGAAAAAGAATTTTGTTGATATATACTGTAAATTTAGAGATATTCACAGAATAGTAATATTTTTCTGGCACCGTCCTAATTATTGGCACATGTCAACATTTCTTGCTCATAGATTAGATTGTTACGTATGACGTATATCATGTAAGTATATTATGTTTATGTTATTTCAATTATGATAAGATTAAAAAAATTACTGCCTCATAATGGCCACAAATTTATAAGTATCTAAAATATTTTCATTACAGATATTCATCACTAGATATTATTATATAGTATAATAATAATAATATTTTAGGACAATTCACACAGCGCCCTTCACTGCCAAGTTAAATAGAGCTTGTATTATGGGTACTACTTAACTGATATAAATACATATATGAGTTTTGGTAAATACATACCTAATATACATAGAAAACACTCAGACCGATACTAACAATCATACTCATGAATACAAATGTTTGCACCGTGCGAGGAATCGAACCCGCGACCATTGGAAGTAAAGCGATTTTAATCGCTAAACTAACGAGGCCGTCACTAAAAAATAGATGTATTTACTTGTAATTGCAGTTGGTATGCTGCAACGCATCTTCAGCCAGTAAACTCGAGACAAGCGTTTCCCAGCTTCGACGAACCCGGATTCAAATCTACCTTCAATATTATCGTTAATCGTCCAGCACATTTCACCGAAACGTTCTCTAATATGCCAATCAAAGAAAATTCAACGTAAGTTTTTTTAAATAACTAGAATGTCTAACTGTTCAAGGAACAATATATGTAAGTGTTTATTATGTATCTGAAATGTCTAAAGTATCACCTGGTAGTAAATGACATGTATGTACGTGAAACGCCACTTATATACTTTTATTATATTTGTATATATTTATTCTATTTATTTATTAGGTCTTATTTATTTAGAAGGTTTACACCAGTATAACTATATTATGTATATAGCGCTTTAACTTTAGAATGGTAACGCGACCTCGCGTCTCCAGCTATGACACTTGTAGGTTCATTACGTGGGTTTTAGTGGTTAAGAATACCATACCTCAGCACCTCTCTGGTGGGGCACCGGTAAAATAAAGTATATTAACTATATAGTTAGTACCTAATGAACTACTTATTTTATGTTCACTTATTTCCAAAACAGCAATATTTATGATACTAATATATATACATGCTAGATCTAAATGTATAACTCAAAGGTGACTGACTGACATAGTAATCTATCAACGCGCAGCCCAAACTACTGGATGGATCGGGCTGAAATTTGGCATGCAGGTAGATGTTATGACGTAGCCATCCGCTAAGTAAGGATTTTGATTAATTCTGTCCCCAAGGGGATAAAAGAGGGGATGAAAGTTTTTATGAAACTTTGTCAATTTTAAACCGATCTGACTGAGACTTTGCATGCATAAAGCTACTATGACATAGGCATCCCCTAAGAAAAGGTAAATTACACCAGGTAAGGTTTGATAAATTACACCCCTAAGGGGATAAAATAGGGGATAAAAGTTTGTATATATCTTCTTAAATTTTCGACTGATTGAACTGAAATTAAAGATTGGAGCTACTATGATGAATACGTTCACTTAAATACTATAGGATTTTGATAAATTCAACTACGTAAATGTATTAGTTTGAAACTATCAGTGCCTAATGGAACTAATAAATTATGACGAACAAAATAATTTTTAGCTCTTTAGGCTACTTTTATTTTAGAAAAATAAAGTTAAATTTCACGCGGATGAAATCGCGGGAACGAAAACTTGCTGTCCTGTTAAAGATAAACTTGCTGTCCCCAAGTATCGTTTAGAAAAAGATAATAGGTCTTTTATGGGAATAGGTATAAAATATTACAACAGGATATACTGAAATTACCCTTAAATAAATTCAAAACATCTGTTATATCATATTGACTAAGCTAAGCCTGTTACTCACTAAAAGATTACTTGAATGACGAGAGTATATGGCAATAGTTGTACGTGTACAGAATTTTCTTTTAATGTTAGACGTAGACCTATATAAATAAACATTGCATATAAAAAAAAGTAATTCAATGGAGTTTCTTGCCAGTTCTTCTCAAATAGATCTATATATACGGAATTGGACGGTAGGAAAAAAATATAAATTTAAAAATGACCCTAGAAAGGAAACCTACAAGAGCCATAACTGGAGTGGCGAGATCGCTTTAGCATTCTAAAGCGGCGTTGGCCCGCCCTGTAGATGGTAGGGCCGGGTCCGTCTCGTTGTTAGGGCGACCTATTTCGTCCTACTCTACCTGTACCCACAGGTACAGTGTACGCATACGCATCCGGGGCCATGTACTTGAGGATATAGGTGGAGCGGAGTTAGGTATGCCCCTGCCTCTAGCCTCTAGCCTTCCTCTCTTTTCTTAGCGTAAGCTTAAATATAGGCTACTACTATATAATTATAAAGAATGTTAAAAAAATTCCATATACTATAGCTATTGGTTAAATTTTCTTTTAATTGGCAAAATGATTTGATTGTAATCGAAGGTTTGTTACAAGTTTTTTTAATTAATTTTCAATTATATTTGTTACTCTAAAATTGCCTTAAATAAATTTATTAAATAAACCTTTTTAAATTTATACATAGTGTTAGTTTAATATTTTTCATATACTATTTTCTTCTGTTGTACAATGCAAATGCAAGTGAAATCATATTCTATCAATTTTTTTCACAGCCAGGGCGATCGTGTACGGGAAGTTTTCTATACCACACCAAGAATGTCTGCCTACTTGGTCACATTTCATATCAGCGAAGAATTTAAAGTCATTGCAGAAAACAACAACGCAGAAGAGCCCTATCGTATCTTAGCCAGGCCTGAAGCTGAAGGGCAGGGTGAATACGCATTGGAAGTGGGACCACCCATTACAAAATGGCTCGTGGATTACTTCAATATTAGTTACTATGGTATGGCAGATGGTTTGAAGAATGACCAAATAGCGTCTCCTGATTGGGCGTCTGGAGCCACGGAAAACTGGGGTTTGGTAACGTACAGGTATGTTCTGTATTAACTGTACTATTATAATAAAGAGATAAAGTTTGTGAGGTTGTAGAGATAATTACTACATCTATTGAACTGATTTAGAAAATTCATTTACCAATAGAAAGCTACGTTATTTGGGAGTGTCATTGACTATATAACACAAGTTACAACCTATAGTAGCGGACCTGCAATGAAAAATGTTGCAAAAACGGAGAAAATATGACATATATTGAAGTGATAAAATTAATTGGATCTTTAATTGTATCAAACTAAATAAGACTAAAACAGATATATGATATACCTTTAGCAAAGCAGGTTATTGCAATAGTAATAAAATTGATATTGAATTGAAATAGATATTAGAATAAAATTACTGGATACATGGATCTGCTGGTCACAAGTTCAAATTTGGGCGTAAAATCAAATATAAAAAAACCTTGTGTGTCAATTTTTCGATAGACTCTTCGAAGATGCAAACAAATAACAAATTAATCAGAGAGATGGCACAGCGTGAGTACACCTACCTCCTGAGGTGATAGATTCAAATATACTCAGCGAAATATAGACAAGTTCTTTGCGTTCACCAATAGTCAGTAAAGATCAATTCCGATTGTATTATCATAGACATCTCTGATTTTTGGCGATCTCAGCAGTCTAACGATTTAGCACGGCCTTACATCCAATGTTCGCGGGTTCGATATTTTTCGATGTAAGTTTAAGTATTTCTGACAGTTTTTTAGTAGCCATAATACAAGCTCTGCTTACCTTGGGGTTATCCGGGCTGTGTTAATTGGCCTGTGTCATTCTTACTATTTGTATTTATCTACTCATACATGTATGCCTTCCATTTTACTACGTACTGATCGATCGATTTTGAATTTTAACATCCCTAGTGCATTTATCAGAGGATATTCTTGCTCTAAACATGGCTTTATTCTAGAATTTTCCTCTTCCATTGCTGAATTGACCAAGACCGATCTATAACTGTAGTTAATTTTCAACAGAGAAAATCGTCTTTTATATGAAGAGGGCGAAACCAATATTGTGGACAAGATAAACATTGGAACAATAACAGCTCATGAACTCGCTCATAAATGGTTTGGCAACCTGATCACGTGCAGATGGTGGGATAACGTTTGGATTAATGAGGGATTCGCCAGTTACTTTGAATATTTCGCTATGGATGGCGTAAGTCTTATTATTTTATTTTATCCTCTTTATTTTTTTTTACTTGGGATTTTTGTACACAAAATGTGACGATGACAATTATACTAACTAACAAAAAATAATAATCAACTTAAATTAATGTGATACCAGCCAAACTAATAACTTGACTACATCCGAAGCTGATTCTGCCAATATATGGGATATGTAGGTGGCAACAAACAAGCATATGACCCATTTGATGGTAAACGGTTACCATAGTCTATGGATGCCTAAAACACAAACTGAATTCTTGGTTCAATATATTTATATGTATATATTTTTACTACACAGGCTGATCCATCGTTGGAGCTGCATGACCAATTCATCATCATGTACTTACAAAGCGCCTTGAGTGCTGATGCGTCATTGGGAACAAGAGCTCTGCGTCATACTGTGAACAGTCCAAGTCAGGTGACCGGTCACTTCTCAGGCATCAGCTATTCCAAAGGAGCATCTCTGTTACTCATGTTGAAGCATTTCTTAGGAGAGGGTACCTTCAAGACGGCTCTAAACAAGTTTTTGCTTGACAGGTGAATGATCATTTTTTTTCTTGTTTCTATTATAAAGTTCCGTACATACAAATTAATGTATTAAAACATAAAAGTGTTGTTAGTACATGTTATTACGTATATTAAATTATAATCAATCAATCAAATCTAATCAATACATCAACGCATTGCGTAAAAATCAGGGCTATATGTTTGTTTTGTAAGCGCTATGTTAATGTCCTATATACCTAATAAGTTTTTATCGCCTTTTCGCGATTAAACAGTTAAAAAGAAGAAAAAATAAAAAAAATTTACTAGAAGATAAATCCACGTAACATAGTCTATATATGTGACCTCGTAACATAGTCTATGTTACGAGGACACATATATGATATCTTGTATCTCAAAAAATAACCTGAAAGCATTATTTTTCTTTCCAGGTTATTTTTTTAAAGTTTGTTCAGATAAAGTCTCTACGTAGTATATCACAAAATCGCCGTCGCTATCTGTTCGCTTGCTGTTTAAATTACTCAACGGCTTTTAATGCAGTTTACATCAATATATAGAGATTATTAAGGAATAAGAATAGAATAAGCCGAGAAATACATTCGTGCGAAGTCGAGACGAGAAGTAATTTGTAAATTACATTAATAACTACTAATTTACAATTTACACTAATCAATCTTAGATATTTATTGTCAGTATACAGATTATGATAAATTAAATTGTATAAAAATATAGAATAATTAGCTAATAGTTTTAGCATAAAATATTTTGAGCAGTTGAGCGTAATGATGACTGGCTCATTAGTCATGCTCGAGAACTGGCGCTGTAGGGACTGGGCTGCTTAGATTACTACGACTGATTTATTTTGTCATTCAACCAATTTAATATATCGACTCTAATATATTTATCCTATTTTATAGTCTATTTGTATTAAAAAATGTTATATAGAACTTAACACCGGTTTAAAAGTGCAATGAATTTCTTGCTCATTTGACGGTCTCGGTCGTCTAGCGGTTTAGCATACTGCCTTACTTCCGATGGTTACGGGTTCGATTCCTTGCACGGTACAAACATTTATATTCATGTGGTATTGGTGTTTTATACGTATAGTATGTATGTATTAACGACAAAATAATATCAGTTGTCTAGTATCCATAACTAGCTTTAGTTAGCATAGCAAGGGTCTAGATGGTGCTGTGTAAATTGTCTTGAGATTATTATATCTCTTGTGCTGCAATTGAATTCCGAATGAGTTGTTAAGTATGACTATTCAAAAGTGCTTAAATTTATTTGAATAACGAATGGTTATATTCTAATCTATACCTGCCGGGACTTACACTTACATAAGTCGAGATTTTACTTAGTTTCTTGAGTACAAAGATTAAGAAAATAAACAATTTGGTGAACAAAACACATATGTTTGGATATGACTAATTTAATGACATACGCATTAGCACAACATGTTGTAGATAATACTATTATTATATTATCTGTTAACATAATTAATCACTTTAAGGGCATTAATATCTGCAATAATCCTTCCAAAACGGAATGGTACTTACAATACTGTCGTAATAATCCTAGTCTCGTTGTTGTAAATGTTGACGGCCTTGGTGGTCTAGCGGTTTAGCATACCGCTTTATCTCCGATGGTCGCGGGTTCGTATTATGAAACAATTTTTCATTACAGCTCTACTCATATTAGTTGTAGCTTTCCTCGATAAATGGGCTCTTCAATACTAGATTAATTTATAATTTAATAAAAAATAAGTCGAAGTTATATAGTCCAGATATACATATGTAATACTAACTGAGCCTGTAAACATTGTTTTGCCAAATAAATTAAAATCACTTCTATTTTGTTATTAAAAAATTATAATATAAAAAAAATTGACCAAAAATAAACATTAATATTAGGGGTTGACAATCTTATCACTTAGAATTCTCAGACCTACTGAATATGATCAAGTCGTTTCGAAGGAGCATGGTAACTAACATTGTGACACGAGAATTTTATATATAAGATTAAGTTTCTGACCGGATCCTTTTATCGACACGCACTTGACGTTTTTTTTTGTTATATTTGTTTTGCAGGTCCTATGAGCATGCATTCCCTGAAGATCTGTATCGTGCCTTCGCAAGTGCGGTTGAGAACAGTGAACAAAGTACAGACGTAGATATAGAAGCCTTCATGCAGTACTGGGTAGACGAACCAGGCTATCCATTACTGACTGTGGAATTTGATACGGAAAATGGGGTCTTAAGTCTTACACAGGTAAGGTTAAAATGCAAAAGCCAGCTACGACCCACAGCATTAGTCTAGTTTGAAAAACAAGTGATTCTATAAACATTAAAAACATAAAAGTGTGTGAGAATGGACTGATATTCGTTGCTATTTCACGCAAAGATTGATTGGACAAATTCGAATGCATTTGGTATACAATAGATCATATTGTAGATTACTGCATAATATAATATATCAAAAGAAAAAATAATAATAACAAAAGACAATTCATACAGCTCAGTTACATCCCAAATTAAGCAGACCTACTACGGCTACTAAATACTAATATAGAAATACTAAAATATATCTTTTTATAAATACATATACATATATTATATATTTAAAACACCCAGATGAACACTATTTGTATTGGGTTGTATTATACAAATAATTATACCAATGTATAAAAATTGTTTACATCCATTACATCAAAACTGCGACCATTGGGATTAAACTGATAAAAGGTTTTAAATTCGGACACCGTTCTTTCCTTCTAATATTAATTTGTTCATCTTCTAATATAATTTATGTTCTACGAGTATACGTATTTTTTTTATTTTTAGGAACGCTTCCTTATAAATCCTTCAGATGATAACACAGACCAGGTATGGCCCTTACCATTAACTTTTACCACTGGAGATGACCCCGATTGGTCTGACCTAACACCCAAACATTTAATGACTACCCCTACGCTTGAGATCGAAGTGGAGGCCGGCGAAGAATGGGTTATTTTCAACTTGCAGCAGAAAGGTAAGATTATTTTGATCAAGAATATCATCAATATCATTGTCCAATCTTTATGCTATTATTTGGGGTCGGCGCAGTGTCACTTCTTCCACTGATCCCTATCGGCCATCATTTCTGAGCTTACTGTCCTTTTATACATTTTTCACACAATCCATCCATTTTTTTGGGCTGTTCTCTCTTTTTCTGTTCATTCAAGTATTTGACATGTTCGTGGTTCATGTCAAATACTTTCTTTAAGACATGGTCACTCAAAATGAGGCCGTCAAATAATGACTCTGACTATTCCATCTAGTTATAATCATTATAGCGTTAGGTAGTTATTATTATATTATCTTAATATTGTGTTACATTACTAAACACATAAATATTAATGTTTTTAGGTATATACAGAGTAAATTACAATGAACGAAATTGGGAATTGTTAGCAGCTGCTCTTGATGAAGACCATACCAAGATTCATCATTTGAACAGAGCTCAAGTAAGTCCTTCAAACTATTTCTTGTTTCAGTTAAAGTTGAGAAATATCAATCATACGCGTCAAAATATGTTGTGTTACTATATATATGGTCATGAGATGATGTTTATTTGTTCATTAATAATGATTACTTTCATGAGATAAAAAGTCAGATTTCTTCTATTACATAAAAAAATATTATATTTAAATTATCCGAATGCAATTCATAGTACCCCTATATATTGTTTTGCAGATTGTTGATGACGTATTTGCACTTATGAGGGCAGAGAAATTGTCATACATGCTTGGATTCAGGGTTCTTGCATTCCTGAAAAAAGACACCGGTTTCTACTCGTGGTATCCAGCTATATCCGGTTTTAACTGGTTGCGTAATAGATTACTACACATTCCCGGTACTTTGGCGCAGTTTGATGTAAGTTTTTACAAATATTTACTTAATATTTGAAATTATGCTGTATTATAATGTAATACAATTTTTAATTATTTTCAATTGTTACGATTACGATTTCATATAACATAGTTGCAACTGTTAACATGTCTACATATAATGACAAAGCGAATTTATTCAAACGTCAATTATTAACAATTTATAAAGTAGCTACAAAGCTCCCTCCCTAGGCTACGTGGCTCTCACTAGACCTCGACGCTCTCCAACTAAACTACGACGCTCTCCCACAAGACCACAATCACGACACTCTCTTGATATAACTCTGAACTAATTCTTTATTAAATTATTCTTTTAGGATCTTCTTCATCAGTACTTAGATGAAGTAGTTAAAGATGTTGGATACGATGGTCAGCCTGGCGAAGCTGTCACCAGAACACTTAACAGATTCTATATATTGTCTTTCGCATGCAATGTAGGATATCAGGGTTGCCTTGAAAATTCAGCGCAGAAGTACGCCGCGTTTAAAGATGATAATGTTAGGTAAGTTACAAGCCTGACTACACCGCTTTCCGTATACATATAATAATAATAATAATAATAATAATAATAATGGCCTATGCATCTGGTATAGACGGTCCGTATACATATATATATATGTACATTATACAAAAAAATAAGAGCGATATCTAATCGTTCAATGGTTAATTCATGAATATTAAGACATTTTATACTGTTTGGTTATGGAATATTCAATGGAAATGTAAAGTCAAGTTGAGCTTGCTCCAACTTATTTCGTATTCTATATTATCGAAGGAAAAATAGAACAATAGAGGGGAAGGGAAAAACAAAGGTACTGCTACATCAAGCAGAATAAAGAAAAAAATAGAGTCATATCATAACAAGAATAAGAAAAGATTGATGGAAGATCGTGGAATATGACAAGAGCATCACGGACAAGAGCGCGGCTCTTAAATTATGAATAACTGAATCTGAGTCATTAACTTAAAATGCAGTTTATAAAGCTCGCAGCAGGTTACTGAAATAATGAAGTGACAGAGTTACCTCCTGGTACTTAAACGCCTAATATGTATGATTATGATTAATAGAAGAGTATTTTTTGAGAGCACTGTTATTTTGAACATAAATAAAATATATAAATTTACCGTCACGACTAAATCCTAGATGGGGTAGGTAGAAGGATCGTCAACTTTCGGGGTTATGGTAACACAAAACCTAGTGGTCCAAATTTATCTGGATATATTTGAATACAGCAAGGTCCATAAGTGAGTCAACTGCTGTATCTTGTATAATTTTGGGATTTCTTATTTATGTTCCCGTCATTAGAGTGTCAGTTAGTTCAATTTACATTGACATCATATTTTTTTGGTGTCGACAAGATTTGAACGGACGACTTTCCCGACGATTGCTGTATGTTCGTGATGAAGACCACTGGGTTTAGAATTAATTTAATTATAAATTTTAGAATAGTTATAAGAAAGCTAAAACCCCAAATAAATAAATGAAGATTACTGAAATATGAACATAAATAACGTAAACATATTATCACAAATTTTATAATAGTAATATTGTACACTGCAATATACTAATAACTTATAAACAAGGCTAGGCCAATTTCCTTATACATTTATAAAGCCTTTACTTACGACGGATTAGGTTTTATTACCGTAGTAGTTATAAGAAATAAAAATATTGCTCACTGATGACTAATAGAGTTCAGTCACGATATGTATGTACCTACATAACACAGATTACAGCAACATAAAAGAGATAGCGGTTTCTATGGGACTTTTTGACTATAAACTAATATACGTCAATTTGCTTTTATAATTGAACTATTTGCTATGAACGTAGATGATTGATGTTTTCTTTCCTTCAATACTTGTTACACTTAGTACTTATAAATTTTTATGTCACAATCTCCTCTATATTATTATGAACTTGAATTAGATAAGATTTATTCTCCTCTGCGTGTTATATACTTCATAATAGCTACAATGATTTTCTGAACGTATAATACGTTTTTACACTAGAATTATTAATGGTCACAGCATGTATAAACTAAAAGTATAATAAAATATAATAACCTATATGACAAAAAACTAAACTATATTATAGGAGAATATTTTATCTTATATTCGTGAGGAATAAACATAAAAAAAATAGTTTTAAAAACTTTCATTTATCATATCATATAGTTAAATTATCAGAGAGTAATTTTTATAACAAATGGAGTAGTAGTAGTATTAGTAGTCTTTTTTTGAGGCCTGCCTAATCTCACCTTACAAGTAAGCACAAAATCAGCTTACAAAGCAAGCTCTTTAACATGTGATATACTTGAAATAGAAATAGAAATAGAAATAGAAATAATCTTTATTCAAATAAACTCATTACAAGCACTTTTGAATAGTCATATTTTGATTCTACCACTCATTCGGAATGCAGATTCATCACAAGAAGAATGAGCAAGAAACTTGTGTGTTGCTCTTTTTGATAGATGTTTTTTTTATATAAATAATTACAGTGTAACAAGTAAGAGGCATGCGACAATCAACATAGAAATCGCTACGCACTCATTATTAGTGTAATCAGATAATATTGTCAGTGCTATGTATTTAAAATTTTTCTACAAAAACATTATTATCGTTAACGAATTCTTCAATTTTATAGTAAGCTTTTTTGCAAAGGAAGTGTTTTATTTGACATTTAAATCTTTTTTCTGGCAGATTTATAACAGACTCTGGTATTTTATTGTAAAACCTTACGCAATTGCCATAAAACGAATTACTAACTTTAGCCAAACGACATTTAGGTAAAATCAGTTTGTTATTGTTACGTAAGCTTTTATTAGTGCAATCACTAACTCTTTTGAAACTGTCTATATTCTTCCTGGCATACATGATGTTTTCATAAATATATTGAGAAGCAACGGTGAGGATATTTGATTCCTTAAAGCACTCTCGCAAAGACTCCCTGGAACCCATGCTATAAATGGAGCGAATGGCCCTCTTTTGTAAAATAAATATTGTATTTATATCAGCTGCTTTGCCCCATAACAAAATACCATACGACATAATGCTATGGAAATAACTAAAGTACACAAGTTTAGCTGTTGCCACGTCTGTTAATTGTCTAATTCTTCTTACCGCATAAGCGGCAGAACTAAGTCGACTCGCTAATTTAGTAATATGGGCACCCCATTGCAACTTGGAATCTAATGTGATACCTAGAAATACAGTATCATCCACAAAATTAATAGGTTTATTGTCCAACATGATTTTTGAATCTACCGGTCTTACATTGGGGAGAGTAAATTTGATACATTTAGTTTTATTTGCATTTAGTAACATATTATTAGCCGTAAACCATTTTAAAACATAAGAAAGAGCACCGTTTACTTCGTCCAAATCATCAATATGTCGATTGACTTTGAATACTAATGAAGTATCATCAGCAAACAGAACTATGTCAGCTATCTTTTCTACCATATAAGGAAGATCATTTATGTAAACTAAAAATAAGAAAGGACCTAAAATAGAGCCCTGAGGAACACCCATTTTAATACTAGTTCCTTCAGACTTTACACCATTTATTTCGACAACTTGCATTCTATTATTTAGATAGGATTTCATCATGCTTTGTGCTTCATATCTAATACCGTAATGTTCAAGTTTGAGCAAAAGTGTTTCATGTTCAACGCAATCAAATGCTTTTGAAAGATCGCAAAATACACCGACTGCATCCTGAGACCTCTCCCAAGAATCAAATATATATTTAATGAGAGCTACACCGGCATCAGTAGTTGATTTACCGGCCGTGAAACCAAATTGTCGACTGTGAAGCAGTTTATTTACTTTAAAGTGTTGTAGCATTTGATTGAGCATAATTTTTTCAAACACTTTACTCAATACTGGTAAGATAGATATAGGCCTATAATTACCTACCACAGTTTTTTCTCCTGACTTAAAGAGTGGAGTTATTTTGCTATGTTTCATTAAATTGGGAAAAACACCGTCAGAAATACATTTATTGAAAATAATTACTAAATATGGAGCAATAACATCTATAGCGGTGTTAATAACTTTAACAGACATGCCCCAATGGTCTTCAGTATTTTTTAAATTTAATTGTTTAAATGTTTTAGTAATTGTAGCAATGTCAATAAATGTAAATTTAAATGTAACCGGACAAGAAACAACATTATCAATAAGGAATGATTTAGCTGTACCAGGAGAAGAGTCCAAAGAGGAAGTAATATCAGTTGGAATATTAGCGAAAAAATTTTCAAAAATATTGACAATTTCTTTTGTGGACGTTACTAGTTTATCATTATAATTTAGCGTAAAATCGTTATATGGACTTTTAACTTTGCCAGTTTCTTTGTTAATAATATTCCACACTGTCCTTATCTTATCCTTGGACTCTTTAATTTTTTTATTTAGATAATTAGACTTTGCTACATTACATACCTTTTTAAAAGTTTTTGAGTATCTTTTTACATAATTTACGAATGTACTATCGAAACGGTATTTTTTTTGAGCATATAAATCAAATAATATATTTCTACTTTTAAGAATTCCCTTTGTAGCCCATTCTGAAAATTTTGTTTTGTTAATAATACTGATAGTTTTTTTGTTAAAAGCCTTATTATATTCGTTAGAAACAATATTGAAGAAATCTGTATAAAGTTTGTTAGGTTCATTAGATGGAAGATAAAAATCTAATTTACTACGAACTGATATTTTAAATTTATTTATCTTATAAGTAGTCAAGTCTCTTTTTAATAAATTAATTTTCCCAATTTTGTTTAAGTGATTTGGAAAAATAACTATTTGACCACAGTGATCAGAAGGAAGGTTGTTTATTATTATTTTATCTAAATACTCACTGTTGCTAAATATGTTATCCAAGCAAGTAGCAGACGTGGCAGTGATACGAGTGGGTTCGTGGAAGACATTACTCAAGTCAAAGGATTGAAATAAACTCATTAATTTAGTTTTTGTGGTATTATGTGATAAAATGTCAACATTGAAATCACCACACACTATAATTTTTTTGTTAATATTAAATACTCTTTTTAAAATATCCTCCATTACCTCTTCAAATAAATTATAATCACTATTTGGAGGTCTATAAACACATATAACTATATAATTGTCTAGTTCCACACAGGAAATTTCAATACAACATTCAACAGAAAGATTGCCAATATCACTACGTTCTTTTACTTTTATATTATTTTTCACCAATATCATAGAACCTCCTCTATTTACTATTTTTCTATTAAAGCAGCTGACAATATTATAATTGTTTAAGCTGAACATCATATTGCTCACTTTGAGCCAATGTTCAGTTAAACATAGAACATCTATATTATTTTTTTCTAAAAACAATTGAATAATTAATTCACAGCCGAGAAAACTTTGTATGTTCTGGTGAACAATTTTCAATTCTGATAGCTTTCCCTTTGTCTTTTTCAGCAGTTTAAATCTGCAGTCATATTTAAATTTTTGTAAATAAAAGGATTCTTACTAGAATCAATATTTATGTCAATATTTTCAGTATGTTTAGTATTAACATTAGTACAAGTACTACTAATTGGATTAATGCAACCCATTATATTACTTATAATGGGGTCATTTATATTATAAGCTAGTAAACTAGCTATATTTCTTATTTGTTTTTTAGGCAGATAAAATCTATCTCCAGTCATACAAAAGTTTGTAACAAATTTGTTACTATCAAAAAATAAAAAGTCATTATGACGACATGTCATATTATAAATTAAATTATTAATATAATATATGAACTTATTTTGTTCAATGGTCAGAGAACGACAGTAAGGAAATGCACATAATATTATTTTACCTATGCCCAGCTCAGCAATATTAAGCAAAGAGTTTACAAGTTTAATTACATGACTTTTTTTTACATATAAACAGTTGCCTAAAGCAATGACTAATGTGGTTAACTTATCATACCTACCATTAACCACCTTATTTAAAATATTAGGCAATGAAGCACCAGGAAGACAATTATTTATGACATGTTGATATAGACTTTCTGATAATGAACGGCCCAGACCCTTACCATATTCATCTGAATAAATAATTGTCCTTCGTACTGGTGCAACATTACAATTATCAGTTTTTAAAGACAAGTTAGAATTGAGTAAACTAGAACAAGGAGTGATTGACTCAGTCAAAACCGATGTGATTGACTTATTGTTATTTCCATTAGGGCTATACTGACAAGATTTAGGAGATTCAGGTGTCTCACAACAACATTTCTCTGTCAATGAGGTAAACCGCTCCATGTTGTAATTTCCCAACTCTATTAATTTATCCAGCGATTTACTATAATTATTAATTTCAAGTTGAGCACACTCATATTTTTTTGTTAAATTAGATAATGAAGATTCTAACTCTTGAATTTTACTCTTTAATTTATTTTGTTCTAAATCCTTATCATGTAAATTTGTTTTACAATTTTGAAGTTCTTGTAACAGGTCTAATTTTTGTCTTCTAATATTTATAGATTTTAAACATTTAGTATGAGTTCTCACTAACTTTTCGTTGAGACTAAGATATCTACAAAACCGACTTTTTACAATCTACATCAGGTAGAACTCATGCTATCTCTCTCCCGGCCTTATCCCATCTTAATTGGGGTCGGCTCTCCTAATCATCCGTCTCCAGAGACTTCGTGTTTAGATCGTCAATGGGTCTAAATTTTCACGCGTCAGGTCTTTTTTGATGGCGGCTATCCATGTAAGTCGAAGTCATTCATGCTTCTTTTGTTTTGGATTGACGTTTAGTATCCTATGGGTCATGTGGCCTTCTGGTCTTCTCATGCCGTGACCATACCAACGTAATCTGGCCTCAGTCAATTTATCCTGGGTAGGTGTTACTATAAATGTTTCTCGTAAGTAATGGTTTGGCACCTTGTCTAGAAACGTAACCCTAGCAGACCATATGAGCATTCGCATTTCGGTCATATGTAGCTTATCTGATTTTTGCTTCTTTAGTGGCTAACACCCTGCCCCATACATCAAAGCCTGTCTGATGGCATTTTTATATACTTTGCATTAACTAGGTAGAACTCATGCTACAATATTACATATCTAAAATCCTGGCGACTACCTGGTTTCTTAAGTCCAATTATAATAACTAATTGGTACCTACTTTAACAGAAATTAATTATAGATATATTTTTTGCTAGTAAACAATACAAACATTTACTCTTCTGAGTATTGTTTTATATTATTTAAATATAGAGCGTATTAAATGTAATGGATTAAGGGACCGTATTAGGTACATAGATTTTGTAATAAAAAGTATAATCAATCACATTTAAAATTAGTATTCTTCTTGCTAAGTACCAGTGTCGTGTATCGACTCTGGTACAATCAAGATTAAATTGTATTTGCTGCTGTATATATATATCACTGAATATCTCCATCAGTTTCAAATATCTCTATAAGTAATTTATATTTCAGTGTGGACCCTAACTTACGCCGGCATGTCTTTTGCACGGGATTGCGGCAAGGTGGCTACGATGACTGGAGTAACTTGAGAAATCGCAGATTGAATTCTAACAATCACGCGGATGCATTCGTTACATTGCGCGCTTTAGGCTGCACCAGCGACGAAAAGGCTGTTGAAGAGTAAGTATTTTTTTTATATAACTACTACACAACTGCTACTACAGCTAACTATTGCATGGCTTACCTCCCATTTTTAAAACAATGACATAAAAAAAATTGAGGTGGCACTCGGCTTTATCTTATTATACGGATTTAAAAACTGTCGATTAAAATCTACTTCATGATATAATATATTCTGTCTCTTGTATATCTCTCTATTTGTAACGTGCGACGAATCGAAGTCGCGACTATCGGGATTAAGACGATATGCTAATTCACTAGACCATCGAGGCCGTCACATTTATGAGCACATTATTGATTACTGCATATATTTTTATAGATTGCCTTGAATGTAGTATAAATGTAGGTTTGCTTTAAAATTTGTGTCGCATATTAAGTCATCACTAACATGCACCAGATAACATTATCAAGGTGGTACAATTATCTGTAATAGTCAAACATAATAGTGCATAACACTTCTATCAAATAATATTAAATATAACCACTCCAATATAATATGTAATGTAAATGATTAAAACACTTTTTGTTATCAGGCACTTGGAAAATATTCTTACCGAAGAAGTGAAGGCACAAGATAGGGTGAACGCATTAAATTTCCTCTACATGGGAGTTCAAACAAATGCCAATATCGTTCTACAATTTTTGAAAACTAGAATGGACGATGTCAGAATCGCGTGAGTAAATTCATTACTATGTTATCTAGTGATAAGAAACACAAGACAGTAACCTTGTGATTCTCTTCTAAATTACGTCGAAGAGGTCATGACTTCATCTGGCCAATACATGAAATAAATAACTTTGTGTATCAATTTATATTTCTGATTAATTCTCCAGTGGTGGAAACATGCATGTCTAATCAAAAATTTATCTGAGAGATGGCGAGAAAAGGCATGGACCCTGCCACTTCAAATATACCTAGCGAACTGTGGGCATGTCAAATATTGCGTTTACCATGACGTCGATAACTGACAATGTTTGGACTGAACGAATAAAACCGTAGGGCGCTGGTTCAAATCCGGCTCGAAGGACCATATACTGTAATTTTATATCATTGAAATAGAAATAGAAATAATCTTTATTCAAATAAACTCATTACAAGCACTTTTGAATAGTCATATTTTGATTCTACCACTCATTCGGAATGCAGATTCATCACAAGAAGAATGAGCAAGAAACTTGTGTGTGCATTTAAACTTATATGGTATAGAGAACAAAATAAATAATATTTGGCGAGAGTCATTCTCGGTACCGAGATGTAAAGTGTGGGACGGAAGATGTAAAGACCGGTTAGGTGCTATTTGCAAGCTGCATACCGCAACATTGCTTGCGGCCTTCAGTCGAGTAAGCTGATGTCCAAACAGTCAATGATATAAAAAACTCACAAATGAGTAACCTGGCAAAGTTAGCGCTATTGTTACTGCTGCTGTACCTATTGGTTTGAAGTTTCCGTAATATTTTTTCCCTAGTCTTACCTTAAGGAATTATGTTTTAATTTCAGAGTTGTGTTACCTGCTTGGTTTGAAAACGTTATCACCAATTTAGTATCGTATCTCAATGAAGAGGGCTTGGAGGATGTAAGTACTCACACTAGACATTGCGCAGATTTACAGTTAAGGGCTATCCCCGTTAAAGGACAATAGGACAAACGAAACTTGCGTAAAAGGAGCAGTATGAAATAACTTAGACTCGGTGCAGAATGCTAATATTTATTTTAGATATGCTTAAAAATACAAAGATTACAACGTATTAGACACAATCTCGCATATACATATATATTCTTTTATTTATTGGTAGGCGATTGGCTGTACCAATGATTAGGTATGTCTTCGATAATATAACCTACAATAATAATTTATTTTATTATTCAATTCAGGCCACATGGCCCATATTACAAATACCTTATAGACTAACAAAATACATAAAATAAAAATAGAAATAATAACTTATAATTTAAAATAATTAGGGCCGAATTTCGACCACTAGAAGACCATTATAAGAGTTTAGACACAGTTTTCAATTATAAATAAAAAAAAATCTAATTTTAAGTTTAAACCCAATTGATCTATTAGAAGTTTCGTTCGGTTTACATTCAAAGGAAGGCTATGTTCATATTACAAAAGTTGGCGTAGGGATTTCAGAAACTTTTTGTCGGTGGATTTTTTTATTTTTATTCAACTGTACTTAATTATGTCCTTATTCCAGATGGAAGAATGGGTTTCAGAAAACCAATCGACATTCCCTGAACATGATATTGCTGTAAGATCTATTAATACGGCTAGAAGTAACATGCAGTGGGGTTCCGAACGGGCAGAATTGATTCTTGCTGCTTTAAGAGGATCAGCATCCACTGCGATGCTGTCCATGACAGTGCTGGCAGTCAGTCTATTGGTTGTGATGATAAGATAATGTAATATAACTAATAAGTAATAATATTTAGTATGTGAAATGAAATATATTGATTGTATTGTAGTATTTTTTACTTGTTCGTATTTATCAAGTGATTATAATTTGTTAGTATAAAAATAAGGTCCCACTTAAGGATTTTGTTTTTTAATTATTGAAGGATTCAAATTTGAATTTAAAATAATGAATTTTTGGAGTCTGTGTTATTGTATTTTCCCCACATATGGAGTATGATAGGTGAATAAATTATTTTATATACAATGATTAGAATTCATTGTATTGAATACTTAATAACAATAAATAAAAAGTTTATTATTATGAAGTAGTAGAATTTATTATTTGACCACCTATTCAATTAATCTATGTTCCTTACATAGATTATTTGAACTATTGTTTTACTTTTTCACATTAGTATTAATTAGTAATATAAGATTGTATGAAATTTGATGGAAAATAAATTCTGAAAATATTCTATAATTTAAACGGTTGTTTTCATTACATAAAACACCACATATACACATTATATACGCGAAAGTGTATCTGTCTCTTTGTTTGTTACCTTATCACCACTAAACTGCAAATATATTTGAAAAAAATTTAAAGGAAGTTACATTGTATGAGGGATCGCCCATTCATGCATAAACGAAATATCTCCTCTGAAAAGTTCACAATCTTTTCTGAGAAGATAAAAACCATCGCTCCTAAGAATTCCTTCAATTCTTGTCCCTGACAGGTCTAGGTAGCTTTGAAAAAGGGTGAGCATAATAGATCTGTAGGTCGCAGTGCTAAAGGTCCAAGCACCTGACAATAGCCCAAACAACTCATTAAAAAAATACGTTGTAGGGCTAGAACTGACAAAACTTTCTCAACAAAGATCAGCATCAGAGATATATAAAATGAGGGACGAGAATTTGACTAGTATCGATGTCTAGAGCCAAAGTAATTTTCAATTTTTATTGTACTTTTCATTCGGTATATACTTTCAGGAAATAAAGCATCTTCAGCAGTTTATAGTTACCTTGATATATTTATTTATATTTAATCAACGGCCAAAAATTGGATTCAAGCTTCTGGCTTTAAAATTGAAAATACTTCCATACAAACTTTCTCTCTCCTTTCAGTTCCTTACAACCCTTTTTTCGCATTAAAGAGAAGCCTATGTAAGTGTTACATATGTATGTGGATGGTTATAAGGGTAGAGGAAGACCGAAAAAGAGATGGATGGACTGTGTGAAAGATGATATGGTGAGAAAGGGAGTAAATAACGGGATGACTGCGAACACAGATGAATGGAAGAGAAAAACATATACGACCACCCCAAATAAATGGGTTAAGGAAGAAGCAGATGATGATGATAATGTCCTTTCTCAGGATCTAGACTATCTGTGTACCAAATTTTATTTAAATGGGTTCAGTAGTTCTGACGTGAAAGCGAGACAGTTTAAGTTAATTTCGCATTTATAATATTAGTAAGGATAAGTTAACAATTTCATAATAATTTGTTAATAATGAAATTAAATACAAATTATTATGAAATTATTACTGATTATATTACTGATTCTTACAGCCAACTGATATTGCAATTCAAAATGAATCATTCATCATTCATCATCTGCTTCTTCCTTATCCCATATATATGTGGTCGGTATAATATGTTTTTCTCTTCCATTCATCCCCGTTAGCAGTCATCTCGTTATTTATTTCCTTTCTAATCATATCATGCAATTCATTTAGCTTTCCAGGAATTAATCGTTCAATGATATTATCACCAATACGAGTTCTTTGTTCTATCATTATCATAATCATTGTCATTTGTTTTGAACTTGTTTGACTGGACAAGTCATTATTATATTTATTTAATCAATATAAATATAAACAATATAGGTTGTGCAATACAATAATTAATAATACCTAAATATATACTGAATCATCATACTAGTGAACGGGTACTGGTTATAAAATAAATCAGTCATAATAAGCAGATCAGTCATGTGCTTATTATGACTGATTTATTTTATTACTCAGCTAATTATATTCTTTTTTTTAATCCTTACTAATATTATAATTGCGAAAGTAACTCTGTCTGTCTGTCTGTTTGGTCTCGCTTTTACGTCAAAACTACTGAACAGATTTAAAAGAAATTTGGTACACAGATACTTTAGACCATAAGAAAGGATATAGGCTACTTTTTAATGTGAAAAAAGGGTTAGAAGGTGTTAAAAAGGGGATGAAAGGTTATAAGGAGGAATCGTAATTTTTGAAGCTGGAGGCTTGACATTTACATTTGAGGCTATTGATTAAATACTAATAAATATAACATTCAAAGTTCGTAAAAATGTTACCCTTAAGGGGGTAAAAAATTTAACCTAAACAGGATTGAAGTTTGTATGGAAAATCATTTATTTTGGGTTAGATTATTGTTTGGTCGAACTCGCTAGAACACGCGGACGAAGTCGCGGGCACAGCTAGTCTTATATAAATCGTGCTATTTAGTATGTATTCACTAAAACTTTAAAAAATGTGAAGTTGAATAGCATTTTTTAAAAGAGCACCAAGGAAGTTCATTTGTCATAATTCACACTGTTGAATCTGCTTTCCGAATTAGGGATAGAATCAAGTTTATTTGAATAATGATTATTTCTATTATGCATGTGTTCATTTTTTACGATAGGTTATTTACAAATTACCAACAAACAAATCTATCTACACACTTAGTTTTTTTTTCTACGTAGGGTACGTAAAACAGTAGATGGTTAAGACAAAACACACTCACTATATCACCCAGACTGCATGTAAGGTGTAGGATTTTCATCGGAGTTGAAGCAATATTATTATTACTCTCAGATGAAACCTTAGTACGACTATTTACCTTAGGTAGACTTTGAACAAAACTGTATATTAGGTCATTACGTCCACCTATTTCAGCCGCAAACCTGTTTTCGTGCCACGTTGTTTGTCCATTATAGAATCCTAAATTGTGAACCGATTTTGATGAAACATATATACTCGGTTGGTTTGACAATAGGTTGTATCTATTTTTACCACCAAGTGATAACTTTGCCCTCGTCAAAAAATTTTCTTCGTTTTTTTTTAATATATTCTTTTAAGATTCGTCATCAAAAATACAATCAATCCTAAATTTTCACCCTTCTGCCATCAAACCCCATATTTTAAATCGCAATATTAAGTTACATGCCAAAACATCTTTTGCCGAGACAGCTATTATTTATACGATCTAGATTTTGCCTATCAATAATTCAACACCTGTGAGTATTGCAGATTATCGTTGAAAACTGTCATTGGATGAGTTGCAAAATCAAAGATTCTGAGATAAATGATTCATTTTTTTGCAATTCAACAAAACTAAGACGTTTTACAAGGTCGTCAACGTGGACACATCCATGACGCCTAATTTTGCTACTAGATTTGTCAGGTCGCTATGTCAGCTACGGACCTCCAGATCCGCAGAAGAACCAGAGTGACAGACATAACCCGAAGAATTGCGAAACTAAAATGGTAATGGGCAGGGCATAGCTCGTAGAATATATGACCGATGGAGCAGTAAAATCCTCGAGTAGCGACCGTGGACCGGAATACGCAGAGTGGGAACGTCTGAAATGATGATGATGATATGTATGCTGTAGTTTTGTTTGAAGAGCCTGATGTAGCTATCCTCAGAAATGGCAATGAATGAGGGGTACTACGGGCGACACAATGTATTTTGTGGCTTTAGTTTTAGTCAGCGGTGATTTTGTAATATGGTGGAAATTTGGCGGGAACAAAAGTATGGAAGGATTTGTTGGAAAACAATTTGAAGTTGGGACGTTGTAAAAGTACAGTAGCATCTATGTATGTTCAAAAACAACAAGAAAAAGAGCTTTTTGGATAAAATAAATAACAAATATGGAACAGGCGGCCTATACAAAAAGGTATCGATGTTTAAATCTACTGTACCTTGGTACATCGATGCCTTTTTAAATCGCTTTATCAAGTAAAGCGATCTAAAAATATTATTATTAACTTTTTACCACGCACAACCACATTGTGGAATCATCTTACACCAATGGTATTTCCGAGTCGATACTATTTCATATTTCGATTATTAATCAATGTATTGAAACTATATTGAATTCTCCAAGAAAACAGCCTTCTTAAAATTGAAAGTAGAAAGATTTGTGAATCCAGTTGTTTAAAAAAAGTGTCCTCTTACGAAAAGAGACTTGTTCACTAGTTGCTCATTAATTAGCAAATATTTATTTTCCACTCCAGAAGCACTGGATATCATCTTGTTATTGCTGCCACTACGGATGCAGTGGATCTGGACGTGGACTTATATACCTGTATATGAATTGATAGACACATATTATAATTTACTAACATTTATAGTTATAGTCGTTTACTAACATAATATAGTTGGAATCCGAAATAAATAATTAAAATAAATTAATTGGTTATTACGATAACATCAAAGTAAGGCTAGATATAGATAGTCTTACCAGTAAATAGATTGAAAATAATCTCCTGCTGCCTACGGTTTTTCTATTTGTATCGGATGAAACCGTTCGTTTCCATGTTAAATCTTAAGATAATACCGATAACAACTTTAAGTACACAAGACTACATTTTACTGAGATCCCTTATCTCCGTTATCACTACTTAAAACTGAAATTCACATACTTTCACAGTTCCAATAGTGTTCACCATTCAGTCGCAATGACTACAGGAGGTGAGTATATTTTAATTAAATTTATTTATAATTTTACATTTATAATTGTAGATTATGAAGTAAATTAAATTATTTTAATATATAGTTCAAAATTCGAATTAATTAAAAATGATTATAATCATAAATAGAGAAAAAGTTACAGATATCGGATCTTAATTTATTTTATTTAATTTTCAATTTATCTGTCGGCACTCTAAATATAGGAATGTTTTTTAATACAATATAATATACATATATCGCTTAATGTAACGTAACTAGCAATTAATAAAGCTAAAAACTTAATAAATTTTAGTAATATTGTAATGATTTATTTAATAATTAAAAACAAATGTGCTTTTATTAATTCTATAAATGAGGGGATTGATAATAATAATGATATATAAATAAACTATTTAAAAATAGATTCGACGTCACTACAAGAACTTCACTTAAATAAAAAAATATATACTATAGTAATATTATATATATTTGCACCAATTTGCAATTCATTTTATTATTCTGTTTAAATAATATATAATAAACCTTACAGCGAATACATAAAATATATTATGCAATAAAAATAAAATCGCATTCTTAACTAAATATCGGAATATACTTACTACTTTTGTTCAGTCAAAGGAATTTTGGTGTGAAGTGATTTGATACATTTGTTCCATTTTCAGCTATGGGCCGTCTAATAATATTATTTTGTATATTTGTGGCTACTGCATTTGGTGATACAAGCTACAGATTGAGCACACCAATAACACCATCTGCGTACAATGTTAGAATATCACCAAATTATGAAGGCGCCAACCCTGGCCCTGTAATCTTCGAAGGAGAAGTGACAATTAATTTCAGAACGGCCACAGATACAAATGTGATTCAGCTTCATTCGTTGGACCTTAATTTCACAAATGCTGATGTAACACTGACGCCGTCTATAACTATCTCTTCAGTGGAATTTAATGAGACATTAGAATTCGCATACATTAATTTGTCAAATAATTTGCAAATTAACACAGATTACGCTTTGACAATCAGATATAGAGGTCCTGTTAGGACTGATCTCAATGGTTTCTATGGAGCTACTTATACGGAGAAAGGCGAGACAAAGTAAGTACCCTTATATTATATATACATAGGTATAGAGCTGCGACTACGTGTGTTTTAATTGAGTTAAAGATAGCTTTTTTTTACTTGGAGAAAATCTTTATAGTGACCCGAAAGCCGCAGGGAAGGCAAGCGCGTACTGTGAGACTTCTACTCACTAAGAACTCCAAGATGTCCTTACGTTATGTATAGGATATACGAGATTTTTGGCCATTGGTACAAGGACATTTTATCTCTCGTACAAGAATGTATGATATAATATAAGTTTGTGACCTACGAAATTTGGGTAAAATATGATCAAGCTTGTGGTTAGAAACCGAAATTTAATCAGATTTTCCGGTGCTAAATGTTTTAAGGCCTTGATCTAAGTGTTTCTTTCATTATGATCCGTTAAACCGTTTCGAAAGTTAAAACAGGTAATAAACACATATATATACATATTTTGGCATTTATATTATTGGCATGTGATAGTAGAATATAGTGTGATGTAATTTCATATTTAATTTATATAGCTAAATTATTTTTATGCACTCATAAAGGTTTGGAGTTGCAATCTACTTTATTACTTAGTAAACTTTCTCATTGAACATTTTTGGTTTGACTTTTCGGCGACTTAAAAATAATAAATGTTAATCCGAGATATACCGGTAGAATTGCCCCCAACCATGTTGGATTCAACTAAAATACTATAACTCCAATAAAGACTAACACCATCTCGAATAGTCTTGAAGGTATATATGTATTATTATGAAAGAGTTCATAATGTTTAAACTGCTATCAGGGAATACGTTAAATCTGTTATAAGTAGTACGATTGTAATCTACGTGCCTACACGTTTGAACATTATGCCAAATTTTTAGGAAATTATTTTATTTTGATCTTTTGCCTGTTATTCATAGGTTTTTTTCTTTTCTTTATATTATGTACTATTTGATCAATAGCATAAAACAAAACACTGCATTATATAAAATGAATATGACGTTTTTCCTATTTATAAATATCTCAAAGGTTAGTATCACCTACGTACTTTCTTCTTTTAGAATTGCCTCTTTACTATTTCTATAGAGCCATATGGATGAAACAATCGATATAAATCACTATTATATATTAAAACTTAATAGGCATTTCTCCTAAGTATAAACGTTAATTTAATAATAAAAGTTTATTAATACTTAATATTAAAGCGACTATCAAAAGTTCTTAATTTATTTCAATTAATTTTCTTAATTACATATTAACATAACGGTTTGTATAGTGAGTAATAGGACTTTATTCAAGAATGTCCTTGTATGTGTATAAAGGTGTTAATCGGTATAATTTAATTTCTCGACTTCGTCAGTTAGTTCGCCTTCAGTCGCTCTATAAGTCCTTCCGCGGGTTTCCTCTGCACTTACTCATTTTCATTCGGTGAAGCTGTGAAGGCCAGCTGCCGCCACTATTAAAGTAAAAGTAAAATCCTATTAAAATATATCGAAAAAATCCAAGGTATTGGATTGGAATCAGTTCCTTTATAGATTAGGTACAGAACGAAAATAAAAGGCACCAAGCCGGTCTGAAGAATGGCTAAAATTACTAAGGTAAACTATAAATGAAGTCTTCCAAGTGAGTATTTCATTCACCAATTTAAGCATCTTAGCAACTTGATTTGCAGTTGTTTTTCATTTGAATCAAAATTCAAATTTCATTCGGTGTGATAAGGCAGCGAGGCACATAACGAAGCCATGAAAACATACTCAGATTAGAAAAAGAAGCTATCATGAACGGTGGCACGAACATATAAATGCCGATCACCACTTACTAACAATTGAACGGCCAGCTGTGTATATTCACTTACGTAAAAAAAGATAACTGTCGAAAGGAAATGACTTTTGTATTCTATATACTCATAAATATACCGTTATTACAGTATTCTGTACGCTAGATACAAAATATATCTACGTAACGCTGTTTATGTAATATAATCTGTTATATCTAACTATTGATGGATAGATACAGAACATCACAATGACATTCTGAAGAAGCACTCAGACGAAAATACTTGATAGTGATTGTGAAACTAGAGCTGTCGTTTGCTGTATTGTTATCAATTACACTGAATAAGTTTTAGTTATTACATGATATTTTAAGCACATTGTCTTCACATGTCACGTTGTACTTATAAGTAATAGTGGTTGTAAATTATGAAATCCATAACGTGTGATTTAGATATTAAACGAAGTCATCTAAATCACGCTTATTTTTAAACTTTTGCGTTTAATATACATTATTAATATTGTTAATCAGGTTTTAACAAGAATACATTTATGGCAGATTAAGGTATTTACCTCTACAATTCGACTAGATTGTACTAGCCATGGTCACGAGCTGACTGGAGTACTATATTAATGAATCACACTTCTTATGGAAGTTAGGAAATATGTTCGATCTTTTAAGAGTCTCCACTTACAATGACTCTTCGTTTCTTACAATGACTATTTGTTTCTTTATTTGATAATGTTCAAAATAACTCCATCAGTTTATAACAATTACAAAATTAAGGAAATTTAATTCAAATGCCCTTGATAAAAAAATTGGTGAAATCCCTTCGTTAATTAGAAATTTATTGAGAAGTCATCTAACACTTGAACAGAACAGATAAATAATAGCTAAGAAATGTCTCGGTCATATGCTCTTATAAATAGAAACTACACCAAAGTCGGTCCATCAGAATCGTATTACCATCTCTAATCTTATATTTCTCTAGGATTATTCTCTTTTATGGTAACTAACTGTGTTGTAACTTAATCAATATCATCTCAGTTTTATTGTATTTTACTAGAAATATCACTTTAAATACTATCTTTGATAACTATCTTGATATAGTCAAATATTTTCCATTGCAACTTTTGCGGTAATCCTTGTATTGTGCAAACTAAATCGTATCTACTTATCTCTTGGATTTAAAGAAGCTTGTTTATTTTCCTTGGTGTTATTTTTGGGTTCTAGACTTTTTTAAGAAAAAAATCTTTGCATTTTTTGACGGCCTCGGTGATCGAAAGGTTTAGCATACCGCCTTACTTCTTATGGTCGTGGATTAGATTCCTCGTATGGTAGAAACATTTATATTCATGAGTACAGTTATTTATCTGGGTGTGTTCTATGAATATTATGTATGTATTTACAAAAAATAATTTCTATAAAGAAACATTTTTATTATTTTGAATAATTCTTCGGAATAGATCCTAGTATTTTAGTATTTTAATCATAATAAGTAATAGTCGTATTTGATGGCGATTGAAATATGTAGGTTATTTTGTGTTACGAAAAATGATCCAAGTTGGGTAGTCCTTATTACATAGACTTAGGTATTTGTTAATTACGAATTGTCTTAATTGAGAGCAAAGATACATTAAGATATTAAATAATATTCCACGGGAGATATCAAAAAGATCCGTGCTTACGTTATCTCGTCAAACAAAACATACATAATTCTAAGAAGATATAAATACCACGGTGATATCAGTTATATAATCTTATGTATGATAATTCAGTTTTAAATGAAATTGTTGAGCTAAATTAATATACTTTTTGTAAGACTTCGTTCCACAAAATGTAAAATAATATCAAGGTTTGATATTATTTTACATTTTGTGGAACGAATATTCGTTCTGTGACGAAAATTCTTTTAAGGTAGAAAAATGATTAGGTTTTTATCATATTCCAACATGTTGTAGTTGGAATAGGATATACAAACTCGCTTCTACAATGGAGTAGGGCGAAATAGGTCACCCTAACAATGAGATGGGGCGTGCCCTACACTATCTATAGGTCGTATTAACGCCGCCAGAGCCACGGTAGTTATGCTCAATTTTGTCTTTTCGTAATTTTATTAATTGCAATTATGTGACCCACACGCCACTTCCTGTGTCACGCTGTTTTAAATAAACTGGTAGAGATCTGTTTTAGAGATAAGTCCTTTGCTAAAAACATTTCTAACATATAAAATCTTTTTTTTAAGTGCAATAATGTATAGTATAAATAATGTAATGTATAAAATAATTAATTAATTTTTAAATGGAAAAAATAAACAATAAGTTCTTGAAATATAAGAGTTATGAATTGCGGAGTCAAATATACTTAAGATAAGTTAATACTGATTATTCGTCGTATTACTTCATATAACATAGTTCTATTTCGGTATAAAACAAATAATACGACAACGGTTATAAATGTGAAGAATTTCTTATCTTAATTCTTGAAGATGATATACATATACTAATGTAATCTCAGAATTGCTTTACTGTTAATCCTTTTCCCTATTATTGTTGATTTTTTTTAGAAGACTAAAAGTCTTAACAGTAAAACTACCTACCACTTTCTGTCTTCTTCCATCTACCCAAATGTTGTCTGGAAGAAATTGGTTATGTTCTCTGTATTTTAATCTCTGATGCAATAAAGTGTAAATAAATAAAGATGGAGGTTCATATTTCTCGGACTGTATTTATTATTTTATAGTATTAGTAGTTTTGATATTTTTACTAATTTTCTAGAATATTTTACTTTATACCATTAATACCAAATTCACTACTACTTTCTAATTTCTCTTTTCTTCCCTAAAGTTATCTGCTAAAGATTGTTGGATGGAAAAAAACACCTTTCGGTCATTATTGAACTTCGACCCATTGTTATAATTTATTATTATTATACCACGATTTAAAAAGAACTATACCAGTCATTGCTTTATACCCCGTTCCGTTCCGTTGACTTGGATCCGTTTTGTTGCACCTTAGTTACATACAGAAAGAAACTATTCGAAATACTAAAGTAACCCCTTTTTATTTTTATTTTTATTTTTGTTATTATAATATTTGTACTGTAATATTCTTATTTATTTTTTCTTATTCATTTTCTTTGTAGTTGTATTATTTTGTTTTTATTTTAGTCCACTAGGCTCACTAAATTAAACAAAAATTTTCGGCACTCAATGTCTATTGTAAAAATACGTTTATTTGTATATTTATATGTTTATATAACGACTGTTTGTTGCCAAAATAAAGAGAAAAAAAAATATCTGAGATAGTAAAATGATTCAAGTGATCATGAAGAAGAATGGATAAATAAATATTATCCATTCTTTTTCTTTTTCATCCGATACATATTTGACATAAGATAAAACCGATGTATGTTTGTAAGAATTATTTGGTAATGAATTTAACGCCTTTAGCACTTATTCCGGGTAACTAACGTGTGAGGCCTCTAAACCATGATATTTCATTAATCATTTTTCAATTAAAACTCGGTTTAAAAACAAGCCACCTCGCAACTGAAATTGGTGAAACAGTCTGGCTGTACCTACTCATACAGGTGACTTTGTAAAAAGTCTAGTACGGGAATAAAAGTAATAGACATAAGATGGGAAGAGAAATAAGGGCTTAAGGTTTTTTAAGGGTCGGTAAACAGCACGTGACCCCGCTCGTTTTTTAGCCATCCTAGGCTACGGTAACCGTTTATCATCCGATATGTTGGTAATATTGTTGGCTACCACCGTAGTAAAAAAATAAATAAGAATACTACAATAAGTAAATCATGATTTAAACAATGTTTCACTAATTACACATTTTTTTTAATTTCAGATGGGTGGGCGCAACTCAATTCGAATCAACACATGCAAGGAGAGCATTCCCATGCTTCGACGAACCACAACTAAAAGCTACCTTTACAGTTTCGATAGACAGACCAACGAAATATAATTCTTTATCGAATATGAAAAGACAAAATACAACAGACCTGTAAGAACGAATAATATTTTATTTCTTTATAGGCAGACAAACAACACGCAACATAATTAGAAATTAATTAATTCATTGCGTAAGAAAAAAGCGCATCACAAATATTTGGAAATTGTTGAATACAAATTCACACAACATTATCTATAGTTCCAAACAAAAGCAGCTTGTGCAATGGGTACTAAACAACTGATAGAAATACTTTAAACATATATAGAAAACACTCAGAACACTACAAACAATCATACTCATGAATGCAAATATTTGCGGGGAATCGAACCCGTGACCACAGAGTAAAAAATGATCCAAAATACTGACGCCTGCTTCATTGTACTCATATACCTATCTACTATCCCGGAAATTTAACTTGCGAAAGTATATAATAATATTATTTCTTTCAGGGGAAACGGGTATGAAAGAGATTTATATTACCCATCACCAATCATGTCAACATATTTGGTTGCATTTGTAATATCTGACTTTGTTCTCGCAAAACAATCTCCTGACCAGAGTAAACCTGTCGGCATTTACACAAGACCCGAAGCAATTAATCAGACTGAATTCACCTTCGATTTTGCCGTGAAATCTGTTGACAAACTCGGCGAGTATCTAAACGTTAATTATTTCTTAACAAATGAACAATTGAAGTTGGATCATGTAGGTTTACCGGATTTCAGAGCTGGTGCTATGGAAAACTGGGGTTTAGTGACATACAGGTAATTTATTTATTCATTGCTCTATATTGTACTTTAAAAAAAATACAAAAACACTTAGATTTATAGTATGTGGTACAAAAGGCTTTGGGTAAAGGAGAAAAGATCGAAGGTGGTGGATAGCGCATGATGGAATATAGAACATAATGATTGTAATATTTTACTAACTATAAATACCCAAATTAAAAAAAAAGTCATCGTATTAATTTAAAAATGTAGTCCATAAATACTAACAGAGAATCTCTATTCGTATACGAGCCTGAGGAGTTGTCATTACAAATATAGAGTGGCACAGATTATATAACTCATGAAACCGAACATCAAGTGGTATACCTAAAATAAAAAAACATATTATTTAAAAATGTACTCTATATAATACTTACAGAGAATCTCTATTCCTATACGAGTCTGAGGAGTCGTTATTAGGAATATATGGTGGTACAGATTATATAGCTCATGAAACCACTTATCAATATGTATACCTAAAATAAAAAAAATCAATTGTATTAAAAAATGTACTCTATAAATATTTACAGAGAATCTCTATTCTTATACGAGCCTGAGGAGTCGTTAGCTTATTACAAATATAGAGTGGCACAGATTATAGCACACGAAACAGCTCACATGTGGTTCGGGAACCTGGTCACGTGTCATTGGTGGAGTGATGCCTGGCTGAATGAAGGGTTTGCCAATTACTTCCAAGATTATATTACATATTTGGTGAGTGCTTTTTTTATCTAAATGAACACGCAATTCTCAATTTTTATAATTGAAATAGCAAATAACGACCCACCTGATGATAACCGGTAACCGTCACTTATATACATGAATGGTATACATAATCTTATAATGTGACACTATCTTTGAAATATATTATTTCTTAAATAGTGTTGATCTGTAAAGTATTTAAATTTGTTACAAACAATTCATTCTCAAGAACTTTACCAAAATTATATTAATAATACAACTCATTTGAAAATATAAAACAATATTTTACGTTTTCTATTACAAATGAAAAACAATTTTAAATCTACTTTTTATTAGAAATTCTCTTACGCCTAGAAACTTCCCAAATAAATGACATATTTTTTTCTGTTCTTCTGGCTCCGGGATGACATACATTATTCTGACTTTTGAATCAACAGCGAATGTGCGGCAAATTCAAATAACGAATGTCAACAATCTTTTTTATATATTATTTTACTCTGATAAACTCTTACTGCCCTATGGAAGTTTGTATTCACACAAAGTTTTAAAAAGGTAAAGTGAACGATGTTTTAAAAGTGCAACTGGCAAGTTACTTGCTCATTCTTCTTGAGATAAGTCTGCGTTCAGAATGAGTGGTAGAATAAATATTTTTGTGATGAGTCTGCGTTCGGAAAGAGTGGCAGAATCAGAAAAATATGACCATTCAAAGGTGATTCTATTAAGATTATTTCTATAAATTTTATTGATTAAATTGCAGATCGAGCCGGAATTAAGATCCGACAATGTACTTGTGACGGGGTCTGTCTACAGTGCCTACAATGCAGATGACTTCCCTACCTCGACTCCAATCTCCAACGACAACGTTAACACGCCATCGGAGATCAGCGGCAACTTTGGCACAATCACCTATCAGAAAGGCGGATCAGTTATCCGGATGATACACCATTTGATTGGCGATGAAGCATTTAAAACCGGTCTCAACGTTTATTTAACTACGTCGTGAGTATTTACAATAAATAATCTATTTGCGCACCGCCTTACATCCAATGGTCATGGGTTTGATTCTCGCACTACATGAATAATTTTATTGACATGGATGTTTTTTAAATTAAGCATTTTATGTATACAAAGTATAATATTACAAACAAAATATTTGTAAGTATTTGTAGTAGTTGTTTAAAGCACATAGCAAATAATTAACCAAAGCTCTGCTTAGTTTGGGACTTGGTGGCACTGTGTAAATCGTCCTGTGTTATTACTTATTAAAAAAAAGTTTGTAATAATTTTATTGCGAGTATCTTATTAATATTACAAACACTAAAGTTTATGAGTATGGATGGATGTGAAACCTCGGGCACAGCTATTATTATATATAAATATATATTAATATAAGTATTACTAATATTTCTGATAAATTATATATTTTTAAAAATTCCAACCCTCTTTTTTCAGACAGTTAAGCTCTGGTCGTCCTGATCAATTATACTCAGGATTGGACGCTGGAGTTCAAAGATACAATGCCTTATCTGCATATCCTGGTTTCAACATAAAAGACATCATGAGCTCGTGGATAACTCAGCCTGGCCATCCTGTTTTAAATGTAGAAGTGGATTATGTAAATAAAACCATTTCTTTAACCCAGGTAATTTTTTTTATATTTGGAATGGAAAATTACGTAATGGCCCATTAAAATTATTATAGTAAGCAGAAGCATCACCTATAGAGCTACATAAACAGCGCTACAGACATCACGTTATCATGTGATATGTTGATATGTGATATGTCAGTTATGCGTTTCCTGTGATATGGTACTTTTATCCTAGCCTTATTGTCCACTGTATATTTAAAAGAAAACTTTATTTATCAATAATAAAATAAATTATTTAATACATCACTTATTCAAATTGAATAATCATAGAAAACTGTACTTGCAAATTTTATACAATTTATTCATTATCATTCATAAGTTACTAGCAATCTATCCCAGCTTCGCACGGATGTACCTATTATAAATCTTCGAATTTGTCGGCGTTTTCTATTCTATAACAGCCATATATTCGTATAAACCTTCGTCTTGAATAACTCTATCTATTGCAGAAAACTGCAATAAAATCCGTTGCGTAGTTTAAAAAATATAACTGAACAGATAGCGGCAGCGAATTTGTTTTATACTGTGTAAAAATTGTAATATATTTTTTATATTTACACATTATTTTAAAGTTAAGTAACAAAATGTCTATTTATACCTATTTTTTTACTATTATATGACTTTATTTACGTATTAATTCAAATTAACAAGAATGTCTATTTATTTATTTATTTATTTTATTCTTTATTGCACTTTTAAAAATTGTACAATTTGGCGAGCTTAATGCCATATGGCATTCTCTACCAGCTAACCATTAGGTAAGGAACAGAAAGCGGTTCATGGGCAGCGGTGGGAAAGGACTAACCTATAATTTTACCTAACATAGGTAAATAGGTTTTCTTAAAAATAATTACAAATATACATACATAAATATAAATATATACCTACTGTAATACATAATAATGATACACCAATAAAATTTTATACACCAATAAAATTAAATAAAAGAGAAATTTACATATATATATTATGACAACAATAGATAATTAAGAACTGTTTTGTTCATTCAAGAAATAATCAAAAATTTTCCGTTTGAAAACAGGCTTACTCTATGCTTTGCGCAGAGCTTTATTTATTATTACCTACCAATTATTTTCTTATAGAAATTTACTTATTCTTATATTTTGAAGAATAAAATATACATTGACAAGAAAAGAAAATAAGTTTATTTGATACACATAACAGTAACAAAAATAATTTTCACTTACATAATCCATTATTTTGGTACCAAATAGGATCAGCATATGTCGTGATAGGGTGCCACGACGCTGGTATTCTGCGGATACCTTCATTCATATAAGTATAATAATAATAATAATGTATATATAATAACATTTGCCTTTACAGAGACGCTTCTATTCAAATTCAAGTTATGAATCAAACGAGATATACCAAATACCTATAACTTACACTACCAAAGACTCGATCGACTTCGAAAATACTAAACCTGTCTTCATATTGAATGGTAGCAGTACTGAAATAGAATTAAACATAACAGAACAGTCATGGGTCTTGTTCAATATTCAAGAATCAGGTAATTGCGTGTTTGTTTTAAATTACCTAAGTTGCCAAGCCAAAATTTTATCTAGCTAAGTTTACTGGAGGTTCTTTTATTTATTTTCATTCATTCTTAACAGTAAGTATTATGTCCAATTGTATTATGTTAATAAATAGTCTAAAATTTAAACAATTTCCAATCTAAATATATATAACTCAAAGGTGACTGACATAGTGATCTATCTACGCACAGCCCAATCCACTGGACGGATCGGGGTGAAATTTGGCATGCAGGTAGATGCTAAGACGTAGGCATCCGCTAAGAAAAGATTTTGATTAATTATACCCCAAAGGGAAAAAATAAAGTTAAATTCTACGCGGACGAAGTCGTGGCAACAGCTAGTTATTGATAAACATAATAATAATGAGTAATAGAATGTTGTATTACTAAAAAACTTCTGACTTCCTCAATAATATCTTCATACAGCGCAACATCTCCCACACTTAGCCAACTAAGGCCTGTTGATGAGTATTACCTCCTTTTAAACCAGATAAAAGAAATAATGAAGAATAAAAAACATAACACTAATAATAATTTCATATTCAGTATATTTCTTATTGTTTGTAATATTAAATTGTTATTCATTGAAATTAGGGTCTATTATTGTTACTCATTCAATCTTCTTGACTGAATTTGAAAGTGTAATATATTTTTTTTATTTCACGAGATATTTAATATCATATCAATTTCAATATAGTAGATGTATCCAAATTTTTCGAGATATTGACTTATCGGTTTTCTATTCCGAATTTCGCCCAAGGGGTTGTGAGTTCAAATTATTTTTGTATCAATTCAATTTGACTGATTCACTAATGAAGAAAAGACTGGTATCAAACTAAAATTTTCCTCTCGCACCTGTCACAGTGCATTCTAAATATACCGAGTGCAATGTAGTTCATTCAAGTGCTGTGTACCACAACATCGACAACTGTCTCCTCTGCCTCTGACTACCCTGATGTCTATAAGTAGAAAATTTAGGCCGAATCTGTGGATTAAATCTAGCAGGCCGCATTCAGAGCTCACGAGGTCAGCTAGTTATATTATAAATACTTAATTATTCTTTTCTGTCCAAACAAATATCAAGTAAATATTTTTAAATGATCTTTTTACAGGTTTATACCGGGTTAATTACGATAACGAATCTTGGAAGAGAATATCAAATGCATTGAAAGGCGAAGATAGAAATAAGATTCACAATCTTAACAGAGCTAAGGTATATATGAGAAATTAATAAGAAAAGCAAAAAAAGAACTTTTTAATGTACTAATATTAACTTTAAAAGTTTTAAGTAGACTCCGAAAAAAAAAACTGCAATAAATTGAAACAAAGAGTATGATAAATGAGGCAATAATGATAAATCATTCTCGATTGCAGATCATCAACGATATCTTCGCTTTGTATATTGCTGATCAAGTACAATTTTCTCAATTGCATTACATCATACAATATCTCACATTAGAGACCGATTACTCGGTGTGGCAGGCTGCAATCAGTGGATTAAGAAAATTAAGGAGCCGTTACTTAGAATCGGATATAATTGATGAGCTTGATGTAAGTACATTTTGTTTAATTTCGCATTACGTTTTATAATATACCTATATTTTATTTAATTATTGCATTTTAATTAAATAATTAAATAAAATATATATTATTAATCGTTCATTCATTAGCTGTGGTATATATGTATATAGTTTTAAATACAATTGTATGTTTTTTAATAATGTAAGAATGTTATATTAGTAAAAAACACTATTATTAATATTATTATATAAATTTTGTGATAATAAACAAATAAAAAAATCAAATACATATAAGTTGAGCATTAACGTACTTCGGTAAAGGGCCCCTTAAATCTGTACCCGGGCCACAAGTCCCGGGAACTGCTCGGAATTTCCCTTTCTCTCACACGATGGACCTGGCACCCGCACGGTGAATCCATGGAAAACAACTACGTTTGTTTTACACAATTGTCATATTATCGTAATATATATAATGCTTCTACCTGTGTTTGGAAGATCTTTAATGAAAGCATGTATATATTTCAATAAGTTCCTGGACATGGTTTAGAATACCACTGGAATTAGTATACCACTAGGTGGTGTACTTTTCTGAGCAGGATCACTTTTGGGTACTAGATAATTTATGGAAATTTATTGTATGGTTATTTTACACGCAAAAGCTATTGACTAGATTTGAATGAAATTAGCTAAACAGATACATGATGTATCTGTTTAGCTAATATCATTCTAGATTACCATAAAAGTTACCTATAATACTTTGAGCTGAATGTTTTACTCTAGCGCCTGATGAAATAATATAGCAATTTCATAGTCATATGCATTATTGTCTGATAAGGAGTTCTGGAATCTATCTAATCTACATTGATTTAACAAAAGGATAAGTTTCATGTTTTGTTTTGTAATAGATTAACAGATGAAGTAAAAAAATAATTAACTCATTATAAAAAACTTTCACCTATATAAAACCAATTTTTAAGAAGTCATATTGGTTGTATTTCACTTTTAAAATTCGACATAGGTATCTGCAGTAATGGCACGCGTGCTACAATAGTGCGCGTCGCGTGTAATGTAAATTGGACAACGGCCCAGATCAGAGGATAAATGTGGAGACGCATTTATCCTCTGATCTCGGCCGTTGTCCGTGTAGAGTCTACTAAGCAGCCAGCCAAGCTCCTTCCAAAAGCGCAAGCCTTCTAGTGTATTCACGGCTTCACGAAGCAACCTCACCGTTCTGACGATTTGTGTACGTTGTGTGGCTACCGCTATGCACGTGCTATGCACGAGCTGTCTGTAGCACATATTGCTTATGAGTGTTTCAAAGGGATATTGTCACGTTATTGGTGGAGTCGCTTATACATATATAACACCTGTACTTATATAAGAATGTTTGTCTAGAAAACTTCACTCAATTTAGTCCGCAACGTTATTAACGAATTCGGATACCATCCAAGACCGACAGATGACTATGAATCACTCAGGAACCGTTTGGAATTATTGGAGTTTGCTTGCGACTTGGGTGATACTGAATGCATACAACACACCGTGGAACTGTTTAGAGCTCTGAGAGAGAAGAATGAAGAGTGAGTTTCTCCTTTTTTTTTAATTTTCATAAAATTTTACGACAATTTACACATCGCAAACTAATTCCATGCTAAGCAGAGAGTACTAGATAACTGATTTAAATACATAGATATAACACAGAGAAAACACCCAGACCGCTACTAAGAATCATACTCATGAATACAAATGTTTGTGCTGTGCGGGGAATCGAACCCGCGATCATATATATATATATATATAAATTATAGATGTAATTACTATATAATAATGTTTCAGGGTTCCAGCAAGTATAAGATCAGTGGTGTACTGCAATGGACTTCGCAATGGTGATGGCGAAGATTACGACTTCCTTTGGAATCGTATGCTTACCACAAACTTGGGAAATGAGGAACGGACCATCTTAGAAATTCTTGGGTGTACTTCAGATAAAGAAAAATTAAAAAGGTTGGTTATAACAGCTCATATATATCGTTAATAAACATTTACCATTCTATTCTAGCTTCTCCTCTACTCAAAGGTTGTCTGGAAAAGATTACATAAGCGATATGGTCACCTTTTGTACCCTATTACTCTTTTAATTTTGATTCATCTAATTTATCCCAGCAATAAAGACTATATAAATAAAATATAAAATATTTCTAAACATGATAGAATAATTACAGTCGGCCAAGTATTTTCTGAATTTATTAATTAAAAACAGAAAAAAAAATCTATGAATTGCTAAAAAAATTAAAGATTAGCCCGATAACAATAGCTATATATTTATTTTAATTTCTTTTTGCCATGTGTTGTCTCTTTTCTAAAAATAAATTTAAGTGTTTACTTAATAGTTACATTAAATCTGGAATATTGCAGCTACCTCTTATCAGTGCTCGAAGCAGATAGTAAAATCAAAGTACAAGATCTCACAACGCCTTTATCAAGTGTACTCAAGACACCAAGTAATGTGGAGGTTGTTTTGGAAAATTTCAGTTGTTCACAGTGGAGGCCAGGGTAAGTAATTTATTTATGCCTATTTATCTTTTTCTTTCTTTTATATCTATCTTTCTTAGCATAACAATGTAATGATCTACGCTAATATGTGATGAAATACTAATGTTACGGATCAGTGGACTGCATTAGTGTCTAAATAAATAAATAACCCTGGACGATTAACACATCGCCATCCAGTCCCACAAAAATAAACACAACAATAGAGAAAAAAAATATTTTTCCAATAATTTCATCTTTACATAGTAAATATATAAAGATGTCGCTTCCGCTATCTGTTCTCTTAAATCTTTTAAACTACACAACGCATTTTAATGCAGTTTTTAGTTATAGATAGAGTGATTCAAGACGAAGGATTATATGTATAATATATGTGCATCCATGCGAATCCAGGGCGAGTAGATTATATTTCAGTCTAGAATTCTAAATATTAGTCTTAATTTAGCAAATGAAAGTAAAAAGTAGCAGAAAGGTTCAATATAAACTTGATGCGTTATTTTATTCCAACATCCTATTCTCTAGTTATACTTTTTATTCCAGTTATACTACGTTGGAGTCTGTGGTTGCCACAATTGCAAACTCTTTGCGCACTGAGAGCCAATTTACCCAGGTATGTTTATAAATTGAATTTTAATATAATTAGTATGTATGGGACCATTGCGGAATAATACCAGAGTACTTTACATAAAGCTATCTACGTAGGTACCTTTGTCTCACCCAATACTGCCGCTAAACAGCTTGCAAATCTGTGTTCTAGTATAAAACATGAGAAATAGTAGTTAAATTAATAGTAAGCCGGTGAAATTGGTTATGATATCGCTTAGCATGCAATAATATGATCACAAATTAATTTCTTTCAATTAAAATCCGAGGAAGTGTTACCAATGTTTCTGACTATGCTATTGTAAGTCAATCTGCCGTTGTGAATATATATAGAGTCATTGTGAATTGTCAACTGTATGTCCAATGCAACACTTGACATGATGGCATTTAGTTGAGTATACTCGAAACCAACATGGTTGGTGATAAATTTACCGCTATTTTTATATTTGAAGTTTATTATCGGAAACTCTTTCGCCGGAAAATCAATCAGGAAATAAAATTGACACACAAAACTTTTTTGTGTCGTACAAATTTGAATTCACGATCTTTTGGAGGAGTGAACTAGTAAACCGGGACTCTGTTTACTTTTCCTTCCATTTCCAATTATATGTAAGTATATGGAATGGAGCCTGTAGTAGGAGTTAACCTATTAACCTATTTAATTTTGATCTAATCCTTTATAAACGGATGGTCATTAACGGCCTATTGAAGCATCACAAACAAAGCTTGTGGTACTTGTAATGAATGTTTACACGGTTTCGTCGAATGTTTGAATGGTCATTGGGGTTAGTTTGGCCTCGCAATTAGTGGTACAGCGTAAGAAATATTGCATTACTAGCTTATACCCGTGTCTGCGTGTGTAGTATCGGAATAACTTTATTTATCGTGACAATATTAGCAATTTTTTTTTGTTCGGGTTATTGTCACTTGCTTGGACCTGTAGCACTGTGACTTACATAGATCTATTGTACTCGCCCTTTTTCAGAGTTCGCTACCTAGACCCATCTGGGATAAGAATTGAAATACATATATATATTGTAGTACTATAATAGCAAACAAGCATACGGCCCATCTGATAGTAAATGATTACCGTAGCCTATGGACGCCTGAAATACCCGAGGTGTCACGTGTGCATTGCCGACCCTTAAGAAACCTAAACCATATTTATTGAGCAAAGTCATTTACTTATTATTATATATTATATTATTATTACTCACTGAACGATTACTTAAATGACAAACGTGCTGCCAATAGTTGTTCATGATAGACATAAACACTTACATAAGTACCTATACATTGTAAATAAACTGTAATAAACTTTAAAAGAGAATAAATTTAGTCGGGTTTCTTGCCAGTTCTTTCAATTGAATCTATATACTGAAATGGACGGTAGGAAAATATGAATATTGAAAACTTGATGTTAAGAAGCGGCCAAAATATCCAATATAAATAAATTATTTCTGATATTGATTTTATGTAAATTTTGCTTCTGCTTACCCCAGCTGGGATAATAGTAGCTGAAGTAAATTAATGTTTAATTTCTATTGTATTTTTCAGTTTGAAGAGCGACTACAATCAACGAACTGTTTACAAAGCGAAATAGACAGCGCAAGGAAAGCAGTAGATGGTGTAAGAGGAAATTTACAGTGGGCCGCAGAGCACAAGGAAGAAATATTGACGGAAATAAGAAACAACGCAATATCTACATTGCCATCTTGTATTCTGCTCATTGCCATTTCGGCTATGGCAATTTTTAAGTCATCATAAACTCTTCACAATTGCCAACGATTTCATAAAAAAATTCAAAATACCTGACATGAAATACTGGTGTGATCGCTTTGTCGACTACAAAACGTCTCAACAGATGTTCATAAATTAACTAAAAAACTTTTAACCAATTAAAACTAAATATTATTAACCAATTTCGATCTCGTCAGCTTTTAAACAAGTTGCAGAAAAATCAGTGTATTGTTTTCGAAGATAATTTAATAGTAATAATGTGACAGACAGATTTATAGACACACATATTGATAACACTCTTTTTTGGCGGTGATAAACAATGCGTACGTTTTTTTTCTGTTCCAAATAACGAACCTTTTTATTACAGTTCTATTACTTCATACATTTTTTTTTTAATCTGCCATGATGTTGTTATATAAATAAATAGGATATATGAATAGAAGTCTCCCGCTAAGCCACTTTATGATTATTAAAATTATATTTAACATATAATCCATTTTAATCTACTTCAATTTATGTATTATATATAATATATATCTGTGTAAAATATACCTATATGTTTATAACAGTCAAATATATATCAATAAATAAGTATGGTCGTAAAGTATAAAAACTAAATAATATTTATTTACACTGCCAGCTACTTCATATATTTATTGCTTAATTATATATTTATTACATTTATATAAATAAACATACACATTATATGTAACAAATAATATTTTTTTAATAATTAGCGACTAAGTGTTTTTATTATTGATGTACTTATGTATTTTTTTATTGTAAAAGAGATCCCTTTGCCACTTTGTAATTAGTACTTTATTATTAAATAATGTATCCATAGATGTAATATTGTATTATTTAGATAGGCAATAAATAATTATATAAAATAAATTTAGTTTAATAGAAAATGCGTCTACTAATTTACTATCTTCACTTTATAATAATTATTATAATATCTCAGGACAACTCACACATCACCATCTAGTTCCAAACTAAGTAGAGTTTGTATTATGGGTACTAGCACAGATAACATAATAGTACTAGATAACTGATATAAATGCTTAGATATTGAATTTTTTGTAAATACATACACAATATACATAGAAAACACTCAGACGATACAAACAGTCATACTCATGAATACAGATGTGTGTACCGTGCGAGGAATCGAATCTGCGATCATCGGCAGTAAGCTAAACCGCTAAACCGCCGAGGCCGTCATTAATTTTGAATTTACTATACAGCTTTAAGCTATACGCTTGGATACTGTATTTAATCCTATGGTACGCGTGGGAAGAGAATAAGTGTTCCATTATTGTTTGATAATGATCAAGATCAATCACCTACCACGAAAATTAGTCATTACGTATTCGAATGAAACTCGAATTTGTTTACACACTCTCGAACATAATAGTGACAGCTGTAGTAATAATTTTAAAACAATATCACTTTGTACTGAGAATTTAATGTCTATTGTAAAATGTATTCTCATAAAAACACTTGTGATATTTTCATATAAATATAGTAATAACAATTTTAAAAAAAAATCTATTATGAATTTTATTAAAGGTTAATGAGAATTTTTTTTTCGTTTTCCAAAGCAATATAAAATTTGAAATGTTTATATGTTTATACTTAAAACTATAATTTCGTTTTACAAAATATTAGCATGCAGAAATGATAGTACTTATGCTAATTTTTGCATCGACTGCATGAAGGTTTCTCTCGAACTATGACTTTGTACGGTCAAACGCAGTGTAGGGCGATCTTTAGCTATGTACATACAATGAAGGAATGTAGAGACAAAATGTCTCAAATAATAGACTTACGTCTACCAACACCCACTATCTCTACTTATATTGTAATTGTACACTTTCTTACAACGTGATACGTCAAATAGAAAGTGCTATATAATATAATCTGTGATATGTTACACAGAGTAGATTACATCCTACACAACTCCAGTAAGAAGTACTGATGCATTTATCGGTACCAAAACAATTTCTTTTAAATAGTCTGTGGGCGGCTGCACTTAGTACCGCAATAATGGTGTTCTACTTACGTAAAAAAAAACTAAATATAAAATTAGTGAGCCGTCCAAGCGAAGAGAGGAGATTTCAAAAGAAACAAACAGTCATGAGCATAAATTATAATTAAGTACTTATACAGGTGTTATATAAACTTAAACACAGCGTAATAAGTACTACTTATATTTACTAGTAGTACATAAGTAAACACTGATTTCAATGTCATTTCCATAAAAAAAACGTTGCGGTCATTTTCCTCTGTCATTCAAATATTGACATGTACTTATGTAAGAACGTACTGCAATTAATTATAACTTGAATAAAAATAATTCTTATTTATATTTTATTAGCCGAAACCAGAGTAACAAACAGTATATAATAATAATAATCATAATGTAGTTTGAATTTAATTAGACAATATAATAAAAACTAAATTATACAATACAACTATAAAAACATTCGCTCATATGAAGTGAATAAATATGCCTACATAGTCACCTTAATGTGTATAAGTGGTATAAATGTGGAGCACATTAGTCCGATTTAAATTGACCCTTTCTTTTATATCGAAAAACTTGCTTCATATCCAACAACATAGGGACTGTGGAGGATGAAGTGTCTCACGTTAAAATGGTCGCCGCCAACTTTATACAGCTGACTGCGATGGCGCGAAATGCGAAAATCGGTTTCTGTACTGTGCAGTTCTGACCGCGTACGGACGTATCCGAACGTGCGATTCGAAATTTAAAAGCAAAATGATTTTTCGCGCGCTTTCCATTCTTTTGTTATTATCAGTAGTAAATGCGTATTATTTAAATGAAGAGGAATGTTTAAATTATACCGTGTATCCAGTGCAATATGAACTAAAACTGTATGTTAATAAGGCACATTATGATTGTCACATTGTAATAACGATAATAGCAACTGCTCCCGATGTGAATGTAATCGAATTAGATGCAAACGATTTAATAATCGACTTTAACTCTTTAAAAGTATTAAAGGGAGATGAAGATATTGTGAATAAATATAGACCATATGAATATGATAAAGTGCATGAAAAATTGTTTATATATTTAAGGGAGCCATTGATACGATATTATAAGGAGAATGAACAATATTACAATATTATAATGACGTTTAGGAAGAAATTTACAGAGGACTCCGAAGGTATATTTCTAGTGCCATACACGGATGCTTATGGAAAAATTAAGTAAGTACCTAAGTGTATATTAATATTAAGTTGCAATGAAAATAATATTTTTTTAATTTAGTTTTTTTAATACGTTAAGCAACGTATATTATTAGACATGCTGGGATGATTTCGGAATATTTGAATATTTGGTTGAATATAATGCAATATATCTACATTAAACTTTATGGACAGCTTACTACAATACATCAGTGAGAACCGCGTTTATATAGGTTAAGCTTTTTCGGAGATTATACAAAAAGGTAGAAACAATCAGACAATAATTAAAAAAACTATTGTTAAAATAATCTCGGTAAAGTTAGGATAACGTGTACAAAATATTTTTAAAATATATAATTCACTTTAGATTTCTTTACGATTTTATTATGTGTTTGATATCTAATTCAAACTTTTTATCTTTACAAAGGAACACTTGTGAAAATATTAAATAAGTATTTACTGACTAAAATTCTAAACCTGTTTTAATATTTTGTGTGAAAACAAAAACAACGGTTTTTGTTTAAATCGATCTTCTGACAAAAAGTGTAACATGTGACAGCATAGATCAAAAAAGATTGTCAATAACTTTATTTTTGTATTGTGACAAAATACTAGACATTATTTTAATTAATCGTGGGTGAAATGCATACATTACGATATCATGTGATGCCCGTGATACTAGTCATGCGTGGTCAATCTGGAAGACTAAGATGTTATGCCTCTTATCATGTCCTCCACTGTGATAAAAGTTTTTCTAGAAACTTTTTGCCACAGACAACCACATTGTGGATCATTGCCCACATTGTCCACATTGTCCACATTGTCCACATTGTGGACATGGAATATTATAACAATTGACAGAATAGTTCTTCCATTTGGAGTCTTCTGTAATACATTTAACGTTATCTATTCGAATATATATAGTAAGTGACTAAATTAGCCATAGTTATGCAATACTGTTAGAGGTATACTAATTAGGAAAATTTATTTACCACCTATTAGGGACTGCAATATACATAAACGAGATGCGAAGTACTATAAAAATACCATAAATATTTAGCATTGTGTAGTGGATGAGATTCAAGGAGATATTTTTTGTTACAATTGTTGTTGTAGCTATAGACTGCATAGATAGAGAATTGTGCCTATACAAAAATCTTTAACCGTCAATTTACAGGTATTTCTTACTAACTTTCCAATGATGGAAATATTGGTAACATATTAATTTAAATCTAGAGTATTTCTTTTAAATATTACACATAGTTTCGGATATCAACTTCCAGGCCTCTTGTTACTGACTGATAAACGAATTATTTATTACTTACATACTTACATTATATATATATATTACGACTTCTATTTAGTATCTTATCCTATGTTTTTATTTTTACATTTTTTTTATTAAATATAAAATATAACTTTAATATAGTTATATAGTTAAATCTAGATTTTGGTACTAGGTATATGGCGATGTGGAAGTTGTCCAGAGTAATCGGTTAATTTGTATTAATACACTACTATACCTATACTATATTACACACCTATATACACGACTATAACACCTAAACATAACTTCCTAACTATTACTAGCCGATTATCGTTTCTTAGATTAATTTTTGGTTTAACAGGCGGACAGTCAGTCAGAAATATAAATTATTAGGATTTTTTTTGTATCGGGCAGATTTAGGGTAGTAAAGCAGTAGGCCACGATGCTCTCAAAGAGACTATATCTTCTTTCTATAGTATAAAACAAAGTCGCCGCCATTGTCTGTTCGCTTATCTTTTACGCAACGGAATTTAATGCAGTTATCAGCAATAGATAGAGTGATTCAACATAAAGATATATATGCACAATACATATGTATTTTGACTAGTATCCGTACGAAGCCAGGATGGGTCGCTAGTTAATATTTGAGCTGTATAAGAAATTATTAGACCTACAATGAGAGTCACTGACAGTTTTGTATATTTGTTTGTCCATACTTCTGTCACTGCGCCCTGCTATAATAAACGTATCTACAAGCATTTCTATTATTTTAATTCACTATTACTGAAATGACCTATGCTGCGTTTATTTCAATGCACATTTAAAAAACAAACAGGATAAATTCATTCAGTATACGTGAAATTCCAACTAAATGGCTCTGACTAAATAGATGTACTAAAATAAATACACACTATATAATAATATAGGTCAGTATGGAATCACTGGCTGTACCTAGGGTTGCCACATCACGGAAAAACCTACCTGAGAGTGTTATTTTTAAAATCGTTAATAATTTTTTTAGTTCATATTTTTTTGTTTTTGCTGAACATCTGACATTTAATGGTTTTTTACCATAAAATTATACATTTTTACATAAAAGTTGAAATTTGTTAGTATTTGTAACTCTGTTTTTAATAAAGAAATACTCATTCGATTTCTTTCCTTGCTCCATAATCTTGAAGATAGGAATGGAGGATTCTTCTTTTTTTTTTAGATTTTCACTTATACACTTTGGGGGTCCTCTTGGGGTGTATTCCACTTCTTGAAGACCCCCGGAAATCCGGAGAAATAAATGGAGTACACTACCCGGAAATTAGGAGAAATAAATATACTCCAGTTATTGCACCGAATTTTCTTTTATGTTTTTTTTTTCGCCAGGTTAACCATTATTACCGGCCAATCCGGGATAGTCGGCAACCCTAGCTGTACCGCGTCATGACCAAGGTTCCTCGTAACTCGCGAACTATTGTTGATATTTACGTTCAGTCGGCTAAATATATCGGTTGCGAATAGCGAACTTGATTTCTTATAGAAGGTTACGTCTAGTGGCCATCGCCAAAATGACTCACTTTCTTCGATGACACTGACCTGAAAAGTAAATAATAATAATAACCCTGGACTATTCACACATCGCCATCTTGTCACAAGCTAAGCAGAATGTATTATTGGTACTTAGACAACTGATACCTAATTTATAAATACTTAGATATATTTTTGGAAATATATACTTTACATGACTAGTTGACCCGTGCTACTTCGTCTGTATGATTACTTCCTTGACATTTATTATTATATTTCACCCATTTACTATATTTTCCTAAATTAAAGCCTTTTTATTTTGTAAAATGAAATGATTTTGATGAAATTTTACAGCAATATTACTGTAAAATTTCATCAAAATTCGTTCAGTAGTTTTTGCGTCAAAAGAGTAACAAACATCCATCCATACTCACACATACACACACAAATAAAACACTCGCATTTATAATATTAATAAGATTAACACCGAAACGAATATAAATAATTATACTCATGAGTACAAATGTTTGCACCGTGCGAGGAATCGAACCCGCGACTATCGGAAGTAAAGCGACTTGTTTAGCCACTAGACCACCGGAACAATGTAGCCAAGTTGTTTTCTGGATGGTATCATATTAGTTTAAGTTTTATAAATTGATTTTTGTTATTTAGTATAGGTACTGTCATCGTCACATTTTGTGTACAAAAATTAAAAAAAAATCATCATCAATCATCAAAGAGGAAAACAAACCACCGGGCCCGTCGAAAATAAAGTTCCTAGATTAAAAGCTAGTTCCACAAATACATTTTTATTTAAGTACTAGCTGTTACCCGTGAAACTGTCGTTGTGCAAATAAAATAAAAAATACTATACTAAAAGTAGCTAAGTACCTCCTTATAACATTAGCTATCTGCAAATAAAAGTCTCGTACAAAATAGCCAGCCATTTCAGAGATTAGCAAGAGCAGACAGAAAGACAATATTTTAATTATACGTTTTTTTTTGAGTTCCCGATATTCCGATGTTTCAACCGCAATGATCACGGGTAAACTCTTTACCTTGTGACTTTTCCTAATTATACGAATAAATAAGGAACGCGTCAAATTTAAAAAAGTATTTTTTAATCTAAGTACCTTATATACTTAAGTACGTTTAATATATAATATTTAGTATCCTAAAATTATTTTTATATGTTTTCAAATTCAAGTGTATAGTTGTAATTTCAAATTAACAGCTTTTCATTAAATTAATATACGTCTTCAGAAATACTAATATAAACTTATATCGATATACCTCGTTCATTGCATTATTAATTATGCTGTTATCTTATTATAATTGTATGAATAATCATTGCAGTAAACAATATGACATTGAAATGAATTTGTAATTAGGTCGTATAACATTTATATATATACAATTGCGATATAAGTATAGAATGTCATGCACTAATTGGTAAATATCTACATTAGTAACCAATTACCAAAGAAAATAATTTTAAACACTTAAATTTTATAATCTGTGGATGCAGATACCCGACTGCCAAACTCGAGTATGTGCATATTATATATGTGTATATTTTACAATCACAATGAACGTGTTTCCATCAGTTAGACACCCAAACAGTTCACTGATCCGTTACAAGTTTTTCAGAAAAATTGTTCAATTTCATTAATATCACTGGCTTTCAGCTTGGTACCTTATACCCTTTACAAATAACCGTATAGATGCGTTTCCTTTATGTCTGTATTCAATTAAAACATTATGACCTTAAAACAAGCGACCATGTACGCGCATGCGTTTACGCAGACTGGTCGACCTTTTCACCCACGTGTTGTCTAGCACATAAAAGGCGATCCTTATATCTTTTAACATAATAGATACAATGTTACCATCATTTTTGTATGATTAAATCACATTTATATATAGAGTTTTGAACTAGATCTGATCAAGAAGATAATTTTTATGTTAATCTGACATTAGACTAATAGTAAACTTATTTTCGATAAAAAAAAATACACTTTTTACAAGATAAACTTGTACAAAATATTTTAAAATAAGAATTAGCCTTTATAAAATAAACTTGTACAAAATATTTTAAAAAAAGAATTAGACAAAGACAAATGTCAGTTTTAGAGTTTTTTTATTAATATGTATTACGGCTCTGGATACAAATCATATTTTAGTAGTTTTAGTGACTTCAGCAAAATATTGCATATCGCATAATACGTTATTTAGC